GACCCACCGTGGAACAAAATCTGGCACTTGAGAAGATGGAAGAATAAAAAGAATCAATAAAGCCTTGGAAAAGAACGAAGTAATAGCTATTTATATAACAAGTACATAAAGCCTGTTTATGTAAGCGTTATATACATGATTTTATGTACGATTACGATTGGTTTTTGTTAAAAATTTAAAAAATTTAATGAAAAAAGTGAAATTCGCGTAGGTATACCTGTTTTACCTTGGCAGGTTGTCAGGACCTGTTTTAACTTGGCAGGTTGTCAGGACCTGTTTCAATCCATGATGTAGTCAATCGGACATAAACGGGTTTATGTCCGATTAATCAATAAAGTGCTATTTATAGAACAGTTTTGCCTCAATAAAGTAGCACTTTATTGTACTAGTAAAATAAAGTGCTCCTTTATTTTACTAGTAAAATAAAGTGCTACTTTATTGCCTACCTGGACTACCTGACAAGGTGAAACAGGTCTTGACAACTTGCCAAGGTGAAACAGGTCCTGACAACCTGCACCTAGCCTCGCTCGCAAGCTCGCTCGGCCATAACATTATTCGTACAATAAAGCCTTACTTTATGTACTTGTTATATAAATAGCTATTAGAAACGATTCACCTGACACCGCGTGCCGCATGAGACTTGAGGTGTCTCAGGTTATTATCATGCGAAGCTCTCACACAAAAAACAGCATCAGAAACAACCCACCTGACACCGTGTCCGGCAAGAAACTTGTAACATCCCATGTCGGCATTATCATGTGAGGCCATCACTCAACACTCTACTGCTACAACCACAGCGGGACCAACAAAAACCTTTAAGGTAGGTAATTGAAATTAAAGGAGATGGAAATTGCCTGTTCCGCGCAGTTAGTCAATATCTGCATAATAAACAGGATTACCATACAGAACTAAGAGCTAGTGCAGTCAACTACATAGAACAGAACCAGAGTGAATTTAAACCATATGACCACAAATCCAGCATTCAAAAGTAGGAGAAGTTATTGCTACAAGATGAGACAAACTGGCACATATTGAACCATCGTTGAAATTGTAGCAATGTCTGAAATATACAAATTAAACGTTATAACATCTTTGTAGAGGTGAAGCGACCTGACACTTAACCAGTATCTCACAAACAAAAGGCCTACTATAATTAGTAAAGATACTTACAACAACGAAATCAACCTAATATTGATTGGAGACCTTGAAGAAGGGCATTTTGAAGTTCTTGAACCTACGACACACCACAGATCAGAAAGCTAAAAAAGCAAACACGGCAAATAAAGAACATAACAAACCCCAAAGGCATGAAAAACCAACTCCAACTACACAAAAGAATAATTAGCTAAAAACACTCAAACAAAATAGAGTTTAATGGACAACAGAACAATATAAAGAAATATGGCGCCATTTCCACACCTTAGAAAGAACTGGTATTTGTAATTTAAAAGAGGCCTTCAATCTATGGCAAACAAGAAACCCAAACCCTAGACATAAACTAACTGCAAACACGATGGCCACACAAAGAAGGTATATTCTAAACAATAATAAACTATCAACACTTGATATACCTAAAACAAATAAAAAAACAAGTAAAAGATATCCATCAAAAACATACAAAAGAGGGTGAAGAAGACAACCGTCAAATCCACACAATAACAGAGGTGATACAAAAAGCCCCCTCTCTGAAGCTACACCAAGAGACCAGACATATCCAAACACAAGAAGAAAAGATGGATGAAACTAATTCTGAAACCTTGGGGGAATTGTTGAATGTGATTTTAGGAAAAATTGTGGAAAATTACAACATAGAAGATGAAATAAAAAGAGCTCCACTAAAGAAAATAAGCAATAATTTAAAATCCAAAGAACTCATAAAACTTGGAAATAAAGCCATTGAAGAAATAACACAAAACAACCCAAATTAATACAAACGCATAACACCCATTAGCAAGCTCATCTATACAGTGGCAGCGACTATACAAGACATCTTAGTATCCAGTAGTAAGAAAAAGCATCAAAGAACAATGAAAGAAGAACCACTCTGGAAAAGGAGAATTCAAATAAAAATTGGGCAGCTCAGGAAAGACCTTCCACATCTGAAAGAGTACTTGAAACCCGAACTGAAAGAAACTATCAAAGAAATAGGACTGAGCTAAATGTGAGATACAAGATCAAAAACGGAAAGGACCATGCAAAAGTATCTGAAAAACTTAGACAAATGATATTCGCAAGAGCACATCGACTCCAAAGATACAAAGAACGAAGCAACCAATACCAACATAACAAGTTATTGTCAGAAAACGCGAGCAAATTTTATAACAATATACTCAGGTAGGAAAATTACTGTTAAAAACACGCCTTACCCAAAAGAGATAGAATCGTACTGGAGAGGTATATGGGAAAAAAAAAGAAACACATAACAAACAAGCAGAATGGATGATACAACAAGAACATGATAAGACAGTCAACATTAAAAGAATGAGATGAGAAGATATAACTGAAAAAGAACTGAGAGATTCGCTCAATACCACGGCTAGTTGGAAAGCCCCCTGGTATAGATGGAATTCTCAACTTTTGACTGAAAAAACTAAATGTAATCCATGAAAACCTAGTAGTAGAGGATACAACATGAGAAACAAAGATATACCCATTTGGTTTACAGAAGGAAAAGACATATCCAATACCTAAAAACAAAAAAGCAGATTAAATCAGAAACTACAGTCCAATAACCTGTTTGAATAACATCTATAATACCCAAGCAACAATAATTTCAGAAAGGCTGTTCAAACATCTACTAGCAAACAATCTATATTCCCACAAGAACAGGAAGTATGCGCAAAGAACACATACGGATGTAAAGACCACCTCTTAACAAGTAACATGATACCGAAAGACTGCAAGGAAAATCGAAAAAACTTATCTTTAGCACGGATAGATTACAGAAAAGCTGGTTAATAGAGAAGCTGAATATCTAGCGAGCATCTAATGTATTCATGACCTTCCTATGCAAAGCAATGGCAACATGGAGAACAGATATAAGCCTGGCAACTAATAGCTCAACCACAATATCAATACAAAACATCCAAATTAAGAATGGAATTTAATCTTCCAAGGAGACTCACTTTCTGCATACCATTGTTCCCACTGAGCTCCATAATGAATCAAACAAATTCGGGATATCAATGCAAAAATGTAAAACAAAAACCACCTTTTATACGCAGATGTATTACTGAAAGTAATAGCCAAGAATGATGAAGAGCTAACCGTACAACTCAAGCTAGTAAAAAAATTCAGTGACGACATCAAAATCCAATTTGGTTTAGACAAGTGTACCTAAGCAACATTCCACAAAGGAAAACGCCAGTCAAGTCTAAACATTGCCCTTGACAATACCACTACTATCAGGTCTTTAGAGCAACATGATGTATACAAATATCTAGGTATCGATAAACATGATGCGATGCAACACAGAAACATGAGAGCCAAACTAACAAGGGAGTATTACCAGGAGAAACAGAGAAATCTTGAGAACAGAAAGCGCAAGAAACAAAACATCTCTAGCGATACTAGTTATCCAATACAGCTTCGGAATTATAAAAAAGACACAGAGTGAAATTAGAAAACTTGACCGACAAACCCGCAAGCTACTTACCGTTCACGGAGCACTGCACCCGAGAGCCAGATATAGACACAATTCACATAGAACAAAAAGAGAGAGGAAGGGGCAAGTTGAACATCGAAATCAGCCACACAGGCTTGTCATAGAAGGAATTAACAACTACTTGAAACTGAAAAAATCTGATAAATACCTAAGCATGGTATATAGGCAGCAAAAAAGCCAATCCGGAAATAAAAGTCAAAAACCAAACCAACAAAACAAGATCGATGACACGAATATAGATGAACCTGAAGAGTAAAATTGGTTAAACAACAAATGAAGGACGAAATAAGGAGGGAACAAATAACAAAATGCAGAGAAAAAACAATACATGGTCAAATAATACGAGAAGCTGAAAAGGAAACTGTCAACTACAACCAGACATGGAAGAAGCATTTGTCACAGCTTGCCAAGAACAAGCGATAGCAACCAACTACATGAAAACTAAAATCATGAAATCAGGTCGCCCTATTCTTGCTAGAAAAGCGAAGCTGGACCGACATAACAAAGTAGTAATACAACTCCACTGGAATATTTGCAAAGAATATATAACATGGAAGTAAAAGAAAAATGGTACCAGCATACTCCAGATCCTGTAGTTAACTCCCCCGATATCACCATCATATGGGACATGCAGGTGCAGACAGACAGAGAAATTAAGGCGAAAAAAAAGAGAAGACGTGCTTATTGATAGATGTAGCCATTCCATTAGACTACAGCATCACACAAAAATAAGTTGAAAAACATCTTAAATACAAAGATCTCCAAATCAAGACTCTGAAATATGAAGACTAAGATTGTACCTGTTGTAATTATTGGAGCAACGGCTACATGCGGAAGCAATCAACCAAATCCGTGGAAAGCACAACCTCACCAGCATGTAGAAGTAGTCCGGATTTACTCGGACGTGTTTGGGTTTTTAGGGTGTCCGGGGATTCGGGGAAGTCCGGCCGGAATTCGAAACAATATCCGAAAAACTTAGAGATCGTGAGAACACTCGTACTCACTTTACACACTAGTGCGTGAAGCAGTGATGTTAACATTTATTTCACGATTACCCTTTTTAGACGAACAAAATTCCCTAATTTTCCCTACCAACTAAAAGAAAAAATCCAACAATTGCCTCACGCTTTATTTTACATTAAGTTGGCTCATCTTTACACGTTATTCGTTTTCCTGTTTCAAGTTAGGACATCAGAAAAAGAGATACAATTTCAGTTTCTCTGGATATTTGACCAAAGACACAAATCTTTGATTTTCGAACAAAATTGGATAAACAAAAATATACTCAAGATAAAATAGATTTATTAATAATTACTATACATTCCAATATTACAATTTATTGCTGGATTCTTTTCAATCCCAACCAAAATCCATTTTCAGCTGTATGCTGTACAGTACCTTTCAGCAACTTCAAAGGTACTACCGTTTTACCAACCGGCACAATTTCAAAATTCAACAGTAAATGATAAAGCATCGCTTTGGCTTCTAAAATTGCAAATCTTGACCCAATACAATTCCTAGGTCCACTTCCAAAGGGTATATAAGCATAAGGGTTGATGCTCTGTTTGTTTTCATCGGAAAACCTTTCTGGATCGAATTTTTCTGGATTCGGGAAAAAGGAAGGGTCCCTGTGAAGGCCGTGCATTGGAAGCCACAGGGTGTCACCTGGTTTTAAGTGTACAGGTTTTTCGTTGGCATTTACAGGTTGGATTGTGTAAGGTTTTGTGCACACTCTGTCTATCATTACTGTTGGAGGCCATTTTCTTAAAATTTCTATATAAAATAATAATACAATATATGAATAATTTAAGCTTGTTTTTGTTATACCTGAAAACACCATGTCCAAGTATTTCATTTTCAATAAGCCATCGTAAGTCAAATTTCCGTTCTTGTGCTCTTTGTTTATTTCTTGCCTCAATTTGTCTTGAACTTCTTTGTTCGTTGCCAACTCGTAAGCACCGAAACAAAGGGCTGTCGATATCGTGTCAAAGCCAGCAATAAAGAAAATTAGGGCTTGCGATGTTATATCGTCGTTTGATAGTTGTTTAAGTTGTTTGGGTTTATATTTATCTGAAAATTTAATGAGTAATTTTCGTTGTTTGATTGAAGAAATTGTTACCTAATTGATCAGATTCTTTGACTGTAGCAAAACCAGTATCACCAACATCGTTTTCCTCGTTTTTAATGCCTTTTCTGGCTTCCAAAAGCAAATTGATCATGTCTTGTCTTATAATGTTGTTTTCCTGTCTCACTTTAATGGTGTCGTGGATGATGGTTTGGAAAAAAATCGTCACTTGTCTTGGAAATATTGATAAGTCCAAGTACTGGAATGGTTGGAAAGTATTTTTTAGAGGCAATCAAGAACTGGTCAAATTTTGAATATTACCGGCTCTTGAGTTGCTGAGGAATTGCTCAAAGCCTTCTAAAAATGAGTTTTGTAGGCGCGTCGGGGTTACAAACAACAATTCAGCAATAAATTCATATAAATAGTTGGCCAAGCCAAGCAACTAGGCAGACTTAAACCAGTGCAATTACCTCTCGTTGGGAAAGCCCCTCTGGAATTAAGTCTCCCCAGTGCAAGTACCTCTCGTTGGGAAAGCCCCTCTGGGTATCTTCAGCCTTATCGTTGTCCAGTGCAAATACCTCTCGTTGGGAAAGCCCCTCTGGACAAGGCATAAGGGTGACGATAACTAATCGACAGTCCCCCAAGCAGCGTTGACGTGTGGCTCCCTATAAGGGCCCCAGTGTTCGAAGGGTCATGCATCTTATAGGACTAGCGTACATGTAAGGGCATATTTCGGAAAATATATATCTACACTTTCATATATAACTTGAGCGAGTTTCTCTTCATCAACCCCCAAGGCTACAAACCCCCCATGTCACCCCCGTAAAGCGGGCAGTTGTGACAATATTCTTGCAAAAAGTTTGCCCCATGTATCTAGTATATAAGTATATGTGCAAGAATAATTTTTTTTGTCTTAAGTTTTAGGGGAAATATAGTTCTCGCACCAGTACTCTTCCATCTCATTTTTTTCCGTAGCTCCCTCTCTCTCTCGATAATTGTAAAATACAATAACAATAAACTCTTTAACGTATTATATATACCTTTGAGTTCTGATTTCAATTGAGCAAATTGAGTTTGAAATTTTTGACAAAATTTGGACTAAAAGTCAACTTTGAGGCTCAATTGCTGAAAAACTATTTGAGCTATCAAACTTAATTTTACACAGATTTATAGAGAATTTAATGCTCTTTCCAATGATATTTATTTCAATTTGCTAAAAATTTACCAAAGATATGGTCAATTGTTCATGACCATGTCAAGATTTTGAAAATTTTCCAGAGCCAAAAATAGGATTTTCTTTTTATTTTGTTTCTGCTCAAAATGGCCATTTGGAATTGATGTCAGGGTTGTTTTCCACTAATTTTCACCCGCTCTATCGATTAATGACGTCAAAATTGAGCAAAACTGAAAAATGAAAAAATCGACTTTTTCATAAGAAGGGTATAAATAACCCCTTTGAATTCTAATTTGAAAATATTCAAACCTCAATTGCTCGGTAACCGTCAAGCAAATTGCATTAAAATTTTCAGCATTTGTAGCTCTTATTAAGCTCTAAATGGCCTATAATTTACAATATTCCCAGATTTATAGTTTTTGAGCAAATTGAGTTTGAAATTTTTGACAAAATTTGGACTAAAAGTCAACTTTGAGGCTCAATTGCTCAAAAACTATTTGAGCTATCAAACTCAATTTTACACAGATTTATAGAGAATTTAATGCTCTTTCCAATGATATATAATTTATTTCAATTTGCTAAAAATTTACCAAAGATATGGTCAATTGTTCATGACCATGTCAAGATTTTGAAAATTTTCCAGAACCAAAAATAGGATTTTCTTTTTATTTTTGTTTCTGCTCAATATGGCCATTTGGAATTGATGTCAGGGTTGTTTTCCACTAAATTTCACCCGCTCTATCGATTAATGACGTCAAAATTGAGCAAAACTGAAAAATGAAAAAATCGACTTTTCCATAAGGGTAATCCCTTTGAATTCTGATTTCAAAATATTCAAACCTCAATTGCTCGGTAACTGTCAAGCAAATTGCATTAAAATTTCCAGCATTTGTAGCTCTTATTAAGCTCTAAATGGCCTGTAATTTACAATATTCTCAGATTTATAGTTTTTGAGCAAATTGAGTTTGAAATTTTTGACAAAATTTGGACTAAAAGTCAACTTTGAGGCTCAATTGCTCAAAAACTATTTGAGCTATCAAACTCAATTTTACACAGATTTATAGAGAATTTAATGCTCTTTCCACTGATATATAATTTTTTTCAATTTGCTAAAAATTTACCAAAGATATGGTCAATTGTTCATGACCATGTCAAGATTTTGAAAATTTTCCAGAACCAAAAATAGGATTTTCTTTTTATTTTTGTTTCTGCTCAAAATGGCCATTTGGAATTGATGTCAGGGTTGTTTTCCACTAAATTTCACCCGCTCTATCGATTAATGACGTCAAAATTGAGCAAAACTGAAAAATGAAAAAATCGACTTTTCCATAAGGGTAATCCCTTTGAATTCTGATTTCAAAATATTCAAACCTCAATTGCTCGGTAACTGTCAAGCAAATTGCATTAAAATTTCCAGCATTTGTAGCTCTTATTAAGCTCTAAATGGCCTGTAATTTACAATATTCTCAGATTTATAGTTTTTGAGCAAATTGAGTTTGAAATTTTTGACAAAATTTGGACTAAAAGTCAACTTTGAGGCTCAATTGCTCAAAAACTATTTGAGCTATCAAATTCAATTTTACACAGATTTATAGAGAATTTAATGCTCTTTCCAATGATATATAATTTATTTCAATTTGCTAAAAATTTACCAAAGATATGGTCAATTGTTCATGACCATGTCAAGATTTTGAAAATTTTCCAGAACCAAAAATAGGATTTTCTTTTTATTTTTGTTTCTGCTCAATATGGCCATTTGGAATTGATGTCAGGGTTGTTTTCCACTAAATTTCACCCGCTCTATCGATTAATGACGTCAAAATTGAGCAAAACTGAAAAATGAAAAAATCGACATTTCCATAAGGGTAATCCCTTTGAATTCTGATTTCAAAATATTCAAACCTCAATTGCTCGGTAACCGTCAAGCAAATTGCATTAAAATTTCCAGCATTTGTAGCTCTTATCAAGCTCTAAATGGCCTATAGTTTACAATATTCCCAGATTTATAGTTTTTGAGCAAATTGAGTTTGAAATTTTTGACAAAATTTGGACTAAAAGTCAACTTTGAGGCTCAATTGCTCAAAAACTATTTGAGCTATCAAACTCAATTTTACACAGATTTATAGAGAATTTAATGCTCTTTCCACTGATATATAATTTTTTTCAATTTGCTAAAAATTTACCAAAGATATGGTCAATTGTTCATGACCATGTCAAGATTTTGAAAATTTTCCAGAACCAAAAATAGGATTTTCTTTTTATTTTTGTTTCTGCTCAAAATGGCCATTTGGAATTGATGTCAGGGTTGTTTTCCACTAAATTTCACCCGCTCTATCGATTAATGACGTCAAAATTGAGCAAAACTGAAAAATGAAAAAATCGACTTTTCCATAAGGGTAATCCCTTTGAATTCTGATTTCAAAATATTCAAACCTCAATTGCTCGGTAACTGTCAAGCAAATTGCATTAAAATTTCCAGCATTTGTAGCTCTTATTAAGCTCTAAATGGCCTGTAATTTACAATATTCTCAGATTTATAGTTTTTGAGCAAATTGAGTTTGAAATTTTTGACAAAATTTGGACTAAAAGTCAACTTTGAGGCTCAATTGCTCAAAAACTATTTGAGCTATCAAATTCAATTTTACACAGATTTATAGAGAATTTAATGCTCTTTCCAATGATATATAATTTATTTCAATTTGCTAAAAATTTACCAAAGATATGGTCAATTGTTCATGACCATGTCAAGATTTTGAAAATTTTCCAGAACCAAAAATAGGATTTTCTTTTTATTTTTGTTTCTGCTCAAAATGGCCTTTTTGAATTTATGTCAGGGTTGTTTTTCACTAACTTTGACCCGCTCTATCGATTAATGACGTCAAAATTGAGCAAAACTGAAAAATGAAAAAATCGACTTTTCCATAAGGGTAATCCCTTTGAATTCTGATTTCAAAATATTCAAACCTCAATTGCTCGGTAACTGTCAAGCAAATTGCATTAAAATTTCCAGCATTTGTAGCTCTTATTAAGCTCTAAATGGCCTGTAATTTACAATATTCTCAGATTTATAGTTTTTGAGCAAATTGAGTTTGAAATTTTTGACAAAATTTGGACTAAAAGTCAACTTTGAGGCTCAATTGCTCAAAAACTATTTGAGCTATCAAATTCAATTTTACACAGATTTATAGAGAATTTAATGCTCTTTCCAATGATATATAATTTATTTCAATTTGCTAAAAATTTACCAAAGATATGGTCAATTGTTCATGACCATGTCAAGATTTTGAAAATTTTCCAGAACCAAAAATAGGATTTTCTTTTTATTTTTGTTTCTGCTCAAAATGGCCTTTTTGAATTTATGTCAGGGTTGTTTTTCACTAACTTTGACCCGCTCTATCGATTAATGACGTCAAAATTGAGCAAAACTGAAAAATGAAAAAATCGACTTTTTCATAAGAAGGGTATAACCCCTCCCACTGAACATGCAATGTTACGAAAGCCTAATGCAATATTACTCTGATATGCTCTGATCTTAGTTTCGCAACATTACAATGTAATATTGAATTATTTTTGACACAACATTACGTTAATAAATTACAAAATGGAATATCCTTGAAATTTTAACGCATATTAGAAATTATAACTTGTACGCAAATTAACATTGTAAATATGCATTTAAATTGAACTGGTATAATTTTTGCAATGTTATAATAACTACCAAATGTAAACTTGCTGCAAAATTGGAAATATAACTTATAGGTAAGGTTACATCGCAAAGATGCCTTAAAGTTGTGTTAATGTTATAATTTAATATTGAATGTAAACTTGCTGCAATATAGCAGAAATAATACATTGGAAAATCGAAAGCTTTGCCGCCGTTAATAACGATCGGAACGACATCGGGGATACGAACTAAACCGAAAGCAAATCGACGCCATCAAGTCGCTGTTTGTCGTTTGAGTTGAGTGCTGTGTCTGCTTGTTGAATGTTGTGCCTGTGATAAAGCGAATCTCGGCTAAATTTTTGGTGTTTGTGTTGGGATTATGTATTGGATCGGTTCAGGTAGTGCTTTGCTTTTTGGTTATTTTTATTGTTCAGTTTTTATTTTAGAACCTGTGGAAATGAAATAAATATACAGCGATTACAATGGATGAGGATTCAAATAAGGTGAGTAAGGTTTGCATAGTCAATAAATACTTTTTACAAAAATACTGCGGAATGGGGCCCCTTTTTTGTAAACCGTAACCTCTTTTTTTCATACCTACAAATCCCGTATTATTATTATATTACTTATTATGATTTTACGATAATATTTTAGTTAGGATCAAAAATATCGTGAACCGTTTGGTAGGTAATGTCCAGAAAGAAAGTGGCTACGACGGGGAATAATTATTATAATGAAAATACAGAACTACTCCCTGATTTTGTTTTTGTTTCAGGTGACAATATAAGTAGCAGCTGTGGTAGCAGCCAGTACCTACTTCGTCCTGTGTGTCAACCAATCTAAAATTTCGCTTTTTGTTTCTGTTTAGAATTTTTATTTATTTGGCTTTGAGATATTACTTTTTACGTTTTGTTTTTCACCCAAGTATATTTTTTTATTGTGAGTATTATAGATATACATAATATACCTATACCAACCTTTTTATTTTGTTTTCCAAAAACTTGTACTTTTATTCATAATAAAATATCTACCTAATATATGATTATGGGTTTCAGGCACAAATTTTAACAGCTTGTTTTTAGAACAAGCTGTTAGAGTTTATGCACCGCAACTCAAATCTCTCTGTATAGGTACATAGCATTTACAGTTGCAAAATTACTTTTTTATTGCAGTAAAGTTGCGAACCCAATATATTTGTAATAAAAATGCAATATTGCAGTAAACTTACTAATAAATTGCAAGTAACCCTAAGGTATATTTGAATTTGTAACCTTACACTCGTAAGTTTGCTGAAGTTTTGATCTAATATTCCAGTAATATTGCTGAAGGGTTATCATTTATAAACCTTGTATTTGTAATATTACCCTAAGGTTGTTTCAGTACTTGCCGCAATAATGCGTCAACATTACAGTAAACTTCAATATAACCTTACAAGTTTGCAGTGTAATGTTACCTCATTATTACTGTAATCTTATTTTGTTCAGTGGGCTTTGAATTCTGATTTGAAAATATTCAAACCTCAATTGCTCGGTAACCGTCAAGCAAATTGCATTAAAATTTCCAGCATTTGTAGCTCTTATCAAGCTCCAAATGGACTGTAATTTACAATATTCTCAGATTTTTTTTTTGAGCAAATTGAGTTTGAAATTTTTGACAAAATTTGGACTAAAAGTCAACTTTGAGGCTCAATGGCTCAAAAACTATTTGAGCTATCCAACTCAATTTTACCCAGATGTATAGAGAATTTAATGCTCTTTCCAATGGTATATAACTTATTTCAATTTGCTAAAAATTTACCAAAGATATGGTCAATTGTTCATGACCATGTCAAGATTTTGAAAATTTTCCAGAGCCAAAAATAGGATTTTCTTTTTATTTTTGTTTCTGCTCAAAATGGCCATTTGGAATTGATGTCAGGGTTGTTTTCCACTAATTTTGACCCGCTCTATCGATTAATGACGTCAAAATTGAGCAAAACTGAAAAATGAAAAAATCGACTTTTCCATAAGGGGAACACCTTTGAATTCTGATTTCAAAATATTCAAACCTCAATTGCTCAGTAACTGTCAAGCAAATTGCATCAAAATTTCTAGCATTTGTAGCTCTTATTAAGCTCTAAATGGCCTGTAATTTACAATATTCCCAGATTTATAGTTTTTGAGCAAATTGAATTTGAAATTTTTGACAAAATTTGGACTAAAAGTCAACTTTGAGGCTCAATTGCTCAAAAACTATTTGAGCTATCAAACTTAATTTTACACAGATTTATAGAGAATTTAATGCTCTTTCCAATGATATATAATTTATTTCAATTTGCTAAAAATTTACCAAAGATATGGTCAATTGTTCATGTCAAGATTTTGAAAATTTTCCAGAACCAAAAATAGGATTTTCTTTTTATTTTTGTTTCTGCTCAAAATGGCCATTTGGAATTGATGTTAGGGTTGTTTTCCACTAATTTTCACCCGCTCTATCGATTAATTACGTCAAAATTTCAGCTTGTAACTCCGAAAGTCAAAATTTAATATAAGGAGCACTCTACTATTCTCTAGACAATCAAGAACCGCGGTAATAGTTCAAGTTTGAAATATTATCTGCTCTTGAGTTGCTGGGTAATTTCTCTAGATAATCAAGAGCCGGTAATAGTTCAAATTTTGATTATTACTTGCACTTGATCAGCTGGAAAATTTCCTTATTGAATCATCAATTACCTTGAACAATCTTGGCGTAAGAAAAAACAAAATAAACTTCAACTGAGTTTTGAAATTGCTAAAATTCGTCACTCGTTTTCCCATCATGTAAAAATCATTTTCAGGATTTTCCAGCGAGTCCACTTTAAGCCCAAACGCAGTGGTCGCAATCACATCGTTCGTATACCTAGTAAAGGTATCTTTCATTTCGATTTCGAACATTTGTTGGTTCTTTTTAACGAAATGTTCAACGAAATTTTGAGCTGCTTCATTGATATTTCCAAACATGTGTTTCATTTTGCTACTGGTAAAAGTTCCACTGAGAGTTGCACGCATTTCTTTCCATTTTTGACCTTTAAATATAAATAAGAAATCTTAGATGGCCTGCAAACTTTCCCGATTTGTCTCCGTTGGACTCATGGAAAATTATGTTACCTGTTAAAGAAAATAAGTTGTTGCTCCACAAAGGGTCGGTTTCGGGATTGACAAAGGGCCTGTGATCAGTGAAATGATCGAAATCCTTAACAGTCAATTGCTTGATCAATTCAGGATCTTTAAGGATTAATATTGGAAGGGAAAATTGATAGTAACCCATGTATCTGCAAATACAACATGTAATAAACTGTTTTAATTTTATTCAACGTTATATCGAAAAAAAATTACCTTTCTTTGGGATACATATCGTAAATGCTTTTGACGGATTCAGCAAAGCTAGTTTTTTTTAGTAAAAGTTCCCATTGGTTTCCCATCAAGGGCCAAACTGCCGTTTGTTTTACGCCCATCCTTTTGAAATGGGTCATGGGTCTTACGAAATGATACCATATTAAAAGGGCAGCCAAGGCTGCCAGAATTAACCAAAACATTATTGAAGATTCTGGAAAATGATTGTCCATACATTCCATAATTCCACTTGATTTTTATCTCAAATTCGCAATAATTATTGTAAATAGAAAATATTTATATGAATTCTGATAAATTTTCCAGAAAAACATTACCTAATCTATAAAGTCGATGCTTATAGCCTCCTGATATATTAGTGACGATTATATGTAGTGCATGGGAGATAGGGCAAGGCAAGTAATGAAACTACAATTCAATTTCTTAACAACTTTATCAAGGGTCTGTAAATGGGAAAAAAACACTACCTGCCTTGCCCTATCTTTCGCTACATATATGTACCTAATCCTCATTAATCTATAAAATTGTCAAGGGGTTGAATCAGTATAGGTTTTCTGAAATTTCCAATTAAAATTGGCCTTCAATAATGTCTACGTAGTACAGCAAATGTACAAAAATATTTCATATAATCACTAGAAGAACAAACCTGTTATTATAATTCGTACAAAAGCCACTTAAAAATTGAAACACAAATTATAGGATCTGGTTGTCTCTACTACTGCCGAACGAATACTGGTGCGACCAATTTAAATAGTTATAAACAATTTCGGCGGAGAATTGCATAACAGATTCTATTTAATAATAATTGTTATCTACCTACTGATGTTTTCATTTGATCCGTATCTTGTTTCGTCTGTTTCGATATTCTAGAATTTAGTTTTGTTGTCAATACAATAACAAAATTGATGCCTCATGGAGAATTTGTATCGATCTTCACTTTGAAATTCAACTTTTGATTATTACCGGCTCTTGAGTTGCTGGAGAATTTTTCTAGACAACCACCCTAGTCTCGGGTACAAATGGTACTGAAAGTTATAGGCAGTACTAATATACACGCTTCATCGAAAAAAGGGTTTTTGTGAAAATATGGACATTTCCACCCTGGTGTTAATTTCAATCCGATCTTAAGGCAATTAGGCTTAAATTAAAGCCAATTAAATTCTCTACACATTTGTTTTAATAATTTGAATGCAGCTTCAATAGTTTCATAGCTATGTTGCTTCAAATTAAACTTTGATGTTTATCAGAGATTAGCCAGCAGAAGGAAATTTTTATTTTTTTTTCCTTAAATTTCAATCTTCTCTTTATCTACCTGTAAAATTTCAACCCAATCCATCAAATATTTTCCTCAAAAAAAAATAAAACGTCCTTTAATGTCATGTTTTTTGGTACTTTGATTTTTCTCAAAAACTTTTGCCAATAGTTTTTACCGATTATTTAAACTTTCACCTAAATATACAATCTATTAATCCTGGAATGGTGAATTCTTACCAAGTAAAACTTCCCATTATGCCTCATACCAAAACATTAATAAAAAAAAAAAACTACAAAACATCATTAACGTAACATTCAATATATTAATAATTATATTATAATTAATGTAAATGCTTTTTGACAATTATTATTAAAAATTTGTTCATTAGATGAGTACCTACTTACCTACTAGCAAAAAAAGCTATACTTAAATGGAATGTGTATTAAAAAGTATTAAAAACCTATTTGCAATCACCCTTGTAAAAATTAATTGTACGGTTCCAATTCAGGTTTTTCAGTTTTAATAAAATCGGAATTATCAATAAATTCCCTTTTAATTTTCGTTGATATCAGCCCATCTGAATTTTCTTCCGTTTTCATTTGACTAGAAGATTCTTCATCCTCTAAATCCACTGGTTCTTCTTTTACCAGCGTTACTTCTTCAATACGACTTTTTGCTGTAAATATAGGTATTTCTTAAAAATAGCAGGAGAGGAACAAGCAACCAACACAAACCTGCTAAATTGTAAATTTCCTCTTTGCCACTATTCTCTACAACAGTGCCTCTAAACTTATTCAAGGCCTTTTTCATATTTGGAGTTATCGCTTGTTCCATTTTAAATTGCTGAAAATGATCGGGATGTTTCACCCTGATGTGCCTGTACAGCATTTTGCTGACAGCGAAACTGTGCTGACAATGGCTACAGCCAAACGGTTTTTCGCCAGTGTGAACCGCTCTATAATGCTCTTTGGCTGTAGTACTAAAAAGCAAGATTTAATGCTGGTTGAAAACAAGTTGTGAGAATTCACCTGTGAGCAAAAACTCGGCCGCAAATTTCACAAGCAAAAGGTTTTTCACCTGTATGGGTCCTTTTATGTCTGTTTAGGTTTTCTAATGTGAGGAATTTTCTACCACATTCTAGACAACTTAATAATTATGTAAAAATAATATTAATTAAACAATTTTAATAATTCTCACTCGAAAGGTTTCTCTCCAGTGTGAGTCATCATGTGTCTTTTCAAATTTTGCGTAGACTGAAAGGGTCGTTTGCAAATGTCGCATTTGTAAGGCTTAAAACCGGAATGCGAGTTCATATGTCGCCTTAAATGGCTACCGCTGGCAAACTTTCTGTTGCAGAATTCACAAAAGAACGTCGTCATATCCGAATGGTTCTTTTGGTGCTCCAGCAGTTCCAGATATTTCGGAAAAGACTTACCGCATAATTGACAGGTGAACGGGCCATCTGATTCTTGTAGGTGAGTTGCTAAATGAGCTGGAATTGTTGTTGGATTAAAGGGATGATCAGAAGAAGTTTGAGAGAGGATCAGATGACATTAAAAGGCTCCTGAACCTGAAGATGAACTCATAAGACATTAAAAGCAAGTATTTTTGTGTTTTTCAAACGCCTCGGATTTCAATTTAGTAATTTAGTGAATATAGGGAAAAATTCAAGGGGCAAAAACCACCTAGGAATTCTTTGCCAAAAATGTGGGGAATTTAGAGAAATTTGCGGGGAATTTGAAGGAACTCATTCGAAATTTATGAGAATTTGGGGAGTTTATAGGAAATTTGGAAGAATTTATGAGGAATTTGGGAGAATTTGTGAGGAAATTATGAGGAATTTAAAGGAAATTGTCAAATTTAGAAAATTCAAAAGAATAATGAATACCTAGAGTTTTTGTAGGCTGATTTCCAAGATTTTTCATGTTGTTATTTCTACTGAAAAAATTTGAAATTTTGGGAAAATGAGCTTCTAACCTTTCTCTTTACATGCAAAAAGTTTCAAATTTGTCCCTTCACTAGTTTTCCAGGAAAACTTTGAAATGTGTGAGACTGTATTTTCAACTAATTCAGTTTTTGTAGGTTGATTTCCAAGATTTTTCATGTTACTGTTTTTCACTGAAAAAATTTGAAATTTTGGGAAAATGAGCTTCTCACCTTCCTCTTTACATGCAAAAAGTTTAAAAATTCTCCCTTCACTAGTTTTCTAGGAAAACTTTAAAATGTGTGAGACTGTATTTTCAATTAATTCAGTTATTGTAGGTTGATTTCCAAGATTTCTCATGTTGTAATTTTTTACTGGAGAAATTTGAAATTCTGGGAAAATGAGCTTCTAACCTTTCTCTTCACATGCAAAAAGTTTCAAATTTGTCCCTTCACTAGTTTTCCAGGAAAACTTTGAAATGTGTGAGACTGTATTTTCAACTAATTCAGTTTTTGTAGGTTGATTTCCAAGATTTTTCATGTTACTGTTTTTCACTGAAAAAATTTGAAATTTTGGGAAAATGAGCTTCTCACCTTCCTCTTTACATGCAAAAAGTTTCAAAATTCTCCCTTCACTAGTTTTCTAGGAAAACTTTAAAATGTGTGAGACTGTATTTTCAATTAATTCAGTTATTGTAGGTTGATTTCCAAGATTTCTCATGCTGTAATTTTTTACTGGAGAAATTTGAAATTCTGGGAAAATGAGCTTCTAACCTTTCTCTTTACATGCAAAAAGTTTCAAATTTGTCCCTTCACTAGTTTTCCAGGAAAACTTTGAAATGTGTGAGACTGTATTTTCAACTAATTCAGTTTTTGTAGGTTGATTTCTAAGATTTTTCATATTAGTATTTTTCACTGGAAAAATTTTAAATTTTGGGAAAATGATCTTCTCACCTTCCTCTTTACATGCAAAAAGTTTCAAAATTCTCCCTTCACTAGTTTTCTAGGAAAACTTTAAAATGTGTGAGACTGTATTTTCAATTAATTCAGTTATTGTAGGTTGATTTCCAAGATTTCTCATGTTGTAATTTTTCACTGGAGAAATTTGAAATTCTGGGAAAATGAGCTTCTAACCTTTCTCTTTACATGCAAAAAGTTTCAAATTTGTCCCTTCACTAGTTTTCCAAGAAAACTTTAAAATGTGTGAGACTGTATTTTCAATTAATTCAGTTATTGTAGGTTGATTTCCAAGATTTCTCATGCTGTAATTTTTTACTGGAGAAATTTGAAATTCTGGGAAAATGAGCTTCTAACCTTTCTCTTTACATGCAAAAAGTTTCAAATTTGTCCCTTCACTAGTTTTTCAGGAAAACTTTGAAATGTGTGAGACTGTATTTTCAACTAATTCAGTTTTTGTAGGTTGATTTCCAAGATTTTTCATGTTACTGTTTTTCACTGGAAAAATTTGAAATTTTGGGAAAATGATCTTCTCAGCTTCCTTTTAACATGCAAAAAGTTTCAAAATTTTCCCTTCTCTAGTTTTCCAGGAAAACTTTGAAATATGTGATACTGGATTTTCAAATAATTCAGTTTTTGTAGGTTGATTTCCAAGGTTTTTCATGTTGCTGTTTTCTACTGGAAAAATTTGAAATTTTGGGAAAATGATCTTCTCAGCTTCCTTTTAACATGCAAAAAGTTTCAAAATTTTCCCTTCTCTAGTTTTCCAGGAAAACTTTGAAATATGTGATACTGGATTTTCAAATAATTCAGTTTTTGTAGGTAGATTTCCAAGGTTTTTCATGTTGCTGTTTTCTACTGGAAAAATTTGAAATTTTGGGAAAATGATCTTCTCACTTTCCTCTTTACATGCAAAAAGTTTCAAAATTCTCCCTTCACTAGTTTTCTAGGAAAATTTTAAAATGTGTGAGACTGTATTGTTAATTAATTCAGTTATTGTAGGTTGATTTCCAAGATTTCCCATGTTGTAATTTTTTACTGGAGAAATTTGAAATTCTGGGAAAATGAGCTTCTAACCTTTCTATTTACATGCAAAAAGTTTCAAATTTCTCCCTTCACTAGTTTTCCAGGAAAACTTTGAAATGTGTGAGACTGTATTTTCAACTAATTCAGTTTTTGTAGGTTGATTTCCAAGATTTTTTATCTTGCTGTTTTCTACTGGAGAAACTTGAAATTTTGGGAAAAAGTTTCAAAATTTTCCCTTTACTAGTTTTTCAGGAAAACTTTGAAATATGTGATACTGTATTTTCAATTAATTCAGTTATTGTAGGTTGATTTCCAAAATTCCTCATGTTGTAATTTTCTACTGGAAAAATTTGAAATTTTGGGAAAATGAGCTTTTCAGCTTCCTCCTTACATGCAAACATTTTCAAAATTTTCCTTCCACTAGTTTTCCAGGAAAACTTTGAAATGTGTGAGACTGTATTGTCAATTAATTCAGTTATTGTAGGTTGATTTCCAAGATTTCCCATGCTGTAATTTTTTACTGGAGAAATTTGAAATTCTGGGAAAATGAGCTTCTAACCTTTCTTTTTACATGCAAAAAGTTTCAAATTTCTCCCTTCACTAGTTTTCCAGTAAAACTTTGAAATGTGTGAGACTGTATTTTCAACTAATTCAGTTTTTGTAGGTTGATTTCCAAGATTTTTCATGTTACTGTTTTTCACTGGAAAAATTTGAAATTTTGGGAAAATGATCTTCTCAGCTTCCTTTTAACATGCAAAAAGTTTCAAAATTTTCCCTTCTCTAGTTTTCCAGGAAAACTTTGAAATATGTGATACTGGATTTTCAAATAATTCAGTTTTTGTAGGTTGATTTCCAAGGTTTTTCATGTTGCTGTTTTCTACTGGAAAAATTTGAAATTTTGGGAAAATGATCTTCTCAGCTTCCTTTTAACATGCAAAAGTTTCAAAATTTTCCCTTCTCTAGTTTTCCAGGAAAACTTTGAAATATGTGATACTGGATTTTCAAATAATTCAGTTTTTGTAGGTTGATTTCCAAGGTTTTTCATGTTGCTGTTTTCTACTGGAAAAATTTGAAATTTTGGGAAAATGATCTTCTCACATTCCTCTTTACATGCAAAAAGTTTCAAAATTCTCCCTTCACTAGTTTTCTAGGAAAACTTTAAAATGTGTGAGACTGTATTGTTAATTAATTCAGTTATTGTAGGTTGATTTCCAAGATTTCCCATGTTGTAATTTTTTACTGGAGAAATTTGAAATTCTGGGAAAATGAGCTTCTAACCTTTCTTTTTACATGCAAAAAGATTCAAATTTCTCCCTTCTATAGTTTTCCAGGAAAACTTTGAAATGTGTGAGACTGTATTTTCAACTAATTCAGTTTTTGTAGGTTGATTTCCAAGATTTTTTATCTTGCTGTTTTCTACTGGAGAAACTTGAAATTTTGGGAAAAAGTTTCAAAATTTTCCCTTTACTAGTTTTTCAGGAAAACTTTGAAATATGTGATACTGTATTTTCAATTAATTCAGTTATTGTAGGTTGATTTCCAAAATTCCTCATGTTGTAATTTTCTACTGGAAAAATTTGAAATTTTGGGAAAATGAGCTTTTCAGCTTCCTCCTTACATGCAAACATTTTCAAAATTTTCCTTCCATTAGTTTTCCAGGAAAACTTTGAAATGTGTGAGACTGTATTTTCAATTAATTCAGTTATTGTAGGTTGATTTCCAAGATTTCCCATGATGTAATTTTTTACTGGAGAAATTTGAAATTCTGGGAAAATGAGCTTCTAACCTTTCTTTTTACATGCAAAAAGTTTCAAATTTCTCCCTTCACTAGTTTTCCAGGAAAACTTTGAAATGTGTGAGACTGTATTTTCAACTAATTCAGTTTTTGTAGGTTGATTTCCAAGATTTTTTATCTTGCTGTTTTCTACTGGAGAAACTTGAAATTTTGGGAAAAAGTTTCAAAATTTTCCCTTTACTAGTTTTTCAGGAAAACTTTGAAATATGTGATACTGTATTTTCAATTAATTCAGTTATTGTAGGTTGATTTCCAAGGTTTTTCATGTTGCTGTTTTCTACTGGAAAAATTTGAAATTTTGGGAAAATGATCTTCTCACCTTCCTCTTTACATGCAAAAAGTTTCAAAATTTTCCCTTTACTAGTTTTCCAGGAAAACTTTGAAATGTCTGACACTGTATTTTCAATTAATTCAGTTATTGTAGGTTGATTTCCAATATTCCTCATTTTCAGGGAATTTGTAAGAGACATTTGTAGGAAATTTTTGAAAAATTTGGAGGAATTCGCAGGAATTTGTGGGGTATTTGGAGAAATTCTTGGTGGGGTATTTAGAGAAATTTGTGATGGGGTAAGTATCTAAAGCAATTTGCAGGAACTTTGAGAAATTATCCTTAAAAAATTCCCCTTTCGAGGAATTCTGGGATAGTGGTTTACCCTTTGGAAAAATTGTAAGTACCTACATGTAGAAAATTGAGACTAAAACGAAAAATTCTCACCAGCCAATTGTCGATTATTCTTCAAAATAATATTACATTGAGGACAACCAATCGACCTCTTACTCCGTGCAGTACTAGCGTGACTTTTCTCGTGCTTTCTCAATCTGGCTTTAGTTTTAAAGGCAGTCTGGCAATAGCTACAAACAAAAGGTCTATCACCCGAATGGGTTTTCATATGATCTTCCAAATGGGCAAATTGTGTGAATTTTTTGCCGCAATCTGTGCATTCGAATCGTCTTTCGCCAGTATGAATCCGCATGTGCTTATTCATGTTTCCATTTACTGTAAACTTTTTGCCGCAAATTTGACACTCAAATGGTTTTTCGCCAGTATGTTTTCTGGCGTGTACTTTTAGCTGGGTGTTGTCTCTGAAGAGTTTTTGGCAGTTGCAGCACTTGTACCTTTAAAAATTCAATTAACTTAACAAATAAACACCAAATGTATTGAATTACTTTTTATCGTGCATTCTTCTAGATTTTATATGCAAATCCAAATCGCTGGAATTCGCGAAAATCTTTTGGCATATTTGACATTGCACATTATCTTCCTCCTCTGAGCTGGAAGATGTTGATGATGATGAATCTGAGCTATCATCAGATTCACTGGAATTTTTATTATCCTAAAGTTTTGGGATTTTAATCAAAAACCAAATTGAATTGTTTTTTTGAAAATACCTGATTAAAACTTATAGAAACTGGACCATTTTCGTTATGCAAACTGATAGCTAGGAAATCGTTGACTCTAGTTGCATCTTCAATAGTGTAGTCTGTTGTTGTAGAAGGGAAAACTGGAAAATGGATTAATATACAAAAAAACCACCAATAATAATGTCACGAATAGATATATAAGAGATTTTTCTGATTTAGGGAATTAATGTTCTTTCTGTTTGTTATTTGTTTTTTTCAATTTTTCATTCAATTTTTCTCTGAATTTTTCATTTTTTCTTCATTACACGCTTTTGAATTGCCTCTTGAAAATTAAGAGTTTGAACTGTCAACTTTGAGGCTGAATTGCTCAAAAACTGTTTGAGTTATCAAACTGAATTTTGAACAGATTTATAGAGAATTTAATGCTCTTTCTAAAGGTATATAATTTAATTCAATTTGCTCAAAATTTACCAAAGATATGGGCAATTGTCCATGACAATGTCAAGATTTTGAAATTCTTGAGAGCTAAAAATAGGATTTTCTTTTTATTTTTGTTTCTGGTTAAAATGGCCATTTGGAATTGATGTTAGGGTTATTTTCCACTTATTTTGACTCGCGAATGAACCTATAGGCAATTTTGAAGTATCGTTTAGACTCAAAGAGAATTCTTGTCCAATTTTCTGAAAACCTACCTTATGCTTTGCATGATAAACTGAACATTAAACCTGATGAATTGGTCAATGGGGGCATTTTAGTTCCTGTAAGCACTAGTTGGGCAAGCCCCATCGTTATCGTCCCAAAGAAAAATGGGGATATCAGGGTGTGTGTGGATTTCGAGGTGATTTTAAATCCGGTATTATGTCAGGATATTTATCCCCTTTCCAATATAAATAATTTTCTGCCAAAATTGAAGGGTGGTAAGGTTTTTTGTACTCTTGATTTGTTGGGTGCTTATCAACAATTGCCTGTTGATCCCTCGTCTCAGGAACTTTCGACTATTAACACTAATTTCGGGCTATTCAGATACACTCACTTATGGCATCAGTAGTGTTCCTGCTATTTTTCAGATAACCATGGACAGAATATTGAACTGGTTAAATAATGCCAGTGCAGCACAAATATTAAGGAAGATATTGGGCATAAGGTTAACCCAGAAGAATAGAACAGTCATTATAGGCAGGCAGTGAAAATAATAAACACATAGTTTCTCTGAAAAACAAGCTAGGCAAGGATAATACAATTGAAATTCCTAGCAAACTAGCAAGAAAAAACCAAAGTTAAAGATTATAAATCTAAGCAGCTCAGATGTTAATATTGAAGATGATGATGAAGCCATTGTAGAATACAATGAGCTTAACATAGACAAGAAATTTAACATGAAGATACTGATACTTATTTAATATTGGAAACTGATCCACGAACACATAGTGTTTTGATTGGCCAGGGAAGGGTGAGACTTGCTTGGTCAAGAATACCTGTTTTCAATCATGTCAGCATTTTTCAGTGTTACATGCTCCATTTAGAACTGTAAGGATGAGTAAGCCTCACACTCCATGGCTAACTGAATCTATAAAATGTCTAATATGTCTAATGAGACAAACGGATAATGTAGTTCAGGCTAGGTTAAGAAATACAGTGGAAAATTGTCAACATTACAAGAGTCTTAGAAATTTGACAAAATCAGCTCTATGTAGTGGAAAGGCTGCGCTGCATATCTGACTTATGTAGTAAGTGGAAAAGATGTACGTAAAATATGGAAAACACCTCAAGATTTTAATGTACATGCTCCTAAGGGAGGTAAAAATGTGTTAGCCAAGGGGTAAACCACCATCCCAGAATTGGTGCAAACAATTCTTCAAAGGGAAATTATTTACGCATAATTCCTCAAAATTCCTCCAAATTCCTGCAGATACTCCATCACAAATTCCTCCAAATACCCTACTACTCGCCCTACTACGAACTTCTCCAAATACCCCACAAATTCCTCTAAAAAAAAAGGGATATTTTAAAACTTTTTGCATGTAAAGAGGAAGGTGAGAAGCTCATTTTCCCGAAATTTCAAATTTTTCCAGTAGAAAACAGCAACATGAAAAATCTTGGAAATCAACCTACAAAAACTGAATTAGTGGAAAATACTAGTCTCACATATTTCAAAGTTTTCCTGGAAAACTAGTGAAGGGATAAATTTTGAAACTTTTTGCATGTAAAGAGGAAGGTGAGAAGCTCATTTTCCCAAAATTTCAAATATTTCCAGTGGAAAACAGCAACATGAAAAATCTTGGAAATCAACCTACAAAAACTGAATAAGTTGAAAAAACAGTCTCACACATTTCAAAGTTTTCCTGGAAAACTAGTGAAGGGTAAATTTTGAAACTTTTTGCATGTAAACAGGAAGGTGAGAAGCTCATTTTCCCAAAATATAAAATTTTTCCAGTGGAAAACAGCAACATGAGGAATATTGGAAATCAACCTACAATAACTAAATTAATTGAAAATACAGTCTAACACCTTTCAAAGTTTTCCTGGAAAACTAGTGAAGGGCGACATTTGAAACTTCTTGCATGTAAACAGAAAGGTTAGAAGCTCATTTTCCCAGAATTTCAAATTTCTCCAGTAAAAAAATTAAAACATGAGGAATCTTGGAAATCAACCTACATTAACTGAATTAGTTGAAAATACAGTTTCATACATATTCTAAAGTTTTTCTGGAAAACTAGAAAAGGGAAAATTTTGAAACTTTTTGCATGTAAAGAGGAAGGTGACAACATCATTTTCCCAAAATTTCAAATTTTTCTAGTGGAAAAAAGCAACATGAAAAATCTTGGAAATCAACCTACAAAAACTAAATTAGTTAAAAATACAATCTCACACATTTCAAATTTTTCCTGGAAAACTACTAAAGGGAAAATTTTTAAAATTTTTGCATGTAAAGAGGAAGATGAGAACATTATTTTCCCAAAATTTCAAATTTTTCCAGTGGAAAAAAGCAACATGAAAAATCTTGGAAATCAACCTACAAAAACTAAATTAGTTAAAAATACAATCTCACACATTTCAAATTTTTACTGGAAAACTACTAAAGAGAAAATTTTGAAAATTTTTGCATGTAAAGAAGAAGGTGAAAAGCTCATTTTCCCAAAATTTTAAATTTTTCCAGTGGAAAACAGCATCATGAGGAATATTGGAAATCAACTTACAATAACTGAATTCATTGGAAAAACAGTCTCACATATTCCAAAGTTTTCCTGGAAAACTAGTTAAGGGAAAATTTTGAAACTTTTTGCATGTAAAGAGGAAGTTGAGAAGCTCATTTTCTCATAATTTCAATTTTTTTCAGTTGAAAATAAAAACATGAAAAATCTTGGAAATCAGCCGACAAAAACTGTATTCATTATTCTTTTGAATTTTTTAAATTTCACAATTTTCTTTAAATTCCTCATAAATTCCTCACAAATTCTCTTAAATTCTCCATAAATTCCTCCAAATTCCCTATAAATTCCCCAAATTCTCATAAATTCGAATGAGTTCTTTCAAATTCCCCAGATTTTTGGCAAAGAATTCCTAGGTGGTTTGCCCCTTGGTGCCAGCATTCATCAATGCAGATTCCCTAAATCAATATTATTGTAGCGTTTTTCAAAAGAAAAACAAGTGTGATAATAGAATATCGTATTTCAATAATAATAAGTACAATGAAGACATTTGATCAAGAAATTTTCTTTTGGCCTAGTAAGTAAGTACAGATGCATTTATAGTATTAAATCTAATGCAACAGGATGTGATGGCTTGACACTTCACATGATTGAGCTATGCCTGTCTTTTGACCTCAAATATATAATAAACAGCCGCTTGGAAAGGAGATATTTTCCACGGTGTTGGAAAAGATCGTTGATCACTCCAGTATTCCACTTCCAAAAGCAAAAAATTATATTGATATGAATGACTACAGGCCAGTGAACTTACTCCAGTTTTGTCAAAGGTGCTAGGAAAAGTGGTTCATTTACAGGTTCCAGTTCATCAATCGGGCTTTAGGGAGGACCATAGTACAACTTCAGCTCTTCTAAATATTACTAAAGACATTGTTGTAGCTCTGGATAAAAAAAACTCTGGCAGCCATTTTGGTTCTACTTGATTATTCAAAGGCTTTTGATGTGATTGACCTTCATTGAATTTGTGCTAAGCTGTTATTTTATGTCTTTGAAAAAATATGTCTTTGAAAAAATTCAATTCCTACTTAGCTTATAGATCCCAGATTGTGAGAATTAGAGATAGGGTGTCACAGCACGCAGATGTCGTATCGAGGGTGCCTCAGGGGTCAATTCTTGGCCTTCTTTTGTTTGTGTGATATTTTTTCAGTAGTTTCAAATTCACATTTGCAGGCTCATGCTGATGACACTCAGCTAATGTTTAGTTTTGATCCCTCTGATCCTCAGGGAGCTGCAGGTTTGGTGAATGATGACTTGTAGTGTTCTAGGGAGCACAATTTGAAAATTAACTCAAATAAAACTGAAGTCGCTCTATTTTGTAATAGGAATCAGTGAAGCTGGCTACCAGATCGGTTGCAACTTTATATTGAAGGGGAAGTTTTGGGCTTCTCTGACTGTGCTAAAAATTTTGGGCTTCATTGAGGTTTTATAAACATGTTTGGAGTCTACTGCAGAAAAGTTATGCTAAAATAAAACTCTTATATTCAAATAGGTATATTGAATATTGTATATTGAATTATAAAATGAGAAGGAAATTGTGTGAGACTGAGTGTGAGACCCTTATCATGTCTATTTAAAGTCACAGTTATATTGTTCATTATTCCATTTATACATGTTGTAACAAGGAAAAGAGTGCAGTTTGTACAGAACACATGTAGATTTATATTAAGTCTTAAGGCGGTTACACACGGATGTGGATGTCTGAAAACATGTACGCACATACATGAACGCGCAAACAAAAACATCAATGTGTATGCAAAATATCGTCGCGTTTTTGAATGTGCAATTTTGTATGCACATTCGGAATACTGTAGCAAGAATAGCAAGACTGCAGTTTTATGCGAGCGTCTGTACAAAGGCATGCACGTTGTTGTTTGCACGTTGATGTATGCACTTATATGTATTAAAACATCCACGTCTGTGTGTAACCGCTCTTAGGAAGTATGGTTTGGTGTCAAACAACATTAGGCAACTTAGATGGCTGAGATGTGATGATATGTACAAACTGAATTCTATGACATTTTTCAGGAAATTGTTGAACACTAGATTACCAGTGTACCTTTACCAAAAGTTGGAGCTTAGGGCTAATGTACATAATGTTAATTTAAGAGATCGAAATTGCTTCACAATACCAAGGCACAGAACCACATTGTTTCAAAGGGAGTTTGAGAAAAATAAAATAAAATAAAATTAAGTTCATCTAAACCATTTTGTGCTTTATTTCTGTATATTGTATTATGGTGGTAGCATGTGGGATGTGAGTTGGGTATATCTTTATGGTGATATACTGTGGGGAAAATGACTCTCATACTTTACCTCACAACTCTGGTAATTTCAATCCGATCTCAAAGTAATTAGGCTTAAATTAAGGCCAATTAAACCCTCTTTCCTACCTACCTAATTAAACTGCTGCTCAAACAGTAGGTATTGCAAACTGGGAAAAAAAAAGCATAGAAAATACCAGCTAGGTAACAACCAGACGTTCATAATTTGGCCCTAATAGTAGCAGGGCAGAGGATTACTATTATCTTCTAGTTATTGCTGTTTATGAAACTGGCCATTAAATACCTATAGGTAACTTCAGTGACCTAAATTTTACACATACATAAAAAGTACATATAAATCAACTTGTATAGTGTCTACAACCTTTTTAAATACAAAAACTTTAATCCTAGGGTTTATTTTATGTAGTAAATAAACCTAATGAAAACCCGGGTGAAAACCATTGAACATGTGTGTGAATCATAGGTGTAAATGGTAGTAGCTGAACTCGCTAGTGTAATGTATAAAATAGTATCTACACCTGTTAATCAAAATTAAAACATTACCTTCATCATATTGCCTGCTTTGCAAATCCACATATTTGGGCAAATCCCCTTCGCTAGCAGAACCTTCTTCTTCTTGATGGATCCCAGCAGCAAAATCCTCAATTTTAAGAGGATTTGTATTAATATTAACAGGCGAAGACCCATCTTCTTTCACTAAAGCCATTTTTGAATAAAATGGCACTTGAATTAAAACCCTACATTAGTTAATAAATAATTAAAATAAATTATTATAAATAATCTTTAAAAATGGGGTTTGTTGTTGTTTTTGTTTGACATTTTGATGATGTTTACTTGTCACAGGTGACAGGTTTCAGTGTATATGTGTCCTTGTTTAGTTGCACAAAAAAGACAAGGATAAAAATGGGGATACATGTCAAGCTTCATTCTAAAACTGTTTATCGAACGTCCTCTCATCTCATTCATACTTCCAAGGTTGTTTTTTTTGTTGTTGGGGGCTCCTGTTTGTAAATTAATTAAAAAACCAAGAAAATCCTTTAAATTATAGAGTTTATTTATAAATGCAAATTGTAGGACAATTTCTTGTTAATTGGCTTTCGATTTCCATTGATTTATCATTATGGAGGAAAAACCTAACCTAGACATTGTAATTTTGGCCGTGTCCACTTTGTACAAGAACCCGGAGAGAACAGAAAAGGAAAGGGCTTCGGAATGGCTGTTGAACTTACAAAAATCGGTAAGCAATTAGAAAAATCAGCCCTTTTTTTAATTGGTTTTATAGGGCTCGAACTACATTTTTTAGCTTTCGAGCATTCAAAAACCCAAAGGTCCTTATTCTTCAAACAGGGGAATAACGTGTGTGTTTCCTCTTTCTGAATGATAAATGCAAATGATAATATAAGAACAAAGACGGAACAGTAGTTTTCCTGGGATTGCTGCTCTCCTGTTTCAAGAATAAGGACCCTGGTATTTTTATAAGGTGAATGAATTGATATTTACGTCTCAACAAATTGAATCATTACTGAGACATAAAAATAATCCAAATCTATTGTCCATTATAATGGTAATCTGTCTTTATATTTTACATTTACATTTTCTAGCTTTGGGGCATTTAAAAAGCAACCCCCTGGTATTTTTAGAGGATAAATTATTTGATATTAATGTATCAGCAATCAATAATAGTTTTACTATTGAATCATTGAGGATTGTTTTTGGTCTTCAGTACAGTAGTGTCGCGATAATCTGATCCCGCGATAATCCGTATGCTTCTGTAATCTGCATCGCATTTTTGTTCCCTTGATGTACTCTGTAATCCGGATTTCACTTGATTCAGTAATCCGAATTCATTTACATGACTCTTGAAAATAAAAGCACAGAGTGGTGGGACTCCGTGCAACGTAGAATTCGACATATCGAAACATATCACATGCCGCACAGTGTGCCGAGTCTATAAAATCCTGTCGATATGTAGAATTCTACCCGACATGGAGTCCCTGAGCAGGTTTTCACTTGCCGTTTTGTAACTGCGTTCAAGTGGATACATAGTTTTTACATGTCTACATTGTCTACACGCATCATTCAATACGCAGCGTCCTTCCTGACTGTAAGGGCTTTTTCAAAGAAAATGACACAACTTCTTCCAAGCGGTGCAAAAGAATGTAGAAAAAGGTGGACAAAATTCAAATGGTGAAAATAATGTAAACGAAAGTTGGAACAATATTGACTAATACTTTCATACTTACATATTTCGCACTCTATATAGAAGTATTTTTTTCGTTTGTCTTGTTTTTCAAATAAATATAAAGCTTTTTTTGCTTAAATACAGCATGTTATTTTTTCAAAATAGTTTAAAAAACGAACTGTAAAATGCCTTAGTAATCCGAATAATTTGATAATCCGGATTGGTCTGGTTTTAATTGATCCGGATTATCGCGACACTACTACTGTATTGTGAGGATGTTAACATCCTCACTGTTTCACAGCTTCATTAATAAGAAATTGCTAACATTGCCTTCTTTATTTATATTTGAATGTTTAATGTATGTTAAAGAAAATTTGGGTGAATACAGCTTAATATCAGAAACACACAATCACCAAATAAGAACTGCTTCGAGTATCAGGTTACCCTTTACCAGGTTGGAGCACTCTAGGTATAGCAAAAATTACTATGCATGGCGAGTATGGAAAATTTGACGTTTGTTTGTTTATCTTGAGTTTATTTGGAATATATTCAAGCTAATTACAGTTTACTTTGTTATAATATACTTTTTGAGATGCAGAGTGAATATTTAAAGACTTAAATCCAGGAAAATCGGGATGTGGGCGAACAGTTAGTTTGAAAAAATGTCCAGTTGACATTTTGACCCACAGTTTTCACAAATTTCACATTAATGAGCAAATGAAGGCCTACAAAAGCTGAACTAATTGATATTAATGTCTCGACAATTCAGTTTAATTCAATTCAATTCAATTTATTCAATAATCATTAATGGTACAAAGAAAATATAAATATAAAATCAAAATCCAGTAAATATAAAGTTTTAAATAATTCAAAATTTAGCACCTAGGTGTGAACCCGTATGTGCTCTTTGTTACATAAAAGGATATAAATTTTATCACAGCTAGGGTTTTGACTATTTCACTAAAATTTCAATATAAACCAAGATATAAACTAAAAACAGAGAATAAAAGTAGTAAATATATGAACTGTACAAACAAAAACAATTAGGTACATTAAACAATAGTTACATCCAAGTTAGCAAGGTTGAGAACAAACAACAAAAGGTAGGTACCTACATACAATTTAAAACAATTCAGTGACATAAATAGGATTTTCAAAAAAGAAACTCTTAAATTTACCTTTTAAGCGCTTTTTTTCTTTGGTATTTCTTATTTCTAATGGTATCCTCTCGGGTATCCTATTAGGTCTGTTTCTGCAGAAATTACAAACCAGTCAGAGTGAATTTCTTTGGTTGAGAACAGTCAGGAAACTAGTTTCAACCAATGAAATTCACTCTTACTGGTTTGTGATTTCTGCAGAAACAGACCTATTATAAAGTTTTGGACCCAAATAACTTGCAAAATGTTGTCCCAAACTATTGTTACAAAAAGTTGTATTTAAAAGATGATTTTCATTATCTCTAGCGCTGTAGTTATGACTGATATATTGTGAACACATACTTACCTACCATTAATATGAACAAAATTACACACACTTAAAATATAGAGACTTTTTACATTGATAATTTCACCAGAGTATAGTTAACTAGTAGGATACAATCTTGGCTTATTGAGTATAATTTTAACAATGTTATTTTATATTTTCTTAAGTTGTTCCAGATATATATTATATGCCCAACCCCAAACAATAATTGCATAATTGAGTAGTGGTTCAACCAACCCCTTATCTGCTTCTATATATATAAAAATTAATGCCACTTTTCGTTGTAATTTTATAACTCAAGAACGGGCTCACCTAGCCAAACCAAATGTTTAGGCTTTGTTCGGACTATGTATTAAATGGTTTATGTGAAGTTTGCACAAAATCGGTCTTCATTATTCCACTATTCCGATCAGATAGAGTAGTGCAGGAAGAGTAGATCAGATAGAGTAGTGCAGATAGAGTAGAACAGATGGAGTAGTGCAGTGCATGCAGTGCAGATAAAGTGAAACAGGGCTGCACTAGAGATTTTTTTTGTTTTCTTTACATTCTTTGAACATTCCTGTGCCTGAGTTTATTTATTTGGTGGTACACTTTACAAGAATAATGCCCACAAGCTGCGTAAAAAAAATAAATAAATAAATAAATAAATCCCGAAATAAATATTTGGCAATCAGTGATCAATGAATCACATGTATTCCCATCCCAAGAATTGCTGAACTGATTGTCAATGATTTTCAGATATTTTTGTATGATTACCAGGTGATTTTCATTTTTTCTGGGGTTTCCTATATCATTCCCAAGTGATTACCTGATTTCCTTGATGAATTGATGATTTCCTACAATCATCCGATTTCCAGTTGATTTTATTCGCATTGATATGATCAAAATAAAGATTCTTTTCTCCTTAAAAAACATGTTTCCACTGAAAAATTGGCAACTTCTGTATTTGCAACTCTTCTAAAAGTGAGCAACTTTTATTTTCATTCACTAACCCACACCGATTTTGTTGTAGGTATAAATAGTTGTTGTGTCCTAGATAACATTGTGTCTACACCTCGGTCTACACTGCATAAGCATAATATGGATCTAAAATAATGGATATTTCTTCCCTTTCACTAGAATGTTCATCTGGATCGCAGAGACATCTTCAATTAGGGTTTGACTCGTCTCTGCTTAGTATTTATCCTACTTTCACTTTTCAAGTTCTTATTACCTTGGATTCCAGACTTTCTCTTTTGTGTCTTTCTCAGGGACATTCCCATAGCTCTTGATACTCGATCGACAAACGTCCCTTTTCTCTGAAAACCCCCAAATTAAAGTTGAGCCCTGCTGAATAATCTCTTAATAGGGTACTTGCATGGAAAATTAAATTGATTATTGTTTATTGCAAACTGTAGGAAATCGAAAAAAATCGATGCGTGTTTTTTTATTTTGTCCAAATATGATTATTTCGAAAGTTATGCAAAAATTGAGTTTTGTATATATAGATATACTGAGCATGTGCGACGTCACAACGTATTATAAGTTATGACGTCAGAAGGACATTTCAAAGCGTTGTATCTCCGTCAATTTTTGATTAGCAAGAAAAAGAAAAAACACGTGTTCACTTATTTTTCATGGACTATCGAAATCAGCACTAAAAAAATTTGATGCAAGGGGCCTATTGTAGCGAATCGCAATTGCTGAACCTTGATGTGTGAAGAAATTCTGTGTCTTCTTTTGATAAGTCGGATTCGAAAGAGGTTTCAAGATTCATGTTTTCATTTTTATGATCTACATTGTCATACTTTAAGTCTGTTATCACAGAAATCACAAACCGGACTGAGCCAGTTTCATTGGTTGAAAATAGTCAGGAAACTGATTCTTATTCTAGTTCTAAACACTTCGTAGACTTGGGTACACTTATTGGCTCAGTTACTGGAAAACTTGTTGGAATATCAAATTCATTCCAAATTTTCTAGCGCTGACTGGTACGCTGTATGATTTAAAATGACGTATGATATGCGATTTCTGGGTTAGAATGAGATGATATTCCCAGCGATTACCCCATGATTCTCTGCAATTGCCAATGGATTCCTATGTGATTCCCATGGAGTCCTAGGAGATTCCTAGCGATTCCCAGGTTATTCCCAAGGACTCCCAAGTGATTTCCATGTAATCCTGATTGGTTACTATTACTATGTGATTCCCAAAAAAATGGACCATGATTTTCAATTCAATTTTCAATCCTCCTGAGACAAATTGGAATGTTTTAAAAACATTGTAAAACGTTACAAAACACTTTAGAACCAATTTAGAATTTCAGAAACATTCTAGAACAGACCAGAACACTTTTGAACGTTCGGCAACATTTCAGTCAGCTTTTGGAACACTCTAGAACATTTTACAAATTATATTGAACTTCTGGAAACAATCTGGAACTGAAAACTTTCATAGTATCTTGAAAATTGTTACAAAACACTTTAGAACTTTCATGAACATATTAGAACGCTCTAAAACACTTCTTAACTTATTTAGAATTTCAATCAGAAGTATCAAAAAGCGCTTAAAGGTTAAAAATATGAACTGAAAAACTTCAGAGTGCGCTTGTGGAACATTTTTATGCATTTTTAAACGCTCTAGAACACTTTGGAGTAGATTTAGAACTTTGATAAGCCTCAGAAGACTTCCAATTCAATTATCTGATGCCTATTCACAATAAATTTGAACAAAACATTCTAGAACACTTTAGAACCAATAATTAGTGTTTTCAGAACTATTGTTCAAGACAAATTTAGAACTTTAATAAGTGTCAGAAGACTTTCTATTCAATTTTCAGGTTTCTTACTTTTTAGAAATATTGTAGAACGCTTCAGAACACTTTTGACGTTTTAGCAACATTTTAGAAAGTTCCAGGACATTCAATAAATGGCTGAAACTTTTAAAACCACCTTAGAACTTTTGTCATAAACTTGTAGAGTAGAAAAAGAACTAATGAAGCTAAATTAGGGTATCAAAAATATTACTTTGAAGGAGTTTAATTTTTTCATTTTGACTGATATCCTAACAGTATCTGAAAAAAGTCTAGTAAAGCTAAACTCTAAAGTAAAATAGCCCAAAGTTCCAGAATTTGTTATTAAGTACTTTATTTCCTAATACTCTGATAGAGACAAAATAATTTCTTTTTTACAGGTCCATGCATGGTCAATAGCAGACGAATTGTTACACAAAAAACCAGACTTGGAATCTTGCTACTTTGCAGCCCAAACAATGAGAACAAAAATCCACCAATCCTTCCACGAATTGCCAGTAGAAGTTCACGCAGCATTGAGAGATTCTCTTTTAGAGCATATTAGTCAAATTAATGAAGGAACTAATACCGTAATAACCACCCAGCTATGCCTCGCTCTATCAGATTTGATATTGCAAATGCCCTCTTGGCCTTGTGCTTCTTTAGATTTAATTAATCGTTTTTCTAATCACTCTTACATGTGGCCTTTGGTGGAGATTTTGACTGTTTTGCCTGAAGAATTGGAGGGTAGATCTGTAAGGTAAGTATTTTGTGAATTAGTAGAAAATTACTCAACATCATTACCAAATAGTTGTTTAGTTGATTTTTAGTGGAAATTTGTTAAAAACATCAAACTCAATCTTTTCAGCTACCATAAGCCATAAGCCTAGCAATATATTTTTTGAAGAATCACAAAAACTACAATTCCTGTAAATTTTGTCTCAATATAAATATGCCTCATGGTTACTGAGATATTGAATAAATTGAAATTTTAATTTTTCAATTTTCCTTAATTTTGACTTCACCAATAAATAGAGCACGTCTAATTTAGTGGAAAACGACTCTAACATCATTTCCAAATAACAATTTCAAATAGAAAAAAATTCCTAAAGAAAAACTCATTTTTGGCTGTGAACTTTTTTTAAAAACCTATCATAGTTATAGATAATGGCCCATATTTTGAATAATTCTTGAGCAAATTAACTTAAATTATTTATTATTGGAAAGGGCATGAAATTCTCTTTAAAACTGTGCTAAATTTGGCCCGATAGCTTTTAGGCTTCCTTAGCTACCAAGCATCAAAGTTAAACTTTAGTCGTAATTTTTTCCAATAATTCAAACTGAATTTTCTCAAAAACTGTATTTGCTAGTGACTTCAATTAAATACCATTTCGAAGCCCTTATCAAGAGCTACAAGAGCTGACAATTTTGTCCCAATACCGCTTTTGGTTACCGAGGTATCGATGTTTGAAAATTTACAAATAAAAATCCAAAGGGAAAAATGTGCAAAAAATTGAAAATTTTTATTTTTGAATTTTTCTCAATTTTGACTTCACCAATGGATAGAGCAGGTCCAAATTAGTGGAAAACGACCCTAACATCATTTCCAAATAACAATTTCAAAGAGAAAAAAAATCCTAAAGAAAAACTCATTTTTGGCTTTGAACTTTTTTAAAATCCTAACATAGTTATGGATAATGGCCCATATCTTGAATAATTTTTGAGCAAATCAATTTAAATTATATATCATTGGAAAGAGCAATAAATTCTCTTCAAAACTGTGCCATATTTAGCCCAGTAGCTCTTGAGCTTCTTGAGCTACCAAGCATCAAAGTTGAACTTTAGTCGTAATTTTGTCAAAAACTTCAAACTGAATTTTCTCAAAAACCGTAAATGCTAGCGATTTCAATTAAATACCATTTCGAAGCCCTTATCAAGAGCTACAAGTACTGACAAGTTTGTCCCAGTACCACTTTTAGTTACCGAGGTATTGATGTTTGAAGATTTGTAATTAAAAATCCAAAGAGGCTAGCCTCAGAAAAAGGTGCAAAAAATTGAAAATTTGTATTTTTGAATTTTTCTCAATTTTGACTTCACCAATGGATAGAGCAGGTCCAAATGAGTGGAAAACGACTCTAACATCATTTCCAAATAACAATTTCAAAGAAAAAAAAAATCCTAAAGAAAAACTAATTTTTGGCTGTGAATTTTTTTTAAAATCCTAACATAGTTATGGATAATGGCCCATATCTTGAATAATTTTTGAGCAAATCAATTTAAATTATATATCATTGGAAAGAGCATTAAATTCTCTTCAAAACTGTGCCATATTTAGCCCAGTAGCTCTTGAGCTTCTTGAGCTACCAAGCATCAAAGTTCAGCTTTAGTCGTAATTTTGTCAAAAAATTCAAACTGAATTTTCTCAAAAACCGTACATGCTAGCGATTTCAATTAAATACCATTTCAAAGCCCTTATCAGGAGCTACAAGTACTGCCAATTTTGTCCCAGTTCTGCTTTTAGTTACCGAGGTATCGATGTTTGAAAATTTACAAATAAAAATCCAAAGGGGTTACCCTCAAGAAAAAGTGCAAAAAATTGAAATTTTTTATTTTTGAATTTTTTGCTCAATTTTGACTTCACCAATGGATAGAGCAGGTCAAAATTAATGGAAAACGACTGCAACATCATTTCCAAATAACAATTTCAAAGAGAAAAAAAATCCTAAAGAAAAACTCATTTTTGGCTTTGAACTTTTTTAAAAATCCTAACATAGTTATGGATAATGGCCCATATCTTGAATAATTTTTGAGCAAATCAATTTAAATTATATATCATTGGAAAGAGCAATAAATTCTCTTCAAAACTGTGCCATATTTAGCCCAGTAGCTCTTGAGCTTCTTGAGCTACCAAGCTCAAAGTTGAACTTTAGTCGTAATTTTGTCAAAAAATTCAAACTGAATTTTCTCAAAAACCGTACATGCTAGCGATTTCAATTAAATACCATTTCAAAGCCCTTATCAAGAGCTACAAGTACTGACAATTTTGGCCCAGAACCACTTTTAGTTACCGAGGTATTGATGTTTGAAGATTTGTAATTAAAAATCCAAAGGGGATACCCTTAGAAAAAAGTGCAAAAAATTGAAAATTTTTATTTTTGAATTTTTCTCAATTTTGACTTCACCAATAGATAGAGCAGGTCCAAATTAGTGGAAAACGACTCAAACATCATTTCCAAATAACAATTTCAAAGAGAAAAAAAATCCTAAAGAAAAACTCATTTTTGGCTTTGAACATTTTTTTAAAAATCCTAACATAGTTATGGATAATGGCCCATATCTTGAATAATTTTTGAGCAAATCAATTTAAATTATATATCATTGGAAAGAGCATTAAATTCTCTTCAAAACTGTGCCATATTTAGCCCAGTAGCTCTTGAGCTTTTTGAGCTACCAAGCATCAAAGTTGAACTTTAGTCGTAATTTTGTCAAAAAATTCAAACTGAATTTTCTCAAAAACCGTACATGCTAGCGATTTGAATTAAATACCATTTCAAAGTCCTTATCAAGAGCTACAAGTACTGACAATTTTGTCCCAGTACCACTTTTAGTTACCGAGGTATTGATCTTTGAAGATTTGTAATTAAAAATCCAAAGGGGATACCCTTAGAAAAAAGTGCAAAAAATTGAAAATTTTTATTTTTGAATTTTTCTCAATTTTGACTTCACCAATGGATAGAGCAGGTCTAAATTAGTGGAAAACGACCCTAACATCATTTCCAAATAACAATTTCAAAGAGAAAAAAAATCCTAAAGAAAAACTCATTTTTGGCTTTGAACTTTTTTAAAAATCCTAACATAGTTATGGATAATGGCCCATATCTTGAATAATTTTTGAGCAAATCAATTTAAATTACATATTATTGGAAAGAGCATTAAATTCTCTTCAAAACTGTGCCATATTTAGCCCAGTAGCTCTTGAGCTTTTTGAGCTACCAAGCATCAAAGTTGAACTTTAGTCGTAATTTTGTCAAAAAATTCAAACTGAATTTTCTCAAAAACCGTACATGTTAGCGATTTCAATTAAATACCATTTCAAAGCCCTTATCAAGAGCTACAAGTACTGCCAATTTTGTCCCAGTACCGCTTTTAGTTACCGAGGTATCGATGTTTGAAAATTTACAAATAAAAATCCAAAGGGGTTACCCTCAAGAAAAAGTGCAAAAAATTGAAATTTTTTATTTTTGAATTTTTGCTCAATTTTGACTTCACCAATGGATAGAGCAGGTCAAAATTAATGGAAAACGACTGCAACATCATTTCCAAATAACAATTTCAAAGAGAAAAAAAATCCTAAAGAAAAACTCATTTTTGGCTTTGAACTTTTTTAAAAATCCTAACATAGTTATGGATAATGGCCCATATCTTGAATAATGTTTGAGCAAATCAATTTAAATTATATATCATTGGAAAGAGCATTAAATTCTCTTCAAAACTGTGCCATATTTAGCCCAGTAGCTCTTGAGCTTCTTGAGCTACCAAGCATCAAAGTTGAACTTTAGTCGTAATTTTGTCAAAAAATTCAAACTGAATTTTCTCAAAAACCGTACATGCTAGCGATTTCAATTAAATACCATTTCAAAGCCCTTATCAAGAGCTACAAGTACTGACAATTTTGTCCCAGTACCACGTTTAGTTACCGAGGTATTGATCTTTGAAGATTTGTAATTAAAAATCCAAAGGGGATACCCTTAGAAAAAAGTGCAAAAAATTGAAAATTTTTATTTTTGAATTTTTCTCAATTTTGACTTCACCAATCGATAGAGCAGGTCCAAATTAGTGGAAAACGACTCTAACATCATTTCCAAATAACAATTTCAAAGAGAAAAAAAATCCTAAAAAAAACTCATTTTTGGCTTTGAACTTTTTTTAAAATCCTAACATAGTTATGGATAATGGCCCATATCTTGAGTAATTTTTGAGCAAATCAATTTAAATTATATATCATTGGAAAGAGCAATAAATTCTCTTCAAAACTGTGCCATATTTAGCCCAGTAGCTCTTGAGCTTCTTGAGCTACCAAGCATCAAAGTTGAACTTTAGTCGTAATTTTGTCAAAAAATTCAAACTGAATTTTCTCAAAAACCGTACATGCTAGCGATTTCAATTAAATACCATTTCAAAGCCCTTATCAAGAGCTACAAGTACTGACAATTTTGTCCCAGTACCACGTTTAGTTACCGAGGTATTGATCTTTGAAGATTTGTAATTAAAAATCCAAAGGGGATACCCTTAGAAAAAAGTGCAAAAAATTGAAAATTTTTATTTTTGAATTTTTCTCAATTTTGACTTCACCAATGGATAGAGCAGATCCAAATTAGTGGAAAACGACTCTAACATCATTTCCAAATAACAATTTCAAAGAGAAAAAAAATCCTAAAGAAAAACTCATTTTTGGCTTTGAACTTTTTTAAAATCCTAACATAGTTATGGATAATGGCCCATATCTTGAATAATTTTTGAGCAAATCAATTTAAATTACATATTATTGGAAAGAGTACCACTTTTAGTTACCGAGGTATTGATCTTTGAAGATTTGTAATTAAAAATCCAAAGAAAAAAGTGCAAAAAATTGAAAATTTTTATTTTTGAATTTTTCTCAATTTTGACTTCACCAATGGATAGATCAGGTCTAAATTAGTGGAAAACGACTCTAACATCATTTCCAAATAACAATTTTAAGGAGAAAAAAAATTCCTAAAGAAAAACTCATTTTTGACTGTGAACTTTTTTAAAAATCCTAACATAGTTATGGCTAATGGCCCATATTTTGAATAATTCTTGAGCAAATTAACTTAAATTATATATTATTGGAAAGGGCATTCTCTTTAAAACTGTACCAAATTTGGCCCAGGAGCTTTTAGCCTTCCTGAGCTACCAAGCATCAAAGTTGAACTTAAGTCGTAATTTTGTCAAGAAATTCAAACTGAATTTTATCAAAAACCGTAAATGCTAGCAATTTCAACTAAATACCATTTTGAAGCCCTTATCAAAAGCTACTAATACTGAAAATTTCATCCCAATACCGCTTTTGGTTACCGAGATATTGATGTTTAAAGATTTGTAATTAAAAATCCAAAAAAGAAAAAAGTGCAAAAAATTGAAAATTTTTGGATTTTTGTCAATTTTGACTTCACCAGCTAATAGAGCAAGTCCAAATCAGCTTAAACTGACTAACATAATTTTGAAAATCACAATTTCAAAGAGAAACAAAAAATCCTAAAGAAAAACTCATTTTTGGCTCCAAAATCCTAACATAATTACTAATAATTGCCCAAATCTTAAACAATTCTTGAGCAAAGTAGCTTCAATTATATATCATTGGAAAGAGCATTAAATTCTCTATAAAACCGTACCATATTATTTTTGGTAGCTCAAAAAATGTGCAACCCATCAACCGCCAAAGCTTGAACTTTATCCAAATCTAGCTCTTAGTAAATTACTAGAATAATCCTGACAAAACGCCTAATTCTAGATTGGGCGAAAATCGCAGACTAGAAGTACTAGAAGACTTAAAACAATGCGCACCAACAGTACTAGAATTCCTAAAGCATTGCTGTCACACTTACGGTACCAACGTAAACGAAAACACCCATATTGTAGCCAGAATGTTGCGCTGTTTCAACTCCTGGATTTCCGTAGGCGCAATAACTTTGCACGGTCTTTCGGACAATATCGTTTTGAATTTGGCTTTTGACATTTTGGACTTTAGGCCTCACGATGGAAAAGAAGTAAGTTGTCAGTGTTTGAGTTCATATTAAATTTATTTGAAATTTTTAAGTCTTCTGGGGCATTATGTGACGCGGCCACCGAATGCATTTGCACATTGCTTCAGTGTTTAGAGGACAATAACAATCAGCAAGACTTGGAAAATTACCTTTTCACAAACATATTAAAACTAGAAGTGTCTTATCACATTTCGGTTGCCAATGAAGATCAAAGTAAATCTATAGATTATTGTAGATTGTTTACTGAATTGGCTGAGTCGTTTTTGGAAAAAATCGTCTCGAATAGTACGGCATCGAATTTGCATTACGCTATCAAAGTTTTAGATATGGTTTTAATGTGCGTAGGGCATCATGATTATGAAGTTGCTGAAATAACTTTTAACTTGTGGTACGTCCTCAGTGAGGAATTGTATCAGAAAAATAATAAGGAATTAACTGAGCTGTTTAGGCCTTATGTTGAAAGGCTGATAACTGCTTTGTGTAGGCATTGCCAAATGGAACCTGATGGAGATGGTAAATATTCATTAAAAAATAAATAAATACATAATTTACTTGTTGTTTAGGTATTTTAGATGAAGGTGACGAATTTAAAGATTTCAGAAAGAAATCTTCAGACTTGATAAAAGATGTGGTTTTTATTGTGGGCAGCTGTAGCTGTTTCAGACAAATGTTTTTAAATTTACAGACTCCTAATGTTACTTGGGATCAAACTGAAGCTGCTTTATTCGTAATGCAGGCTGTTGCCAAAAATGTCTTACCGTAAGTAGACTTTGCTTTATTCAGTTTGGAATATTTTCAGCTTTATTGTTCATTTTTTGTTTATTCCAGGCTCTTAAATTTTCGTTATTATTTTTAATTCATTGAAAGTTTGTAGAGAATTCAATTGGCTTCAATTTGAGCCTAATTACGTTAAGATCGGATTGAAATTAACAAAGTTGTGAGTCAAAATGTGTGTCAATGTCATCACCAAAACAAGTCTTTGATTTTGAAGTGTTGCAGCTGCTATTGGAGATTGAATTTTTCTATTTCAAGTTTGATTTTTATAAAAATTTAGAGCAGGTACACCAAGGGGTAAATCACCATCCCAGAATTGGTGCAAACAACGCATAATTCCTCAATATTCCTACAAATTCTTCCAAATTCCTCCAGATATCCCATCACAAATTGCTCCAAATACCACACCACGAACTTCTCCAAATACCCCACAAATTCCTCTAGAAAAAGGGAAAATTTTCAAATTTTTTGTATGTAAAGAGGAAGGCGAGAAGCTCATTTTCCCAAGATTTCAAATTTTTCCAGTAGAAAATTACATGAGGAATCTTGAAAATCAACCTACAATAACTGAATTAATTGAAAATACAGTCTCACATATTTCAAAGTTTTCCTAGAAAACTAGTGAAGGGAAAACTTTGAAACTTTTTGCATGTAAAGAGGAAGGTGAGAAGCTCATCTGCCCAAAGTTTCAATTTTTTTCAGTAGAAAATTACAACATGAGGAATCTTGAAAATCAACCTACAATAACTGAATTAATTGAAAATACAGTCTCACATATTTCAAAGTTTTCCTGAAAAACTAGTGAAGGAAAAATTTTGAAACTTTTTGCTTGTAAAGAGGAAGGTGAGAAACTCATTTGCCCAAAGTTTCAAATTTTTCCAGTGAAAAATAACAACATGAAAAATCTTGGAAATCAACCTACAAAAACTGAATTAGTTGAAAATACAGTCTCACACATTTCAAAGTTTTCCTGTAAAACTAGTGAAGAGAGAAATTTGAAACTTTTTGCATGTAAAGGGGAAGGTAAGAAGCTCATTTTCCCAGAATTTCAAATTTTTCCAGTAGAAAATTACAACATGAGGAATCTTGAAAATCAACCTAAAATAACTGAATTAATTGGAAATACAGTCTCACACATTTCAAATTTTTCCTGGAAAACTAGTGGAGGAAAAATTTTGAAACTTTTTGCATGTAAAGAGGAAGCTGAGAAGCTCATTTACCCAAAGTTTCAAATTTTTCCAGTGAAAAATAACAACATGAAATATCTTGGAAATCAATCTACAAAAACTGAATTACTTAGTTGAAAATACAGTCGCACACATTCCAAAGTTTTCCTGGAAAACTAGTAAAGTGAAAATTTTGAACCGTTTTGCATGTAAAGAAAAAGGTAGGAAGCTCATTTTCCCAAAATTTCAAATTTTTCCAGTGGAAAACAGTAACATGAAAAATCTTGGAAATCAACCTACAATAACTGAATTAATTGAAAATACAGTCTCACATGTTTCAAAGTTTTCCTGAAAAACTAGTGAAGGAAAAATTTTGAAACTTTTTGCTTGTAAAGAGGAAGGTGAGAAACTCATTTGCCCAAAGTTTCAAATTTTTCCAGTGAAAAATAACAACATGAAAAATCTTGGAAATCAACCTACAAAAAACTGAATTAGTTGAAAATACAGTCTCACATATTTCAAAGTTTTCCTGTAAAACTAGTGAAGAGAGAAATTTGAAACTTTTTGCATGTAAAGGGGAAGGTAAGAAGCTCATTTTCCCAGAATTTCAAATTTTTCCAGTAGAAAATTACAACATGAGGAATCTTGGAAATCAACCTAAAATAACTGAATTAATTGGAAATACAGTCTCACACATTTTAAAGTGTTCCTGGAAAACTAGTGGAGGGAAAATTTTGAAACTTTTTGCATGTAAAGAGGAAGCTGAGAAGCTCATTTAGCCAAAGTTTCAAATTTTTCCAGTGAAAAATAACAACATGAAATATCTTGGAAATCAACCTACAAAAACTGAATTAGTTGAAAATACAGTCTCACACATTCCAAAGTTTTCCTGGAAAACTAGTAAAGTGAAAATTTTGAACCTTTTTGCATGTAAAGAAAAAGGTAGGAAGCTCATTTTCCCAAAATTTCAAATTTTTCCAGTGGAAAACAGTAACATGAAAAATCTTGGAAATCAACTTAAAATAACTGAATTAATTGAAAATACAGTCTCACACATTTCAAAGTTTTCTTGGAAAACTAGTGGAGAGAAAATTTTGAAACTTTTTGCATGTAGAGAGGAAGGTGAGAAGCTCATTTTCCCAAAATTTTAAATTTTTTCAATGGAAAATAACAACATGAAAAATCTTGGAAATCAGCCTACAAAAACTGAATTAGTTGAAAATACAGTCTCACACATTTCAAAGTTTTCCTGGAAAACTAGTGAAGGGAAAATTTTGAAACTTTTGGCATGTAAAGAGGAAGGTAAGAAGCTCATTTTCCCAAAATTTCAAATTTGTCCAGTAGAAAATTACAACATAAGAAATCTTGGAAATCAACCTACAAAAACTGAATTAGTTGAAAATACAGTCTCACACATTCCAAAGTTTTCCTGGAAAACTAGTAAAATGAAAATTTTGAACCTTTTTGCATGTAAAGAAGAAGGTAAGAAGCTCATTTTCCCAAAATTCCAAATTTTTCCAGTGGAAAACAGCAACATGAAAAATCTTAGAAATCAGCCTACAAAAACTGAATTAGTTGAAAATACAGTCTGACACATTTCAAAGTATTCCTGGAAAACTAGTAAAGGGAAAATTTTGAAACTTTTTGCATGTAAAGAAGAAGGTAAGAAGCTCATTTTCCCAAAATTTCAAATTTTTCCAGTGGAAAATAACAACATTAGGAATATTGGAAATCAGCCTTCAAAAACTGTATTCATTATTCTTTTAATTCCTCATAAATTTCTCACAAATTCTCCCAAATTCCCCATAAATTCCTCCAAATTCCCTATAAATTCCCCAAATTTTCATAAATTTGGATGAGTTCCTTCAAACTCCTCACAAATTCCTCTAAATTTCCCACATTTTTGGCAAAGAATTCCTAGGTGGTTCGCCCCTTGAGCTACACAATTGCAAAATTCAAAAGCCTGGAATAAACACAAAATTATTTGCCTAAATCCTCTCACATATTTGTTTTATTCAAGATCCGAAAATGAAGTGGTACCAAAAGTGGTCGAGGCCATCTTGACCATGCCTCAAACCACCCATTTAGCGGTACGTCACACTTCGGTACTCCTATTGGGCGAACTATGCGAATGGATCCAAAAACACTCTCACGTTTTGGATCCGGTACTCAACTTTCTCGTATCCAGTCTTTCAGCACGAGGATTAGGTAAATTAATAACTGAAAAACTACCTGGATTTTACTGTTGTATTTTTAGGAGCCGCAGCTGCTTCAGCACTACAAAACATATGCATTGCTTGTAATAAGTGCATTTCCAGGCATATGCCGATTTTGTTACAATTGCTACACCAAGTTGATAGTTTCTCTATTACAAATAATGCCATTATTGGTTTGTTAAAAGGTACACAATAATTTTATCCAATAAAAAATGTGCTTCATTAATAATTATTTAGGTGTTGCCTCAATTGTATCAGTGATGCCCCATTCAGAAATAACAGTTGTGTTGCGTGAATTATGTTTTATGCAATTGACTCCTTTGGTACAAGTTATGGAACAAACCACTCTCCCTGTAAAAGGTACCACAAATGATCCAATTTTGTGGCTGGACAGGCTCAGTGCTATTTTAAGGCATGTTATTATTGTGGGGGTTAATGAAAATGAGGTCCATCCGTGCAAACCTGTAGTACTGGAAATATGGCCCATTTTATTGAAAGCTACAGATAAGTACCAAAAGGATACTAGAACCATGGAAAGGTGTTGTAGGAGTATTAGGTTTATGCTTAGATGTGCCAGTCAACAAGTAAGACTTACTTAATTTTCAATAATTATTGTATTATTTTTTCTGAAATTAAAGGTATGTGAAATATTGGAAAGTTTAGTTAGACAAATAATAAGGCTTTATAACGAGCACAAACATTCTTGCCTGCTCTATGTTGGCAGTATTCTAGTGGACGAATACGCTCCAAATTCCCAATGTGTGAACGGGCTTTTAGATATGTTACAGGTAATGGTTATTTTTTAAAAATTTTATAAATGATTTTTTGGGGCTTTTAGGTATTTATTGAACCCACATTTCACATGTTGCAACAAGAAGACGGTCTTCGAAATCATCCGGATACTGTTGATGACTTTTTCAGGCAAGTTTAGATTTTGCAATAATATGCATATAATAATTAATATTTTGTCTAGATTGTGTGCTCGTTTCATCCAACGAGCTCCAGTTCCACTACTCCGTTGCAACGTCTTGGTTCCCATAATCCAGTGTGCAATGTTAGCTGCCTCGTTGGACCACAAAGAGGCCAACATGTCCGTAATGAAGTTTTTTAACGACCTCATTAACCAAGGTTTGACTGGACATTCTTTGCCCGATTTTGCCGAGAGACACCAGCTGGTCAAAGCGATTTTGGACCAATTAGGACAGCAATTGGTTAACGCTTTAGTGCAGGCTTGCGTGTTTTATTTGCACACTTATATGCTAAGCGAAGTTGGAGATGTTTTTGTGCAATTGCTGGATTTCAATAGGGAGAATACGAGTAAATGGATAGCGGGGGCTTTGGATAATCTTCCTAAGCAAAGCAATGGAGGCTTGATGACTGCAACTCCTGAGCAATTAAATGAAATTCATATTAATTTAATTAGGTAAGTCAAATTTTTTTGGAATTTCTTATTTTTAGTGAATTATTGTTGCTTTCAGGTCAAGTACTTCAAAATCCGTAACGCACTCTTTGAAAGACCTAACACGACTGTACCGATAGAAAATAATAATATTATAGTGTTTTAGCAATTGTAATATATTTAATTTGTAAGTTTTATATTTAATTATTAATTGTTAAATAATTTTTATCAATTATTTTTTTTTTATTGTGTAGTTTCTACGCAGGTTTTACTTTAATTTCTTTTTGTCTGAAACTGATGAAAAATAAATTCAACATAAATAAATGAATATTTATGATATTTGTATTTTCCTTTGATTTTTGTTTATTTTTACATTAAATATTTGCCTTATCAGTGGAAAAATCATAGTGAAAAGCCATTGTAGTTGCAAAACTATTAAAGCTGCATTAAAATCATTCACAGGAGATTTGTAAAGAATTTAATTAGCTTCATTTTAAGACTAATTACATCAAGATCGGATCAAAATTAACAAAGTTATAACACAAAGTGTGTCATTTTGATAGAAATCTAAGTCACACAATTTTGCAGCTGCAAAACTATTGAAGCTACATTGAAATTATCCAGAGGAGATTTGTAGAGATTTTGATTGGCTTCAATTTAAGCCTAATTACATCAAGATCGGATCAAAATTAACAAAGTTATGAGAAAAAGTGTGTCATTTTGATAGAAATCTAAGTCACACAATTTTGCAGCTGCGAAACTATTGAAACTACATTGAAATCATCAAGATGATTTCTCTACAAATCTCCTACAGGAGATTTGTAGAGAATTTGATTGGCTTCATTTTAAGATTAATTACATCAAGATCGCATCAAAATTAACAAAGTTATGACACAAAGTGTGTCATTTTGATAGAAATCTAAGTCACACAATTTTGCAGTTGCGAAACTATTGAAGCTACATTGAAATCATTTATAGGAGATTTGTAGAGAATTTGATGGGCTTCATTTTAAGCCTAATTACATCAAGATCGGATCAAAATTAACAAAGTTATGACACAAAGTGTGTCATTTTGATAGAAATCTAAGTCACACAATTTTGCAGCTGCGAAACTATTGAAGCTACATCAAAATCATATAGAGGAGGTTAGTAGAAAATTTGATTGGCTTCAATTTAAGCCTAATTACATCAAGATCGGATTAAAATTAACAAAGTTATGACACAAAGTGTGTCATTTTGATAGAAATCTAAGTCACACAATTTTGCAGCTGCGAAACTATTGAAGTTACATTGAAATAATCCACAGGAGATTTGTAGTTAATTTGATTGGCTTCATTTTGGGCCTAATTACATCAAGATCGGATCAAAATTAACAAAGTTATGACACAAAGTGTGTCATTTTGATAGAAATCTAAGTCACACAATTTTGCAGCTGCGAAACTATTGAAGCTACATCAAAATCATATAGAGGAGGTTTGTAGAAAATTTGATTGGCTTCAATTTAAGCCTAATTACATCAAGATCGGATCAAAATTAACAACGTTATGACACAAAGTGTGTCATTTTGATAGAAATCTAAGTCGCACAATTTTGCAGTTGCGAAACTATTGAAGCTACATTGAAATAATCCACAGGAGATTTGTAGAGAATTTGATTGGCTTCATTTTGGGCCTAATTACATCAAGATCGGATCAAAATTAACAAAGTTATGACACAAAGTGTGTCATTTTGATAGAAATCTAAGTCGCACAATTTTGCAGCTGCGAAACTATTGAAGCTACATTAAAATTATCTAAAGGAAATTTGTAGAGAATTTGATTGGCTTCAATTTAAGCCTAATTACATCAAGATCGGATCAAAATTAACAAAGTTATGACACAAAGTGTGTCATTTTGATAGAAATCTAAGTCGCACAATTTTGCAGCTGCGAAACTATTGAAGCTACATCAAAATCATATAGAGGAGGTTAGTAGAAAATTTGATTGGCTTCAATTTAAGCCTAATTACATCAAGATCGGATTAAAATTAACAAAGTTATGACACAAAGTGTGTCATTTTGATAGAAATCTAAGTCACACAATTTTGCAGCTGCGAAACTATTGAAGCTACATTGAAATAATCCGCAGGAGATTTGTAGTTAATTTGATTGGCTTCATTTTGGGCCTAATTACATCAAGATCGGATCAAAATTAACAAAGTTATGACACAAAGTGTGTCATTTTGATAGAAATCTAAGTCACACAATTTTGCAGCTGCGAAACTATTGAAGTTACATTGAAATAATCCACAGGAGATTTGTAGTTAATTTGATTGGCTTCATTTTGGGCCTAATTACATCAAGATCGGATCAAAATTAACAAAGTTATGACACAAAGTGTGTCATTTTGATAGAAATCTAAGTCACACAATTTTGCAGCTGCGAAACTATTGAAGTTACATTGAAATAATCCACAGGAGATTTGTAGTTAATTTGATTGGCTTCATTTTGGGCCTAATTACATCAAGATCGGATCAAAATTAACAAAGTTATGACACAAAGTGTGTCATTTTGATAGAAATCTAAGTCACACAATTTTGCAGCTGCGAAACTATTGAAGCTACATTGAAATAATCCGCAGGAGATTTGTAGAGAATTTGATTGGCTTCATTTTGGGCCTAATAACATCAAGATCGGATCAAAATTAACAAAGTTATGACACAAAGTGTGTCATTTTGATAGAAATCTAAGTCGCACAATTTCGCAGCTGCGAAACTATTGAAGCTACATCAAAATCATATAGAGGAGGTTAGTAGAAAATTTGATTGGCTTCAATTTAAGCCTAATTACATCAAGATCGGATTAAAATTAACAAAGTTATGACACAAAGCGTATCATTTTGATAGAAATCTAAGTCACACAATTTTGCAGCTGCGAAACTATTGAAGTTACATTGAAATAATCCACAGGAGATTTGTAGTTAATTTGATTGGCTTCATTTTGGGCCTAATTGCATCAAGATCGGATCAAAATTAACAAAGTTATGACACAAAGTGTGTCATTTTGATAGAAATCTAAGTCACACAATTTTGCAGCTGCGAAACTATTGAAGCTACATCAAAATCATATAGAGGAGGTTTGTAGAAAATTTGATTGGCTTCAATTTAAGCCTAATTACATCAAGATCGGATCAAAATTAACAACGTTATGACACAAAGTGTGTCATTTTGATAGAAATCTAAGTCGCACAATTTTGCACTTGCGAAACTATTGAAGCTACATTGAAATAATCCACAGGAGATTTGTAGAGAATTTGATTGGCTTCATTTTGGGCCTAATAACATCAAGATCGGATCAAAATTAACAAAGTTATGACACAAAGTGTGTCATTTTGATAGAAATCTAAGTCGCACAATTTTGCAGCTGCGAAACTATTGAAGCTACATTAAAATTATCTGAAGGAAATTTGTAGAGAATTTGATTGGCTTCAATTTAAGCCTAATTACATCAAGATCGGATCAAAATTAACAAAGTTATGACACAAAGTGTGTCATTTTGATAGAAATCTAAGTCGCTCAATTTTGCAGCTGCGAAACTATTGAAGCTACATCAAAATCATATAGAGGAGGTTAGTAGAAAATTTGATTGGCTTCAATTTAAGCCTAATTACATCAAGATCGGATTAAAATTAACAAAGTTATGACACAAAGTGTGTCATTTTGATAGAAATCTAAGTCACACAATTTTGCAGCTGCGAAACTATTGAAGCTACATTGAAATAATCCGCAGGAGATTTGTAGTTAATTTGATTGGCTTCATTTTGGGCCTAATTACATCAAGATCGGATCAAAATTAACAAAGTTATGACACAAAGTGTGTCATTTTGATAGAAATCTAAGTCACACAATTTTGCAGCTGCGAAACTATTGAAGTTACATTGAAATAATCCACAGGAGATTTGTAGTTAATTTGATTGGCTTCATTTTGGGCCTAATTACATCAAGATCGGATCAAAATTAACAAAGTTATGACACAAAGTGTGTCATTTTGATAGAAATCTAAGTCACACAATTTTGCAGCTGCGAAACTATTGAAGCTACATTGAAATAATCCGCAGGAGATTTGTAGAGAATTTGATTGGCTTCATTTTGGGCCTAATAACATCAAGATCGGATCAAAATTAACAAAGTTATGACACAAAGTGTGTCATTTTGATAGAAATCTAAGTCGCACAATTTTGCAGCTGCGAAACTATTGAAGCTACATTAAAATTATCTGAAGGAAATTTGTAGAGAATTTGATTGGCTTCAATTTAAGCCTAATTACATCAAGATCGGATCAAAATTAACAAAGTTATGACACAAAGTGTGTCATTTTGATAGAAATCTAAGTCACACAATTTTGCAGCTGCGAAACTATTGAAGCTACATTGAAATAATCCACAGGAGATTTGTAGTTAATTTGATTGGCTTCATTTTGGGCCTAATTACATCAAGATCGGATCAAAATTAACAAAGTTATGACACAAAGTGTGTCATTTTGATAGAAATCTAAGTCACACAATTTTGCAGCTGCGAAACTATTGAAGTTACATTGAAATAATCCACAGGAGATTTGTAGTTAATTTGATTGGCTTCATTTTGGGCCTAATTACATCAAGATCGGATCAAAATTAACAAAGTTATGACACAAAGTGTGTCATTTTGATAGAAATCTAAGTCACACAATTTTGCAGCTGCGAAACTATTGAAGTTACATTGAAATAATCCACAGGAGATTTGTAGTTAATTTGATTGGCTTCATTTTGGGCCTAATTACATCAAGATCGGATCAAAATTAACAAAGTTATGACACAAAGTGTGTCATTTTGATAGAAATCTAAGTCACACAATTTTGCAGCTGCGAAACTATTGAAGCTACATTGAAATAATCCGCAGGAGATTTGTAGAGAATTTGATTGGCTTCATTTTGGGCCTAATAACATCAAGATCGGATCAAAATTAACAAAGTTATGACACAAAGTGTGTCATTTTGATAGAAATCTAAGTCGCACAATTTCGCAGCTGCGAAACTATTGAAGCTACATCAAAATCATATAGAGGAGGTTAGTAGAAAATTTGATTGGCTTCAATTTAAGCCTAATTACATCAAGATCGGATTAAAATTAACAAAGTTATGACACAAAGCGTATCATTTTGATAGAAATCTAAGTCACACAATTTTGCAGCTGCGAAACTATTGAAGTTACATTGAAATAATCCACAGGAGATTTGTAGTTAATTTGATTGGCTTCATTTTGGGCCTAATTGCATCAAGATCGGATCAAAATTAACAAAGTTATGACACAAAGTGTGTCATTTTGATAGAAATCTAAGTCACACAATTTTGCAGCTGCGAAACTATTGAAGCTACATCAAAATCATATAGAGGAGGTTTGTAGAAAATTTGATTGGCTTCAATTTAAGCCTAATTACATCAAGATCGGATCAAAATTAACAACGTTATGACACAAAGTGTGTCATTTTGATAGAAATCTAAGTCGCACAATTTTGCACTTGCGAAACTATTGAAGCTACATTGAAATAATCCACAGGAGATTTGTAGAGAATTTGATTGGCTTCATTTTGGGCCTAATAACATCAAGATCGGATCAAAATTAACAAAGTTATGACACAAAGTGTGTCATTTTGATAGAAATCTAAGTCGCACAATTTTGCAGCTGCGAAACTATTGAAGCTACATTAAAATTATCTGAAGGAAATTTGTAGAGAATTTGATTGGCTTCAATTTAAGCCTAATTACATCAAGATCGGATCAAAATTAACAAAGTTATGACACAAAGTGTGTCATTTTGATAGAAATCTAAGTCGCTCAATTTTGCAGCTGCGAAACTATTGAAGCTACATCAAAATCATATAGAGGAGGTTAGTAGAAAATTTGATTGGCTTCAATTTAAGCCTAATTACATCAAGATCGGATTAAAATTAACAAAGTTATGACACAAAGTGTGTCATTTTGATAGAAATCTAAGTCACACAATTTTGCAGCTGCGAAACTATTGAAGCTACATTGAAATAATCCGCAGGAGATTTGTAGTTAATTTGATTGGCTTCATTTTGGGCCTAATTACATCAAGATCGGATCAAAATTAACAAAGTTATGACACAAAGTGTGTCATTTTGATAGAAATCTAAGTCACACAATTTTGCAGCTGCGAAACTATTGAAGTTACATTGAAATAATCCACAGGAGATTTGTAGTTAATTTGATTGGCTTCATTTTGGGCCTAATTACATCAAGATCGGATCAAAATTAACAAAGTTATGACACAAAGTGTGTCATTTTGATAGAAATCTAAGTCACACAATTTTGCAGCTGCGAAACTATTGAAGCTACATTGAAATAATCCGCAGGAGATTTGTAGAGAATTTGATTGGCTTCATTTTGGGCCTAATAACATCAAGATCGGATCAAAATTAACAAAGTTATGACACAAAGTGTGTCATTTTGATAGAAATCTAAGTCGCACAATTTTGCAGCTGCGAAACTATTGAAGCTACATTAAAATTATCTAAAGGAAATTTGTAGAGAATTTGATTGGCTTCAATTTAAGCCTAATTACATCAAGATCGGATCAAAATTAACAAAGTTATGACACAAAGTGTGTCATTTTGATAGAAATCTAAGTCGCACAATTTTGCAGCTGCGAAACTATTGAAGCTACATCAAAATCATATAGAGGAGGTTAGTAGAAAATTTGATTGGCTTCAATTTAAGCCTAATTACATCAAGATCGGATTAAAATTAACAAAGTTATGACACAAAGTGTGTCATTTTGATAGAAATCTAAGTCACACAATTTTGCAGCTGCGAAACTATGGAAGCTACATTGAAATAATCCACAGGATATTTGTAGTTAATTTGATTGGCTTCATTTTGGGCCTAATTATATCAAGATCGGATCAAAATTAACAAAGTTATGACACAAAGTGTGTCATTTTGATAGAAATCTAAGTCACACAATTTTGCAGCTGCGAAACTATTGAAGCTACATTGAAATAATCCAGAGGAGATTTGTAGAGAATTTGATTAGCTTTATTTTAGGCCTAATTACATCAAGATCGGATCAAAATTAACAAAGTTATGACACAAAGTGTGTCATTTTGATAGAAATCTAAGTCACACAGTTTTGCAGCTGCGAAACTATTGAAGCTACATTGAAATCATCCACAGGAAGTTTATAGAGAATTTGATTGGCTTTAATTTAAGCCTAATTACATCAGGATCGGATCAAAATTAACAAAGTTATCACACAAAATAAGTCATTTTGATAGAAATCTAAGTCACACAATTTTGCAGCTGCGAAACTATTGAAGCTACATTGAAATCATTCAGAGGAAGTTTCTAGAGAATTTGATTGGCTTCCTTTTAAGCCTAATTACATCAAGATCGGATCAAAATTAACAAAGTTATGACACAAAATAAGTCATTTTGATAGAAATCTAAGACACACAATTTTGCAGCTGCGAAACTATTGAAGCTACATTGAAATAATCCACAGGAGATTTGTAGATAATTTGATTGGCTTCATTTTAAGCTTAATTACATCAAGATCGGAACAAAATTAACAAAGTTATGACTCAAAATAAGTCATTTTGATAGAAATCTAAGACACACAATTTTGCAGCTGCGAAACTATTGAAGCTACATTGAAATAATCCATAGGAGATTTGTAGATAATTTGATTGGCTTCATTTTAAGCTTAATTACATCAAGATCGGAACAAAATTAACAAAGTTATGACTCAAAATAAGTCATTTTGATAGAAATCTAAGACACATAATTTTGCAGCTGCGAAACTATTGAAGCTACATTCAAATCATCTACAGGAAATTTGTAGAGAATTTGATTGGCTTCAATTTAAGCCTAATTACATCAAGAATCCATCAAAATTAACAAAGTTATGACACAAAGTGTGTCACTTTGATATAAATCTAAGACACACAATTTTGCAGCTGCGAAACTATTGAAGCTACATTGAAATAATCCATAGGAGATTTGTAGATAATTTGATTGGCTTCATTTTAAGCTTAATTACATCAAGATCGGAACAAAATTAACAAAGTTATGATTCAAAATAAGTCATTTTGATAGAAATCTAAGACACAATTTTGCAGCTGCGAAACTATTGAAGCTACATTGAAATAATCCATAGGAGATTTGTAGATAATTTGATTGGCTTCATTTTAAGCTTAATTACATCAAGATCGGAACAAAATTAACAAAGTTATGACTCAAAATAAGTCATTTTGATAGAAATCTAAGACACACAATTTTGCAGCTGCGAAACTATTGAAGCTACATTGAAATAATCCATAGGAGATTTGTAGATAACTTGATTGGCTTCATTTTAAGCTTAATTACATCAAGATCGGAACAAAATTAACAAAGTTATGACTCAAAATAAGTCATTTTGATAGAAATCTAAGACACATAATTTTGCAGCTGCGAAACTATTGAAGCTACATTCAAATCATCCACAGGAAATTTGTAGAGAATTTGATTGGCTTCAATTTAAGCCTAATTACATCAAGAATGCATCAAAATTAACAAAGTTATGACACAAAGTGTGTCATTTTGATAGAAATCTAAGACACACAATTTTGCAGCTGCCAAATTATTGAAGCTACATTGAAATCATCCACAGGAGATTTGTAGAGAATTTGATTGGCTTCATTTTAAGATTAATTACATCAAGATCGCATCAAAATTAACAAAGTTATGAGGCAAAATGTTTGATTTTGGGAAAAATCATACTTATATCAATGTGGTAAAAATTAAAACCCCTCTAATAAAAAAAAACTTTATTTATTCAAACTAAAACTATACACAATAAATAAACTAAAAACCTACAAAAATCCGCTCGGAAACTCTTTCTCAAGAAAAAGCCCGAACATCAATTAGGAATCAAATAAAGCACTAAAAGGATGTTTATAGAAACAAACATCCCTAATGCCTCTCTCAAACTTCTCTAAAATCATCCCTCAAACTGGTCCTCAATTGCTTTTCTCTATCCTCAAACTGATGACTGTCCAATTTCACATCAAACTCCTCAGATTTGTCTTGGCAAAGCTCCAAGGTACTTCTTTTAGGGCCCCCTTTACAAGTTATTGTTAACAAAATTAAAATTATTACAATCACAGCCACACAAGCGCCTGTTATTAATCCTACAGTTAATTGCGATAATGAGTTGAATTGGATTTTTTCTGTAGTAACATCAATGTCTTTCCAGTTAGTCCAAGTGCCGTTGTATTTGGTAGGATTTGCATTAGGGTCTCTGGGTATATTAATAGGTTTTAAGGCAGTTTTTCTGTATTTGATTAATTCTTGTTCTAACATTATCATTACTAAAGGACGTTGTGAGGCTAAATTAACCATTTCGCATGGGTCTTGTTTGATGTTGAACAGGCAAGGCGATATCATTGGATGGCACTGGTTGATATCCAATTGATCTTCTGGGTTTAATTTTTTACAAATAATTGTAGCCTCTTGTCTGAGTTGTTTAATGTTAGTTGCATCTAGTAAATGTATGGAAAAGTTGCTTAAATGTTGGTTTTTTTCTTTTATTTGCTGGTAAGTTATTAGGCCGCTAAGGGTAGTTGCAGTAGGGCTTTCAAGTACTGCTTTTAGGTCGTAATGGTACAAAGGGTCGCTACCAGTGCTACCATACCAAGCATCCTTTAGCCCTTTAGTGATGCTACCATAAACATATTTCCAGTCGCCTTGTCTTATACCGCCAAAGTTCCATACATCGTCGATGTTGTATAAAATTTCTGATCTTGGAGATGGTTGGTTTTCTGAGATTGATTTCCATTGGTCTTTGCCGTCCATTGCTGATGGTAGTTGATTGTGGTCTAAGCCTATATGGATTTTTGGGTATTAGAATTTGGGTTTGAAGATGTGTTTTTAATATAATTACCTGCAGCAGTAAATAGGGTTGGTAGCCAATCTGAGATGTGCATCAGATGGTTTGAGACTCTTTTGGGTTTTTTGATGAGGGGGCTCCAAATTGCTGCGATGTTTCTGTTGGCGCCTTCCCATGCTGAACTTTTAATCTGGAAATTGAATTATAATGAGAAACAGCTCAGTAAACATAGTTACATAAATTTAAGGTAGAAATTTACGTAGCTTTTTAAATAATTTCTAAGTTTATTCGAGTTACAATAAGGTAAAATTTAAATGGTGGTGGTGGTTGTTGGCAACGACAACACTGATTCGGTTAGGGAATGGCGTCAAATACAGCCCACATAACAATCAGGATTGGACGGAATACATGGACGACATCCAGATTACGGTTTTTGAAAAAATCGAATCTGAAATTTTGGACGAAATCTGGACTAAATTTCAACTTTGAGGCTCAATATCTCAAAAACTATACAAGCTACAAAAACGAAGAAAGAGAATTTAATGCTCTTTTCAATGATGTATAATTGTAAGCCATTTGTACAAATCTCATCAAAGATTTATTCATAGGAGTGTCAGGATTCCAAAAACTTCTCAGGGCCAAAACTGAGATTTCCTTTTGGATTTTTTTTCTCATTGAAATTGTCAGAATGTATAAGTGATGTTAGACTTGTTTCTGACTAAATTGGATTCGCTTTATCGATTTCTGAAGTCAGAATTGAGAAAACTAACCCAAACTAACCCCTTTGGATTTTTATTTGCAAATCTTCAAACCTAGATATCTCGGTAACCACAAGTGGTACTGGAATAAAAATTCCATGGATTGTAGCTGTTGATAAGGGCTTCAAAATGGTATATAGTTGAGATCTCTGGCTTTTGAGATTTTTGAGAAAATCGAATTTGAAGTTTTGGACAAAATCTGGATTAAATTTCAACTTTGAGGTTCAATATCTCAGAAACTGTATAAGTCACAGAACCCAGCCTTATATAGGCTTGAAGAGAATTTATTTCTCTTTCCAATGATGTATAATTGTAGGCAATTTTCTCAAAAATCATCGAAGATATTGGCATTTATTCATAAGAGTGTCAGGATTCTAAAAACTTCTCAGGGTCAAAACTGAGATTTCCTTTCGGATTTTTTTTCTCATTGAAATTGTCAGAATGTATAAGTGATGTTAGACTTGTTTCTGACTAATTTGGACTCGCTTTATCGATTTCTGAAGTCAGAATTGAGAAAAATTCGAAAATAAAAATTTTCAATTTTTTGTTTTTTTTCCTAACTAACCCCTTTGGATTTTTATTTGCAAATCTTCAAACCTAGATATCTCGGTAACCACAAGCGGTACTGGAATAAAATTTCCATGGATTGTAGCTGTTGATAAGGGCTTCAAAATGGTATATAGTTGAGATCTCTGGCTTTTGAGATTTTTGAGAAAATCGAATTTGAAGTTTTGGACAAAATCTGGATTAAATTTCAACTTTGAGGTTCAATATCTCAGAAACTGTATAAGTCACAGAACCCAGCCTTATATAGGCTTGAAGAGAATTTATTTCTCTTTCCAATGATGTATAATTGTAGGCAATTTTCTCAAAAATCATCGAAGATATTGGCATTTATTCATAAGAGTGTCAGGATTCCAAAAACTTCTCAGGGCCAAAACTGAGATTTCCTTTTGGATTTTTTTTCTCATTGAAATTGTCAGAATGTATAAGTGATGTTAGACTTGTTTCTGACTAATTTGGACTCACTTTATCGATTTCTGAAGTCAGAATTGAGAAAAACTCAAAAATAAAAATTTTCAATTTTTTGCTTTTTTTCCTAACTAACCCCTTTGGATTTTTATTTGCAAATCTTCAAACCTGGATATCTCGGTAACCACAAGCGGTACTGGAATAAAATTTTCATGTATTGTAGCTGTTGATAAGGGTTTCAAAATGGTATTCAGTTGAGATCGCTAACGTTTACAGTTTTTGAGAAAATCGACTTTGAAGTTTTGGACAAAATCTGATCTAAGTTTCAACTTTCAGGCTAAATATCTCGGAATCTATACAAGCTACAAAAACGAACTATATGCAGCTTGATAGAGAATTTAATGCTCTTTCCAGTGATGTATAATTGTAAGCCATTTGTCCAAATTTCATCAAAGATATTGGCATTTATTCATAAGAGTGTCAGGATTCCAAAAGCTCAGGTCCAAAACTGAGATTTGCTTTTGGATTTTTTTTCTCATTGAAATTGACAGAATGTAAGTGATGTTAGACTTGTTTCTGACTAATTTGGAGTCGCTCTATCGATTAAAAAAGTCAAAATTGAGAAAAATTCGAAAATAAAAAATTTGCACGCACTCTGGCATAGTGATGTGCCGAAGGGAACGTTCCCTAGGGAACTTTCCCATTCCCAGGGAACGTTCCGGGAACTTTCCTTTAAGGTTGGGAAAGTGAACAAAAACTGGGAATGTTTTTGAAAAAACAAAATTGAATGATATTTTATAGTCTAATAACCTACTACACCAAAAAGCCCAACAATTAACAAGTTGTCTTTTTTTTGTTAGCACTTCGAGATTTTCAGGGTTTAGTACAATATTACAATACAATATTCAGTTTTTTTCAGGGTAAAATATTCAGTTTTTTTTACTACTAGGTAAAAGATAAAATGTAGTTTTTATTTTTTTATAACTTAATGGGTGGTATGAATAAAAACGAAGTATTCGCTACTACTACAAGTATTAGTAGATTATCCGTAGTGTTTACTATAAAACGAAGTAGATACTACATTTCGAAACTACCGGAAATAAGTAAATACTTCTTTTTGAAGTAAATACTTCGTAGAATATACTACTGCTTGTAGTAGTAGCAAGTACTTCGTTTTTATTCATACCACCCAATATGTTATAGTTAATAATATAGTTACAATGTGCAATATTGCAGTACACAGTAGTAATGTAGTAATGTTTAAGTTTTTTCACTGATCTCAAGAGTCAAGAGTACAAAGACATAGGTATAAATATTTTTTATTTCGCAAACATTCCTTCACATTCCCAATTTTAGGGAACGTTCCTGGGAATGTTCCCGGGAACTTTCCCAAAAAACACTTTCCCGGGAATCTGTCCATCACTACTCTGGCATAGCGCCAAACCCCAAAAATAACCCACTGATAAATCTGAAAGTCGCATGTTTAAGCCTTGACGTCAGCTTAACCAGATAACACTTTTTGTTTTAGGTAATCCAAACGACTGCGCCATAAATACCGGTAATGCTACTGTACGGTGAGCTGCGTGGTTCCCCGTTGCTCATAACTGTCAAGTCAACAGAGTTTTTAACTCGTCTCACTCGCGTTACGTCGCGCTGTTTGCGCTGGCACGAGACATGGCGGCCTCCTACCTGAACCAAGAAGCCGCCAAGGATGTTTTCCTTGGTACTTCCCCCTTTTACTAATAAAACTTAATCTCACTAGTTTGATTCACAGAAAATGGTCTTTTGAGCTACGAGAATCCCAACTATCATCAGCTTGGACCTTCCAAGCGAATAGATGATGCATTGAATTCGAATACTGATAATCTTTATGAGGATTATTTATCAGGGAGTTGGACGATATTTGCAATATGGCACTTGGAGGCAACAAAATTAATACTGCCAGCAGGAAGACTTATGCGGCATTGGACGTTGAATCTATGGGGGTTGATGTTAATACTGGACCGGCAATAAATTTAATAGACAATAGAAGGTCAGTTTTACTTATCAATAAAAATACCTTAAGTAGGTACTAACATTGTAACAAATATATAGGGACCTTGGATGGAACGTAAATACTGATACAATTGAAAGGGACAAAAATAATAGCACAACTATTTGGGACAAGTATGTATATTTTTAATAATATAAGTACAGTAGCATGACGGTTTTTTCCAAAACATTTTTATCCCTAAAAACAAAACCGTCATGCTGCTGTATACGCTTCCTCAACAACACACTCAAACCAAAAAAATTTCTTGTTTCAGTATTTGCCATAGTTGGCGGTCTCAACAATGACCTCTACGCCATCCCAGTCAAATTCAACAAATCCTCATCACCACCTGAAAAGTGCAACGAAATCCAGGAATGGGACAAGAAAATCTTGCCTCCTGGCTGGGAAAAGCACGAAGACAACGACGGTCCATATTATTGGCACATCAAAAGTGGAAGGGAAATGCCATCCGCATCAGAAAAACAAGACAAAAATTTCAAAGAAAGAGCAGTTACTAGAAGTAGTACCAGTTCAGCGCTAGATTTGGATGCAGACAAAAGGAAAGAGGAGCTGGCGTTGAAAAGACGCACCTTTCCCCCCAAAGCCCGAGCCAGAAATCAAGGAAAGACCTATACGATTTGCCGTAAGGTCTTTGGGCTGGGTGGAAATTGCCGAAGATGATTTGACTCCTGAGAGAAGTAGCAAAGCTGTAAATAAATGTATAGTGGATTTATCTTTAGGAAAAAATGATCTTTTGGATGTTGTTGGTAGATGGGGAGATGTAAGTATAAATAATGTATTATATACAATTGATTATTAATTCCAATTCAAGGGCTGAAACATTCTGATTATCTGACATTACCTCACAAACTCGCCCATAACTCAATTGAGATTTAAGAAATGATATTGATATATTTTCGTAATCAGAATTGAATGCTCTTTAAAATGGAGCAAGATTGAATCGATTATCTCAAATAGTTTCCGAGATATTGAGCCTCAAAGTTGAACTTTGTCTCAAATTTTGGAAAACCTTCAAAGCCAATTATCTCGAAAACGAAGCCCTTGGGCTCGGTGTTCCAAATAGCATTTTTTGAAGCCCCAATCGAGATCTACAAGTGGACGAAATTTCGTACCAATAGCTTTTCTGGTATCCAAAATATGACCCTTTGCTGTTTTACTGAGCTGCCTTACAGAGCAGCGGCGAGATTCAATTCACGTTTTACCGAATAGACTGGTGTTTGTAGAGTTTTCCTTTGTTAGTTTTCTTTTGTTCTAAGTTGACTGTTACTTTGTTAAGCCGGGTTCTCACTAGGCCATTTCATAGATCAGTATTATTGAATCTATAAGATTGAACATAGAATGGAATGGAAAAGTTCACTTTTTCCAATAACATTGAAGATCTAGTGTATTTTAAAAATGGCTGCAAAAAGGAGAATTCTGCGGGCCGGTGTTCGTATTTTTGTGAGTATTTAAAAACCACTCGAAAAACCCCTATAAAAAATAGGAAAAATATAGGAAACTTCGTCGTTAGTGGGTTGGACCGTGGATAAAACAACATATACAGTGTCATTACTTAAGTGTGCAACATATGGGATTTTTTTTTTAGTAATAGCACAATCAAAATACAAACAAGGTCGTTTAGGCGGTTACACACGGACGTGGATGGCTTGATACATATACGTGCATACATCAACGTGCAAACAACAACATGCGCGCCACGTTGGTACAGACGCGCGCCCAAAACTGTCAGTCTTACTACTCTTGCTAGAGTAGGTATTCCAAGAGTGCATACAAAATTTCTAGCAATTCCAGAATTTGAATGAGCGTCATTTTACCGCTCGCACATTCAAAAACACGACAGTATTTTGCATACACATTGATGTTTTTGTTTGCGCGTTAATTTATGTGCGTTCATGTTGTCAGACATCCACGTCCGTGTGTAACCGCCTTTTGGGTTGAAGCTTTAACGCCTATTAATTACCGCAGTACCATTTTACAAGCCAGAGAAGCAACCGTTGATGTTAAAGAAGAAAATATAGAAAGTTTAATTTTTGAATTGCAGCATTTACGTGACAGCTGGGACAGCATATTGAGCGAATGTAAGGCAGTTTCTAATAGTCTTGATATACAAAAAACTTTTCCTGACAAGAGACGGAAAACAAGAAAAGCATAAGCCTTATATTCTGAAATACCTTGCACTCATCACGCGGACGGGTTGAGTGTTGAGTTTGGTAAACAACCGAACAAATTAGGGCTCTTTGTACTTGCTCTACCTCCTCGAAAAATTAGGAAGATCTGCTTGGAGTCAACAACTTTCAAATCAACTGGAGCTCAAACGAACGCTTTGTTCCGTAGCTGATGGGTTCGACTTGCTCACTCCGTGTACTCCGAGTGACTCCATTCTATTGGAAGGGTTAGTGCGTACTGAGTGTATTCGTGTCTTTTTCTACCAGCTTGTAACTTGTATAGGAACGAGATACCTTCATACATATAGGGGTATGGGATCCCGATCACAGCCGAAACAGTTTCAAATTTCTTGACTTAAAATTTTCTGGAATTCAAGTCAAGAATAAGAAAGGACCCTGCCCAAAGTATACGGAGATTGTTTTTATGTTAGAATTGGCTGAATTTTGTATATAATGTAGATTACGCCTTCCTGATTAAAAGTTACCATTGCACCAATCCTGAAAACTAATTCCTTTTTGAGAAAATTAATTTCATAGGTAGCAAGTAAAACGCTTGGACATTGTAATGAACGTATATACAAATAAGTGGATTATTGCGGACCTTATAAGAGGTGCAGCCATCTACTCACCAATATACTGTTGAACTGTTCAAATAAGATACTTATCTGACACGTGTAGTTTTTGAACTAATGAGAATAACGCACATTTGAATGAGTCAGTTTATCATCGTAATTAAACAACATATTGATGAATAGATGGCTGCGGAACTCGCTGAGCTCGTCCCGCAGAGGTCCACCCATAAGTTCCGCAACAATTTATTCATTTGTACTTGAATAACTTGTCACATTATGTTACTAGTTTCGTGAAGTAACATTACTAATTCGTGTTGAAAGGCAAATTGACAAAAAGTAAATAATCATAATCTTACAAATTATGACTTTATGTAATAAGTTTTTGTTCAAGTACAAATAAGTGGATTATTGCGGAACTTATGGGTGGTCCTCTGCGGGACGAGCGCAGCGAGTTCCGCAGCCATCTACTCACCAATATACTGTTGAACTGTTCAAACAAGACACTCATCTGACAGTAGTGTAGTTTTTGAACTAATGAGAAAAATTCACAACTGACTGAATCAGGTTGTACTTGAACAACATATTGGTGAATAGATAGCTGGGTCCACCCATAAGTTCCGCAACAATACACTCGTTTATACTTGAATAACTTTTCACAATATATTACTAGTTTGGTAAAGTAGCATTACTAATTCCTGTTAAAAGGCAAATTGACAAAAAGTGGATAATCTTACAAATTCTGACTTTATATAATAAGTTATTGTTCAAGTACAAATAAGTGGATTGTTGCGGAACTTATGGGTGGACCTCTGCGGGACGAGCGCAGCGAGTTCCGCAGCCATCTAATCACTAATATACTGTTAAACTATTCAAGTAAGACATTCACCTGAAACGTGTAATTTTTGAACTAATGAGAATAACGCACATTTGAATGAGTCAGTTTATCATCGTAATTAAACAACATATTGATGAATAGATGGCTGCTGAACTCGCTGCGCTCGTCCCGCAGAGGTCCACCCATAAGTTCCGCAACAATTCATTCATTTGTACTTGAATAACTTGTCACATTATGTTACTAGTTATAGCTTCTTAGGAACAATGCAGTTCAAGTTAAGTTGTCTAAGGACTGGTTTATCAGTGGACAGTTATTTAGTTTAACTGTCAGTTATCTATTATTTAATATAAGCAAATATTTTCTAGTATAAATTACTGCCCTTAATGGTCAACTTCCTTCTACTCTACTTACCCCTCTCAATGGATAATTTGAACCATGATTAGCGTGCACTCCTTCTGGAGCAGCCCCATTATCAGACATAAAAATAATAATGGAATTTTCCAGCATGTGTTTTTCTCTTAAGGCTTGTATGACTGATCCTACACTTTTATCCAGCATAGATACCATAGCTAAAAAAACACAAACACAATGAGTTTTCTGTAAAAATTGGACAATCAAATCATACCTGCATATACTCTCCTTTCAGGATCCTGAATGTGAGCCATTTTAGCAATTTCCTCGTCAGGAGCTTGCAGTGGATCCCAATCATTGCCAGCATGTGGCGCCAAATGGGCCAAATACATAAACATTGGATTGTCAGTGTTGTGTTCCTGAATTTCTTTGACTGCCTCTTCTGTTAACAGGGTCGTTGTGTATTTGCCTTTAGCATCCCAATCTACTGTCATGTTACGTCGGAAATCGTAGCCCATTTCGTCAGAATACTATTGAGTAATTTCAATTTTAGAATTGGAGAGATTACAATAATGTAAAAATACTTACAGTAGAGTGAACAGTGTGGTCGTAATAATCGTGAAACCCTTGCCAATATCCGTAATGACTGTCAAAACCTCTAAATGTTGGCGTGTATTCTTTTTTGAAAAAGCCCAAATGCCATTTTCCTATTGCCCTTGTTACGTAGCCGTTTCTTTTCAGATGCTCAGGCAATAAGGTTTCATTTAAGGGCAATCCCCATGGTTCAGGTTCCAAAATGACCAAATGTTGCATTCCTGCAAAAGAATTTTGTTTTGTTATTACATCTGTGTATTTTTCCGTGTATTTATTCATGCAGTTCAGGGTGCCAACATTATTTTGTTTGTCATAAATGCTGATTTATGTTGCGTTTGATGTTTTCTGGTTGTCACCCTGAATAACATGAATAAATACATGGATGTAATACAGGCATTATTAGAGGGTTACATGAAACAATTACAATAATTTGCGGTTGGACGATCGAAACAAACAATTAACTTAAGTTTTCTGCTTGAATATGGAAATAAAAGGAAACGTTCGTAATTATCCTATTAATAAAGCAACTATTTGCATTTGTAATAGTAATTTAGAAGCTCTTAAAGAAGAGTGCGTCACTCACTGTCTACAGGGTGTTACAATAATTCCATTAAAATTTGAACAAAATCCACTGTAGATGCTCAGAAACTTGTAAATTGTTGTGAAGAAGACGTGACAATAACTCAGGCACCTATGGATATTGTTGTAGAGGCCTCAGAAATGTATAAAATTAATCCAGATTTACTCCTATTTTGGTATACAATATACCTAGAAAACATTGATGTCCTTGCTAATGTTATACATTCAATAATTGCATTACTAAAACCAGGATCTGTATCACATTGAAACGGATACATACACAAATACCTGAACAAATGTTCTAATTAAATCTGTTCTGCCCTTGCGTGGAAAACCTCTACCTAACCTTGACCGAGACCGAGAAAATATTTATGCAACTTGAGTATTTTATGACAGGCAATTTAAAATTTATTTTAATTTATTTTTCCTTGTAAAATAATGCTTTTCTTGTTTAGTTAATTTTTTTAAAATTTTTACTAATTACATTAAACTCATTACATAATTAAGTATATATTTATTATATGACTAAATGTTGGTAAACATTTGCATTTTGACGTAGGTAGGTACTTAAGTCTTTTTTATGTTTTTCCCCCATCAAAGAAGCTTGACATTATTTAAACTTCCAAGTATTTACTTTACGCTGATGGGGAATTACCAGTTTCTTTCGTTTTAACAAAAAGTTGCAGCTCAAGATTCAAGTTCACGGTCACCACGGTTTATTTCCTAATTAAAATCGCCCGCTGATTTTATCGTAAGAAATTTAATTATTGTAGGAACATGGCCTTGTACTTGACGTCTTTGTTAATTGGAATATTATAACAATGAGAATATGTATTTTTTGACAGTAGGTAATTGGAGTTCCTGTCTGCATGGGGATATATTGGAAAATGTATTATGCTATTTTTTTTTTGCATATTAAATAACCTTTTTCGTCAATTGGTTTGATTTGAATCTAAAAGATTTGTATTGCTTTTATCAAAAATATACATATGTATTACTTTTATTAGATTTTTAGTAGGTTTTATTCATAATTTTCTTCTTTGTTGTCATCCTGTTTCTGTTTTGTCATGTTCTTCATCTAATTCATTGATTCTTTCACTTCTTCTGTACTTATTTCCCCTGATATGTTTCATTTTGAACCACAATTTTTGCACCCTGATATTTGAGGCCTCAAGTCTCAACTGTTGACACCATATTTCTTTACTTTTTAGTTTCTTTAATCAATTATTAGATGGAAGAAACCTTTATCTTCAGCTTCCTTTTATTATAAACTAATATCAAGTTCACCTTATGTTTTGCAAGAATATACACGTGTAACTTTGGTGGGCATATTATGATTTAAAAAGTTTACAGGTTTCCGTTAACCTCACCTGAAGATTTAAGATTTGACCAAATGTCTTCCCTTTAAACTGCCGTTGTTATGTATTATAGTTGCAATTATGAATGGTTAAACTTCTCCAATGCCAAAGTTTGAAGCAGCGATTCGTACAGTACTGCAAACATCGCAAGCAGTTTGTTCATTGTAGGAGCTACATTTCGATCTTGGTAGTTCTCGCGAATTATCTATAAAGGATTCTGAGAGAACCAGATGAATGTCTACATGTGAAACCAATTCTACTCCCGTACCTGTTCAACTAAACAAATTCTGGTCATTAACAAATAAGACGATGAACGATGAACACCGAATTTCCAATAATTGTTTGTGCAATTACGACCAATGGACAAGAGGTTCTAGAAGAAAAATATTCAAAAGGCAATGGTCGTACCCATCGTTGAAGAATTAAATAGCACATTGGGGGAAGCTGACCTTCGTATTGTGCCACATCTTAACTAGGCTGGGCTGGGATGATTCACGTTGAATCCAGGTTCTGTCAAATGACATAGATGTTATTGTATTGCTACTTGAATCAGGGATTATCGGAACTATTGGTACATTATGTAACAGGAAAGAAAAAACGCTTTATTCATTTTCTTTATGAAAAACTGCCTCCAGAATTGCCCAATGTTTTCATCAAGGTACACATTTCTTACCGTAAGCAAAATTGGAACAAAACTTTGGAGCTCTCATTGTTGATCCAGTAAAATTCCTGATGGAAGAATTTGCTGAAACTGAAGAAGAGAACGATTTTGAAAAAGCTGAAAAATATCTTGTATGTGTCTGGATAAAGGACTCCTTTCCAAATTGATGTGAAACATTTAACGATCTGCGGTACAGTGAATTCCTTACTGACCTTCAACCGAAATCTTATTTCATTCAAGGTCACATTAAAAGGGCGGTTTATATAATCAGGAATTGTTTGAATGTTTTAAATCCTGCCTGTAGCTTTGAATGGGAAGAAGTTGATGAAGTTCTGAAACCTGTAAACTTTTGCCCACCAAATCTACACGTGTACCTATATGCTCTTGCAAAACCTGTGCAACAAAAAGATGCTCTTGTCGAAATGCTCTACTTATAATGTTCCACCTACCGTAAATGAACTAACTGTTCAAGATTTTAAAAACAAATAAATGAACAGAAATAGATTTGGATATAAGGTGATCTTGATGTTAGTTTATACTTCATGTGATTTTACTCAGCTTTTGGTAATATAGTATTTGCTATGATAAAACATTGTCTTTCATTTCAGCATTAATGTTCACATGTTACATTTTTGTGTTGCAAATGGTTTGCCAGGCCAAGTATCTATAAAAAAGTAAATAGAATGTGTTAATTCTTGTACATATTGTAATATATACTGAGTGATATAGAAATTGTAACAACCCAGTAAATGTAAATTAATATTTTGGGAAGTAGTTAGGATAAATATGAATAACAATTGATGACATTTTCAATGTTATTGAGAGGAATTCGTAAAAATTCAATAGTCAGTTGTGCCTCCACGTAAGTTTTGACATTTTGTAACTCTTCGTGGCATGCTGCGAATCAGATGATCGATACTTGCCTGTGGTAGGTTCACTCAGGGTAATCTTATTTCATCAGGTAGACGTTGTACATTCAGTAGAAGATGTGGCAACTGCCTCAGCCTTCTACATATCCCAGACATGTTTAATGGGTGATAAATCTGGTGACCTTGCGGGCCATGGAAGAGGAGTTACATTAGCTTGTTAAGGAAAGTTTCTCGTATTGTCTTGTTGAAAAATTAGATCTTGCAGTTGCTGAAGGTAGGGCAACGTAGAAGAGTCCGTCGTAAACATGGAGAAAGGCACCAACTTTAATTTTGCATGTAGTAGTGTGAGACTGTGCCTATACTGGGGTGCCATAGCAGTTGGAAGCAGATACACCTCTAGTTTCTTTGGATTGAAACATGAACCCTCTATCCTATACATTAATGACGCATTACAACCTGTCACGTTGCCATACCTTCAGCAACTGCAAGTTCCAATTTTTGACCAAGACAATGCGAGATCACATTATACCGCTGCAGTTACGAGAAACTTCCTCTAACAAGTCAATGTAACCTTTCTTCCATGGTTCGGAGTAAAACCCAACCTCGACTTTTTACACGAAACTTCCCGAAATTTACTGAGTAACTGCTAAATCAAGGGACTGCCAGGACTGCCAAGCGTCTACCTAAGAATAACTTGCCCCTGCCAATGACTCCAAGAAGACTGCCTATGATTGCCGTTAGACTGCCAGTTACTGTCAAAAAAGTGTACATGTAATGCCAACAGTGAGACACCCCTCGGACGCTTTTGATTGCTGATGCACTGACGAGGATCCAACTGGACTCGCAACACAATGACTAGTTGAACAGTATCCAGTGATAGTGAGCCAACACTTCATGGTTCGAATCAACGCTCTAATTAAATTTGTTACAAATAACCATAAAGTATTTGAAGGTCGAGTTAGGGATTACTAGTGGCGAATTGAATACCAAAATCGTGGAAGCCCGTACCTACACATGGTTGTGTGGATTGGGAACTATCCATCATTTGAAATAGAAGAAGGAATTCAATTGTGCAAATGAAATTGTCAAGAGAACGCTGAATGGTGTTGTTTAAAGTTTTTATTTTTGGTGCGACACGCTATAAATTGTGGAAAATTTTCTGCCTTGCTGGTAATGCTTCACGCATATTTGTATCGTTCCTTTGAATTCTCTTAATGTACTGCAAAATTAAATTCTTTATCTGATTTCAACCCTTTCTAAAAAAGATAGGCACGCAATAATGTATCTGCAATATAAAGGTATTTTCCTGGCTTATAATGAACTTCTAAGTCATAATAAAGTAATTTAAGTCTCATTCGTTGTAACCGGGGGCAAATACTGGCTAAATCTTTTTTAATGATGGTTTCATCTGAATTTACTTTAATTTTTAAACCATATATGAAAAAATGAAATTTCTGGACGGCAAAAATAATGGCGATCATTTCTTTTTCAATTTGCGCGTACTTTTGTTCAGTTGAAGTGAGACTTCGCGAAGCGAATGCCACAGGGTGTCCCTCCTGCAAAAGGCAGACACCAAGACCGTCCTTCGATGCATCAGTTTCTATTTCAATTTATTTCTGTGACTCAAAGAATTTTAGTACGGGTGCGGATGTTAAAAGTTGTTTAAGTTGAAAAAGAGACTGTTCATGAATGTCCTGCCAGTTCCAAACACAATCCAGTCTTGTTAACTCTCTCAGTGGAACAGTAATCTTTGATAAATTTGGTATAAATTTACCCAAATACTTTGCCATACCAAGGACCCCTCAATTTTTTGGCTCTGGCAAATCAAGAATTACTTTAACATAACTTCTATTTGGCTCAACCACCGCCTTTGAGTAAATTTGTCCCATAAATTTTACACTTTTCAATTTAAACTGGATTTTCGAAGAATTAAATTTAATATTATACTTGAGAGCCCGTTCAAGTACTAAATGTAAATTATGATCATGTTCAAACTGATTTCCACCTGTAACTATAAGGTTATCAAAATAGAGCCCTATGCCGTCCAAGTCCCTAAATATTTCATAAATTTTCCTTTGAAAGACTTCCGGGGCAGAACAAATGCCAAAAGGTGAACGCAAACATTCAAATCGCCCAAATGGTGTGCCAAAAGCTGTGTACTTTGAACTATAATTGTCAATTTTGATCTGGAAATAACCGTCTTTCATATCAAGCACCGAAAAATATTCTTTATTACATAATTTGACAGCAATTTCCTCACAAGTCGGAATTAAAACATGTTCACGCTGAATTGCCTTATTCAAATACTTGGGGTCTAGGCACAACCTCAAGTCTCCATTACTTTTTTCCACTATGCCACTCAGTTGGTTCGTCAAGTTTTTTAATTACACCTTGAACATCAAGTTGTTTAGTTTCAAATTCAATCTATCATGCAATGCTCTAGGAACTCTCTTAGGAGGCTGAATATGTGGAACGGCATCTTTTTTTAAAGAAATATGATGCTCAGTTGGAAACCGGCCTAAACCATCAAAAACACTAGCATACATTTACTTAACATCCTCGAGAGACTTGAAATTGACATTGAGTCCTGGACTAATACTAGCTAATCTTTTCATTAGTTTTAGCTTTAAACAAGCAGATAACCCAAGCAAAGGTAGTTGGTCAGTGGAGTCAATAACTAAAAACTCAAGAGTTTCTTTACAGTTGTTGACTTCGCAAGACAAACTAACTTCACCCCAAGGTTTTATCCTGAAACCACTACAACCATATGTTACTTTGGTTGGTTTTAAAAGAGAACTAACTTTTAAGTCTTTGAGAACATGTAGAGGCAAAACACTTTTTTTTGTTCTCGATCTGCACAACTTGTCTCCAGTCATTCTCCATCTCAGTTTGATTGTCTCTGCTGTCGCACTCACTGATCACCTTATCAATTTTTCGAGACTTCATAGAACTGACTCGACACAGTGAGTCCACATAGAAAGACTCACTTTTACTAAAGCTGTCACTACTTTATACATCGCCACACCTACATATGCAAGAAAAATAATACGCATTGCCGCTTATTCGCATTTTCCCAACAAGAGTGCACTGAGATACGTATTATCGCACATTCGTCAGCAGAATTCATATGTATCAGAGGAAAAATATGCTTACTGAAGAGTCGCAAGAAAGATAAGTGGGTCAATAACTACAGCCCAACACTCCTTAAGTTATGGAAAGGAAATATGGTACTATGTCGCCAAGTACCTATAGAAATCTGAGCCTACATACAGAAAAAGGGAAACCAAGAAAGAGGTTTTTGGTCCGCCATTGTTGACTGTTCAGTTTTTTTACTTTGTATTGAGCTTGATTGTTAAATCAAGTTTGTGTTTTTGTGATTGTTTTGTGTGTCATAAGGAGCATTCACAGGTCAGTTAAATAAATGTTATTATGTTTTTTTGAGAGTTGAATCTATACAACTACATATTTTTTTAATGTTTTTTTAATTGTTTATAACATTATTTATAACATGTGCATTGTTCATGTATTTAACAAAAATCGTTTCATGCTGTGAACAACGCAGATAAGATAAAAAAAGAAAATTAAATCCTAGAAAAATGATGTACTTTCTTTTGTGCTGGGATTTTAATTTTTGTTAATTCAGAACGCACATTAGGGTACCTTGTTGAATCTACTAAGAATTTCCTATTTTGACGAGCGAATATCCTAGCAAACAAATTGAAATAATCAATGTAGAGATATTGGCTCAAAATAACAACTATTATAGCTGAGTAGCCTCCCGCACTGGGACCTCAGTACCTGCTGGTGAAGCTGGCTAACTTACCAAAAACCCTTCAGTATTGAATATAGGTAGTGGTGATTGAATGTAGTGTGTGAAATTAAAATTTTTGCACAAGGACAGGGGCGGTACCTAATTTAAATTATTATTGACTCACAATTATTTATTAAAATGACACAGTATGTTTTGATTTTTGAGGAGTGTTAGATCGGGAGCTTCTCTGCCGTGCTCTTTCCCCTTGTGAGTTCCAGGTCGATAATGGTACGATTTTCTAATGATAAATTAAACGTTTCACAAATTTTTCGTTTATTTCACATATCACAACTTCTCAGTAAGTAAAATTGAGTAAGTTTCCACAAGGTAGGTCCTATTTGTTTTTCATTTCGTTTTTCAGAAGATTTGTTTCAAAAATAGATAATAAAAATTCTAAACGTTCAATTTTGCTGAACGAACCCGAATATGTTATACTACATCTGAGAAAAGAGTTGGACCATTGACAGTTGATAAACTTTGGGATTCCTTGGACAGAATTATGAAAGAATTACAAATTTCACACTTTTTAACGGAAATTAAAGAACTTAACTCGAATATACCTCTATGAAATAAAAATTTGATCTCTCTAAAACCGTTTATAAATAAACTGGGATATTTATGTGTGGGCGGAAGATTGAAAAATGTCGAGATTCCAGAAAGTCAAAAATACCCCATTCTCTTACTCTCAAAAAGTAATGTATCTTTGTATATCCATCCATATTTATTTGGATGGCAGTTCATTTAGAGCCAGTTTCATCTGAATCGCAGAATTCAGAATCTAAACTAAAAATTGTTCAAAATCACCCGAATCTTTATTTTTCATAAGTCACCCTGTATAATAGGGTGTTAACGTACCTTCACCTTCAATTATACTATTATTGCAAACTACTTAAGGCGTTTTCAAAAAAATAAAATAGAATGCAAGGTTTTATAGAATACTGATCGTATTATGAGTTATTGAATCAGAGCACTTTTATAATTATCAAGTTGAAAAACCGCGAACTTGACAATGATTTTGTCCAGCATTATATAACAATTAATTTCAACTGCTGTGCGTAATATTTTTTACCAAAAAACCACAATGATTCTCTGATTAAACCAAGAGGTGGAACAAACGACACGTCATTAAATTAACAGGCAAATAAGGTCAAACTTATTTTATCTTCAAATCGGTTGAAACAATAATAACGTCTATTACACACGGAAATATGTGAATGTGTATGTGTGCTAAAAAGGAAACCTTGTAGTTCAAGTGCAAGTTTCTGACATTATTAATATTATGATGAAATAATAAATTGCTTTTTATATGTTTTGTCTAACTTACTTACCCAAATGTATAGGATATTTTCCAGTCAAAAACGAAGCCCTGGAAGGAGTACACAAGGCCTGAGTATAATGACTATTCAGGATAACTCCGTTGTAAGCAAGTGCATCGATGTTTGGCGTGGGAATTTCATTGCTACCGTGAAAACTGACATCATTAAAACCCTTTAAAAAAATAGAAAAAATCCTTTTACAAACATATATTAACATTGTTCTAGTTTCCAATACTCAACACACCCATTATTATAACCATGGTTGGTCGATTTTGAACCGATAAGAACGGTTGAAATATGTTGACAGGGCAAGGTTAGATTATGGATGGGATTTCAGTTCAATGATAATTGTATTTGATGAGCAAAAATATACAAACAAAAGTGTTAAAAGTTGAATAATTAATTGTCCAAAAACAATTTTAATCTTTATTTTGTTGCTTTAACGCCAGCCAAAATAACTTGATAACCAGAAGTCAATATTAGCGTTAAAATTGTTTTTTTATTTTAACAACAAAATCAAAAGTCATCTAGTCATCAAAGTAAATTATTATTTAACTAATAATTTATGTGCATCATTCATTAGCTTCCAAATTTCCTTATTGCATAAAGCTTTACATAATCTTCATACATGATGATTTATTAGGTACCTATGTCATCAATTTGTGAAAATAGTGAAAATACTTTAATATTAGTTTACCTATCTTTTGTACATAATCATTTGTTGAATTAATTGGAAATTTGTCTTTTGAGTGTGAAAATTGGACTCACCCTGTACAAATATGTAAAAATTTAAATATCAAAGAAATCACACCATATTTTATTTATTCTTTTATATTATTTTAGTAATATAATTATTATTATCATATAAATTGATAATGGGCAATTTTATACAGTTAATTGGTATTCAATAATTAATAATTGTTGAATGGAAATATTGGAATTTTTTTATTTTTTTACGTAAAATGGTTTTTAATTACTGGGAAATGCGTAAATATTAAAATGTTTGGATTATGTATATATTTAGTATTGTAATTGAGTTTATGAGAAATTGAATTTTTTGTATTGAGAATTTGGGTCTCAAGCCCTTTGGACGTGTAACAGTCTATAGATTAATCAGTTTTTGAACTTATTAGGCTCTTCAAGGGATCCCAAAGGGCTCAAAATATTTGAAACTTGAATCAGGAAGGGAATTGGAAAATTCACGTTGTAAAATCCTGAAAAATACTTCCGAGTATCAAATCGACTTGAAACTTTCAGGATTTATTAACCAGGATGTTTTCATCAAACAAGGCAAATTTGAAGTCAATCTGAAGCTCAGAAATAAAATTATGAGGTTTTTTCCAAGTTGATACCAGAAAAAGTTGAAAAATTCACGTTAAATCACCTTTGAAAAATCCTGAAAAATACTTCAGAGTATCAGATGGACTTGAAACTTTCAGGATTCATTAACCAGGATATTTTCATCAAACAAGACAAATTTGAAGTCAATCTGAAGCTCAGAAATAAAATTATGAGGTTTTTTCCAACTTAATACCAGAAAAAAATGAAAAATTCACGTTAAATCACATTTGAAAAATCCTGAAAAATACTTCCGAGTATCAAATTGACTTGAAACTTTCAGGATCTATTAACCAGGTTCTTTTTATCAAGCAAGGCAAATTTGAAATCAATTTGGAGCTCAGAAATAAAATTATGAGATTATTTCCAACTTGATAGGTAACAGAAAAAGTTGGAAAATTCACGTTTTGAAAAATCCTAAAAAATACTTCAGAGTATCAGATCGATTTGAAACTTTCAGGATTCATTACTCAGGATCTTTTCATCAAACAAGGTAAATTTGAAGTTAATCTGAAGCTCAGAAATGAAATTATGAGGTTTTTTTCCAACTTAATACCAAAAAAAATTGAAAAATTCATGTTTAATCATCTTTGAAAAATCCTGAAAAATACTTGAGAATATCAGATCGACTTGAAACTTCCAGGATATATTAACCAGGGTGTTTTCATCAAACAAGGTAAATTTGAAGTTAATCTGAAGCTCAGAAATAAAATTATGAGGTTTTTTCCAACTTGATATCAGAAAAAGTTGGAAAATTCACGTTAAATCACCTTTGAAAAATCCTGAAAAATACTTCAGAGTATCAGATCGACTTGAAACTTTCAGGATTCAATAACCAGGATATTTCCATCAAACAAGGCAAATTTAAAGTAAATCTGAAGCTCATAAATAAAATTATGAGGTTTTTTCCAACTTGATATCAGAAAAAGTTGGAAAATTCACGTTAAATCACCTTTGAAAAATCCTGAAAAATACTTCAGAGTATCAGATCGACTTGAAACTTTCAGGATTCAATAACCAGGATATTTCTATCAAACAAGGCAAATTTAAAGTTAATCTGAAGCTCATAAATAAAATTATGAGGTTTTTTCCAACTTGATATCAGAAAAAGTTGGAAAATTCACGTTAAATCACCTTTGAAAAATCCTGAAAAATACTTCAGAGTATCAGATCGACTTGAAACTTTCAGGATTCAATAACCAGGATATTTCCATCAAACAAGGCAAATTTGAAGTTAATCTGAAGCACATAAATAAAATTATGAGGTTTTTTCCAACTTAATGCCAGAAAAAGTTGAAAAATTCACGTTAAATCACCTTTGAAAAATCCTGAAAAATACTTCAGAGTATCAGATCGACTTTAAACTGTCAGGATTCATTAACCAGGATATTTCCATCAAACAAGGCAAATTTGAAGTCAATCTGAAGCCCATAAATAAAATTATAGGATTTTGTCCAACTTCATAACAAAAAAAGTTGGAAAATTCACATTAAATCATCTTTGAAAAATCCTGAAAAATACTTCAGAGTTTCAGATCGACTTGAAACTTTCAGGATTTATTACCCAGGATGTTTTCATGAAACAAGGCAAATTTGAAGTCAATCTCAAGCTCAGAAACAAAATTATGAGGTTTTTTCCAACTTGATACCAGAAAAAGTTGAAAAATTCACGTTAAATCACCTTTGAAAAATCTTGAAAAATACTTCCGAGTATCAAATCGACTGGAAACTTTCAGGATTTATTAACCAGGATGTTTTCAGCAAACAAGGCAAATATGAGGTCAATCTGAAGCTCAGAAATAGAATTATGAGGTTTTCTTCCAACTTAATACCAGAAAAAAATTAAAAATTCACGTTAAATCACCTTTGAAAAATCCTGAAAAATACTTCCAAGTATCAAATCAACTTGAAACTTTCAGGATTTATTAAAAAGAATGTTTTCATCAAACAAGGTAAACTTGAAGTTAAACTGAAACTCAGAAATAAAATTATGAGGTTTTTTCCAACTTAATACCAGAAAAAGTTGGAAAATTCACGTTAAATCACCTTTGAAAAATCCTGAAAAATATTTCAGAATATCAGATCGACTTGAAACTTCCAGGATTAATTACTCAAGATGCTTTCATCAAACAAGGCAAATTTGAAGTCAATCTGAAGCTGAGAAATAAAATTATGAGATTTTTTCCAACTTAATACCAAAAAAAAAAATGAAAAATTCACGTTAAATCATCTTTGAAAAATACTGAAAAATACTTCAGAGTATCAGATGGACTTGAAACTTTCAGGATTCAATAACCAGGATATTTCCATCAAACAAGGCAAATTTAAAGTTAATCTGAAGCTCATAAATAAAATTATGAGGTTTTTTCCAACTTAATACCAGAAAAAATTGGAAAATTCACGTTAAATCACCTTTGAAAAATCCTGAAAAATACTTCAGAGTATCAGATCGACTTGAAACTGTCAGGATTTATTAACCAGGATATTTCCATCAAACAAGGCAAATTTGAAGTTAATCTGAAGCACATAAATAAAATTATGAGGTTTTTTCCAACTTAATGCCAGAAAAAGTTGAAAAATTCACGATAATTCACCTTTGAAAAATCCTGAAAAATACTCCCCAGTATCAGATCGACTTGAAACTGTCAGGATTCATTAACCAGGATATTTCCATCAAACAAGGCAAATTTGAAGTTAATCTGAAGCACATAAATAAAATTATGAGGTTTTTTCCAACTTAATGCCAGAAAAAGTTGAAAAATTCACCTTTGAAAAATCCTGAAAAATACTTCCCAGTATCAGATCGACTTGAAACTGTCAGGATTCATTAACCAGGATATTTCCATCAAACAAGGCAAATTTGAAGTCAATCTGAAGCTCATAAATAAAATTATAGGATTTTGTCCAACTTGATAACAAAAAAAGTAGGAAAATTCACATTAAATCATCTTTGAAAAATCCTGAAAAATACTTCAGAGTATCAGATCGACTTGAAACTTTCAGGATTCAATAACCAGGATATTTCCATCAAACAAGGCGAATTTAAAGTTAATCTGAAGCTCATAAATAAAATTATGAGGTTTTTTCCAACTTAATGCCAGAAAAAGTTGAAAAATTCACGATAATTCACCTTTGAAAAATCCTGAAAAATACTTCAGAGTATCAGATGGACTTGAAACTTTCAGGATTCAATAACCAGGATATTTCCATCAAACAAGGCAAATTTGAAGTCAATTTGAAGCTCATAAATAAAATTATAGGATTTTGTCCAACGTGATAACAAAAATAGTTGGAAAATTCACATTAAATCATCTTTGAAAAATCCTGAAAAATACTTCAGAGTTTCAGATCGACTTGAAACTTCCAGGATTTATTACCCAGGATGTTTTCATGAAACAAGGCAAATTTGAAGTCAATCTCAAGCTCAGAAACAAAATTATGAGGTTTTTTCCAACTTGATACCAGAAAAAGTTGAAAAATTCACGTTAAATCACCTTTGAAAAATCCTGAAAAATACTTCCGAGTATCAAATCGACTGGAAACTTTCAGGATTTATTAACCAGGATGTTTTTAGCAAACAAGGCAAATTTGATGTCAATCTGAAGCTCAGAAATAGAATTATGAGGTTTTCTTCCAACTTAATACCAGAAAAAAATAAAAAATTCACGTTAAATCACCTTTGAAAAATCCTGAAAAATACTTCTAAGTATCAAATCAACTTGAAACTTTCAGGATTTATTAACAAGGATGTTTTTATCAAACAAGGTGAATTTGAAGTTAATCTGAAGCTCAAAAATAAAATTATGTGGTGTTTTCCAACTTAATAGCAGAAAAAGTTGGAAAATTCAAGCTAAATCACATTTGAAAAATCGTGAAAAATACTTCAGAGTATCAGATCGACTTGAAACTTTCAAGATTGATTAACCAGGATCTTTTCATCAAACAAAGTGAATTTGAAGTCAATCTGAAGCTCAGAAATAAAATAACGAGGTTTTTTCCAACTTAATAATAGGAAAAGGTGGAAAATTCATGTTGAATCATCTTTGAAAAATCCTGAAAAATACTTGAGAATATCAGATCGACTTGAAACTTTCAGGATTCAATAACCAGGATCTTTTCATTAAACAAGGTGAATTTGAAGTCAATTTGAAGCTCAGAAATAAAATTATGAGATTTTTTCCAACTTGATACCAGAAAAAGTTGGAAAATTCACGTTAAATCACCTTTAAAAAATTATGAAAAATACTTCCAAGTATCAAATCGACTTGAAACTTTCAGGATTTATTAACCAGGATGTTTTTATCAAACAAGGTAAATTTGAAGTTAATTTGAAGCTCAGAAATGAGATTATGAGAAAAAGTTGGAAAATCGTTCGGTATTGGATCGACTTGAAACTTTCAGGATCCATTAACCAGCATCTTTTCATCAAATTTTCAGAAAAATTCCAATAGGATTCTTACCATATCATCTGCAACAATCACAATTATATGCGGTTTCTTCTGTTTCTCACTCGCCCCATAACCGAGCACTATACAACAACTGAGCAACCAAAAACACTTCATTATTTCACTCACGCTTCAACTGCAAAAACCCGCTAAAATTCACGGGCCTATGCGACCGTTGACCAATCGAAAGATGTGGCGCTAACTTACCTGGTCAACCATTTTTATATAAGATTGCATTAGAACTTAAGAAGGGGTTTGCGACGTCATTGGAATCACCGTGTTACAAGCTTAAGAAGGTTGGTTACAAGTAAATCCGACATAATACTTTTTATATCCTAGCAGCCTTAAAACACCTATGAAATCAAACTTTGGGTATTTGGACTAAATAAAACAAAATTTGTTGTAATTTTTTAAATAATTTTAATACCATCATGAAGAATTAACTGACATCCATATAAAACCATGAACTTGACAATATTAATTAATAATATTGAATTTTTTTGGTGCATAGATAGTTGTTTATGCTAATAAATATCGAGCAAAACATTTTCAAATTAATTTAATCACGTATCTATAAGACACAAATACAATATTTCCCTATAATATAAGAAAACCTCATCAACTCGATTCAATTTCCTCATTTTTCCTGGGAGCAGGCTCGTAAACCCTACTCAATTTCAATTTATTCAACCCCAAAACAACCAGTCCTATTAGGACTACAACGAAACCCATTCCTGCAAACAATCCCATTTTACTCAGCTCTTTTTTCCCGTAATTTTCTGGAATACTTTGCCAAGGTATCCAGGTCCCATTGTGCTTAGCAGGATCAGCGTTAATGTCTCTTGGTTTGTTAATAGGTGTGCGAGCTGATTTTTTGAATTTTTCAATTTCCAACTGCAAGTTTTTCAATATGAAAGGCCTTTGTGATGCTAAGTTAAGCATTTCGCATGGGTCATCAGCTAAATTAAAAAGACAAGGCTTTATTTGGGGTTGGCATTTGATTATTTTTGATTTGTTGCAGGTAATTGTGGCTTCGCTTCTAAGTCTTTGGATATCGATTGTATTTAAAACAGTTAAGTTATTTTTGTCTTGAATTTGTTTGTAAGTTGCTAGGGCTGTTAGGGCAACTGCTACAGGGCTTTCAAGTACTTTGTCCAAGTTGTATTTGTAGGTAGGATCCTTACCAATGCTTCCGTACCATTGGTCGTGTTCTCCATTGAAAGTGGTACCGTAAAGGTACTTCCAAATTCCTTGTCTGTAGGCTCCGAAGTTGAAAACTTCGTCGATGTTGTATAGGATCTCGGATCTGGGTGATTCTTGGCCTTCGGATATGGATTTCCATTGGTCTAAACCGTCCAGGTTAGAGGGTAGTTTTGTGTCTAGACCTGTTTAAAAATTATTTGATTGGTTAGCATTATCTATTTACAATCCGTAGTCCAAAGGTAAAGGTAAATTTATCACCTTTCAGTGCTATTTTTGATAAATTTACCTTTACCTTTGGACTACGGATTGTGACTCGGATATAATTATTACCTGCTGCTGAAATTAGGGTTGGTAGCCAATCGGTTATGTGCATTAGATTATTGGAGACCCTTTTTAGGTTTTTGATGAGAGGGCTCCACATTACAGCGACGTTTCGGTGAGCTCCTTCAAAAACTGTTTGTTTTATCTACAAATGTTTAAAGTGAATATAATTTTCGTACTTCATCTATATATTCGAGGGGGTAGTCACTTCATAGGTCTCTATGGATATCATTGAATATCCTGGGATCTGATTCTCCAAGGATTTCCTTCATGGAGTTGGGGTGCATTTTTCGAGCAAATAAGATTATCGTGTTTGTACTGGATTATACATGAATAGATTTATGGATATATAAAGGCCGGTATTAGTTAGTAGTTTTTAAGTTTCAGTTTGACTGTTATACGATTTAGTTAGTGATTATTGTTGGAGAGTTGTAAAGAGTTTAGTTGTTGAGTTAATTAGTGTCAGAGTGTTTAGTAATGAGGAATAAATTACTGCTGTGCTACAGCTACAGATTTCATCTTGAAAGAAGCAGACGTATTTGTGATAATAATCAAACCGGATGGACCAGTTTAATTCAACATAAAATTGATACTGAATTGGCACACCCAATAAGACAACCACCTCGATGTATACCAGTAGCTAAACAACAGGAAGTAGAAAACCAAATTGATAAAATGCTTCAAGAGGGAATCATTGAAGAGTCAAATAGTCCATAGTCTGTGCCAGTAGTATTGGTTACCAAGAAAGATGGGAGTTTTAGATTTTGTGTTAACTACCGAGAGCTCAATGACGTCACCAAGAAGGACAGCTTCCCTCTTCCGAGAATAGACGATACATTAACAACTCTATCGGGCTCCAAATGGTTTTTCACCTTGTATTTCAAAAGTGGATACTGGCAAGTGGCAATACAAAAAGATGACAAAGAGAAAACTGCCTTCACTACCGGAAGCTGGTTATACCAGTTTAACTTTATGCCTTTCGGATTGTGTAATGCTCCAGCTACGTTTGAGCGACTGATGCATCTTGTTTTGCGAGGCCTTACGTGGAGAACTTGCCTAGTATATTTAAATGATGTCGTGATTACGGGAAATTCGTTCCAAGAACATCTCAATAACCTGAAAGAAGTTTTTGAGATGTGATTGTTATAGGTCACGTGGTATCTGAAGATGGCATACAAGTTACGGAAGGAAAGATAGATGCTGTTAGAGATTGATCAAAGTCACGCGACAAACATGAACTAAGGAGTTTTCTAGGATTATGTTCTTACTATCAAAGATTTGTGGAAGGATTTGCCAATATAACTGAACATTTGAACATTCAAAGAAGGCATATCGGAGATCAAGTAATCCTTTCGAAACTCCCGATGAGGTTTTTTTACTAAGTAGGTGTTGAAATATGTATCTAAACGGATATTAAGTAAAGACCCAAAGGGTCTTATTTATGACCATGTTTGTTTAGGGTACTTGTCTGAACCTTTGTGAGTCGTAATAAAATTCAATGTACCATCGTTACCAAAAATATCTGGGACACAAATAATGCATAATAATCTCCTGGACTAATTCTACTGTCATTTATTTCAATGCATCTTATTCATAGTTTGACAAATATTTGACAATAAACAGTGGCGGCTCGTGTCTATTTCAAGTGAGGAGGCTAGAAAATAATGAATTACGGTAAGGTAACCACTGCGCAACAGGCAAAATTTGTTTTGGGGTGCCCATGCCATGAGAGAACTGAGTCTCGGAATATCGACTAAAAATCACATTTTGAATATTCTATTCCGGATTTTAGATTGGTTTAAAATTATCCGCTGACCAATAGAACTATAGACTGGGCCCCGTGATTAAAATAACTCTGGCCCTTCGGGCTCGCGTATAACTATGACCCTTCGAGCTCGCGTTTAATTCCAGCCCTGCGGGCTCACATATAACTCTGGCCCTTTGTTTTTTTTTTTTTTTTTTTTTTGGGGATTCAAATTTTGATTATTCCCGGCTTTTGATTGGCTTTAAATTTTGAATATTCCCAGCTTTTGATTGGGTTTAAAATAACTTATAAATCTAGATTGGATAAAAACATATGACAACGTTGCTCATGATACAACAAACGTCAAAAAATTGAAATTTCAAAGTAGGCCTTGGTTTTTTTAACAGTCGATATAAAATGGCGTCTTTTTGTTTCAAAGATTACGGTCCGAAGGGCCGAAGTATTAAAATCACCCTTCGGGCTCGTATAACCTCGGGCCTTCCGGCTCATGATTAAAATAACTCTGGCCTGTCGGGCTCGTATAACTCCGGTCCTTCGGGTTCGCATGACTCCGGTCCTTCGGACTCGTATAACCTCGGCCCTTTGAGCTCATAATTGAGATAACCTCAGCCTTCCAGAATTGACATTTGAAAAAAAACATTGCCTATAATAAAACAAATGTCAAAAAATTGGCCGGTCTCTGTTTGGCTACTTCCTACCTATTCGCCGAGGCTAAATCTATATGTCCATGTCGGTTTTTTCCAATGTTTTTTCTAACTTTTACAACTATCAATGTCAAAAATTTTTACCTTTTTTTTTCCAAAAAACAAATGTCAGAAAACGATCCCCAGGCTCTAAAAACCCTAAAATAAAAAGTTTCATCGATATATGTCAAAAACCAACGGCCTGGCAACGCCGAACATCTGGCATGGGTTTTTTTAAACTTCGACAGCTGTCAATCTCAAAAAAAAAATTCTTTTGTTTTTTCCAAAAAACAAAAGTTAGAAAACAAGTCGTTTTTTAGTGGGTTTTAGGGTGAGATTTATGTAGCAACATGTAGCAACACTTACATGAAAATTTAATGAATTCATTTGTAGCTACAGTTGGTACAAAAAATTCAATTTCCTGTCGGGTTTGGAATTCGAATTTTTGAATTTTCCCGGCTCCTGATTGGTTTGGGGATTCGAATTTTGATTATTCCTGGCTCTTGATTGGCTTTAAATTTTGAATATTCCCGGCTCTTGATTGGGTTTAAAATAACCTATAATCTCGGCCCATCGAGCTCGAGATTTGAAAAAAACATATGGCAACACTGCTCATGATACAACAAACGTCAAAAAAATTGAAGACTTTGATTTTTTTGACAATCGATACAAAATGAGGTCTTTTTGTTTCAAAGATTACGGCCCGAAGGGCCGGAGTATTAAAATCAGGTGACAATGAACGGATAAAACTTTTGTTGATATCGACAGATGTCACCTGTCAAATTTGACACATGTTCGACTTTTTCCCTGCTCTACTATAAAAGCTACGAAAATCAAACCCCGGTACAAGGCAGTTTCACGACGCTAACTATCGATTTGTGTCAAAAATATTTGACAGCTGTCAACGTCAAAAAAAGTTTTTTTATTTTATTTTGCGAATTTCAAGAAAAAAAGTGGTGGAAAATGATCCCCGGACCCCAAAAACCCCAAATAAAAATTACAAAGAAAAACAACGAAAATGACATTCCAAAACCTACTTGATGAAACTAATGTTTTTCTTACTAACCCCGTTGAAAAACTGGAATTTTTTGGTGGAAAATGAAGAAAACTCAAAGTCTCTACTTTAAATCAGTTTTCTCGACTGAAAAAACCCCGGAAAAGTGAAAAATTCGAAGAAAAACTGGATAAAAATGTAAACACGTCAATTGAAAATGGCCGACTGTCAAAAATGCTTCCTTGATTGAAGTTAGCCACAAGCGATATTGCCACATCAAAAGCATTTTAAATGGAATTTTGCTAATTATGGCATTTAAAACTAGAAATTTTTACTAAAAAATGAAGAAACCTCGTATGTTAAATCGCTTTTTTCCATTAAAAAACCCCGGAAAAGTCGAAAATTTAAGAAAAAACTAGCAAAAAATCACAAGACGTCACTTCAAAATGGCCAACTAAAAGCAACGTTGCCACATCTCATCTCGGAAAACAAAAATATCATTTTAAAAGGGTTTTTTGTTTAAAATTCAATTTAATAATTAATTAATAATGATTATAATAATTTAAAAAAATTAAAATTCCCCAAATAAATCATAGGAAACTGGTTTTTAGTTCAATTTCTATGAAAATGACATTATAAGGTTTACTTATTGACCTTGCGTTCGGTATTTTGCTCAAAAAGCAGAGCGTGCTGAGCGGAGCCGTAATCACGTGACCAGTGAGCGCACAGAGCAGTTGAACGCTGTTTAAAAGTGCCAGAAATTTTAATAAACGAACGCGAATGAGGCTGCACCGAGTACACTTTTTAAATAAACGAACGGTAAAGTCAAGCTCGGAGAACTCGGACCAAAATAACGAACGCACGGTGATTATAATGAGTAAGACAAAGACAACGATAAAGTAGTATATGTTTGCAAAAACCACCGTTTTCTGAAAAAAGAAAATCTTAAAAAACCCCATAGAAAACCAACATTTTAAAGTCAATTTGATAAAACTAAAGTTTTCGAATATTCTCGATTCTTTGATTGGACGCTAAAAATCGCATTTTAAATACTCCCGGTTTTTAATTGGCTTCAAATTATCTGCTGACCAATAGAATTATAGACTGAGCCTCGTGATTAAAATAACTCTGGTCCTTCGGGCTCGCGTATACTCCGGCCCTTCGGGTTCGCGTATAACTCCGGTCCGGCCCTTTGGGCTTGTATTCCGCCAATCCTTTAAACTCGCATATAATCGGGATCGTATTACTGAGTATCCCAGATTCACAGATTTTTGTCGTGGAGGCGCGGGATTGATTGAAATAATCAGTGGCGTAGCCAGAACAAACTCGGACGTCGGCGACATCTAAATTGCGAGGCCCTTTTTATGTAGGGTGGCCATAATATTTCTTGTGACAAAAAGCTGGATATAATGACAGGGACGGGTAGTCGCTGGCCGGCATTCCCGCCGAAGGCGGGAATTTTTTGAGTGTCGCGCGTCTTTTTTCGGGTATATCAACGGTATTATTCTAGAAATCTAGAGCCATTGCAGATTAAAGATTCTGAAGGTTTCGAAAGGTCTTGAGGATAAAGACTCTAAAGACCAGCTTTGGAGACAAATACAAGATTCTAAGGCACTTGATCTAAATCCTTAGAACTTAGAAGAATCCCAATACTTTGAACAACTTAGAGATCTTGAAGAGTCTTGAGGCTCATGATTTTGAAGTTTCTGAAGACTCCTTTATTAAATATTTTGGAAGAAGGACTTTACTGAGCTAAGATCAGAAGATGCAAAAGATATTGGCGTCTTGATCAATTATTCTAGAGCCATTGCAGACTATGCATTCTGAAGATCCTAAAGGTTTCAAAATGTCTCGGGGATAAAGACTCTAAATACCGCAGCTTTGGAGACCAATGCAAGATTCCAAGGCACTTGATCTAAAACCTTGGAACTTGGAAGAATCTTTATACTTTGCAAAACTTAGAGATCTTGAAAAGTCTTAACTGAAGACTCTTGGGATTTTGAAGTCTCTGAAGACTATTTTTTTTTCAAATATTTTCAAATAAGAACTTTACTGAGCTAAGAGCTAAGAAGACTTTGAAGACTATAGCTTTGGAGACCAATGCAAGATTCTAACGCACTTGATTTGAAACATTGAAACTAGGACGAATCCTTATACTTTTAACGCCTTAAAGATTTAGCGCTCATGACTGAAAATTCTGGGGATTTTGAAGCCTCTGAAGACTCATTTTTCAAAATATTTTGAAATAAGGACTTTACTGAGTTAAAATCAGAAGATGCAAAAGATGTCAATGATCAATTATTTTAGGGCCATTGCAGACTGAATATTCTGAAAATCCTGAAGGTTTCGAAATGTCTTAAGGATAGAGACTCTCAAGACCATAGCTTTGGAGACCAATGCAAGATTCTAAGGCTCTTGATCTAAAGCCTTGGAACTTGGAAGAATGCTAATACTACAGAATACTACGTACGAAATAACAATATTTAGTCAAAAATAATAATATTTTTCAATTTTTCGCTTCTCTCCTTCCGACAATCTATCGACAAAATAAAAAACATATGATTTGAGAGCTCTAGGTTATTTTTCAGTAGAATTAATAATGTTTAGTGAATTCTATGAGGTTTAGTTAAGTTTCGTATAGGATAAGTTTATTTGTTCTCTACGTTTTATTTTGGAAAATCGAAAAGTACCAATTTTTAGGTTCGGTAACCTATTTTTTGCGAGGCTCTTTAGGGCGCGAGGCCGTCGGCAAGTCGCCGACGCCTAGCTACGCCACTGGAAATAATGCTCCTCTGCCTCCTCTGACGAGCCGCCACTGACAATTAAATTCATATAATAGGACAAGAGCTAATGTGATGCTGTCCCAGTTACTTTTGGTGACGATGGTACTTTTATTGTTTTTACGTTAAGTTAGTCGTTCTTTAATATTTCAAGACGAAGCACTGAAATATACGCTCATGTTCTGAACGTATTCCCAAAGTGATATTTGTCTTCTTGACTCCCGTACATTTTATAACTAACACCGCTATAAATACCTATCATATCTTGCCATAGTGCACAATACTTTGCAGTAGTCTACTGTAATTCTAATTCGCAATGTTCCACGATACTCTCGCAATAATTGTCTGCAATACTCTCACATTAGTTAGCAATACTCTTACAATGGTCTACAATATGCTCATAATGGTTGACAATATCATTACAATTGTCTAAAATACCTACTATCGCAATACCTTGCAATAGGTTTGCAGTAGTTCTTCAATCTTTCATTCTTTAATTTTTTCACTCTTGTCGATGAAAATCCTTGAGATTATCTCTAAGATTCTTGTGTTATTTGGAATATTTTTTCAGTAGCTTGCTATATGCAGTGTGTACCGCTTTTCATGAATACACCCTGATATCTCAGTTATTGATAATGATATTTTATTCAAATTTTGTTGGAGATTGTATGTTAGAAAAATGAACTATTTGACATAGTAAACATTTTTATTTACCATTAACGTGCAGTGTTGGGGGGTACAAAAGGGTTGTATTTTTGGGAAAAAGATATTAGGGTTTCTTTTAGATAATTTTTTGTATCCGATTTAATTTCAGCATTCCCAAAAACCCCGTAATTTTTGCATTGGGACACAAATGCACATGGCACGTGGCATGCCCATTCAACTATCTCTATACCAAAAGCTATACATCAGGGTCTATCACTCATTGGGTATAAATTTGAATACGAATTATAATCTTTGTTGCTTTTTATTATAACTTTAACTTAGGAGTATAGGCAAATAGAAAAACTATAAAATACCAGATGTCCCACTAAGGTCGGCCAGGTACGATATTATGGAAACCATAGACCTTACGACTTCGGGATTTTTTTTTTTCTTCACAAAATCGGCCAAGAGAAATTGATGGAAATTATTTTCAAGTTTCTAGGATGACCGCTAGGGGGCGCAATTACGATGATACAGCTAAAAATTCAATTTTTCTCAAGAAATCGCTATATTATAATACTGTTTTAATAACAGAAATGAAAATTTCATTAATTTTTGCGCCAGTTTGGTTATTAGGATTTTTTTCGTATCTTCAGAAATAAGGGTGGGGGAAGCTGGCGATTTTCCTCATTCAATTTGGGTTTATTTGGAAGAGAATTTCATTGTTATTAAGAACACCACTTCGTTCGAGGTCGATAGTTCCCACCACGTCTTCTAGAGGGCGCTGTTTATTCAAGATCCAGTTTTTTCTAATTTTCATGAAAAATCCAAAAGGCATAATATTATTTTTGTATTGCTGTGCTTAAAGAGCAAAAAAATATCTACATTTTAGCGCAAACCGCAATTCAATATCTGCATTCGTTTTCAAGTTACGTAAGGTCTATGGTCTCCAAAATATCGTACCTGGCCGACCTTAGTGGGACACCCTGTATAAGGGCGGGATTGTCTTTTCCTCTGTTCTCTCGCTCCTTCCTGCGGTCCCTATTTTTGGTCTTGTGTTTGTGTCGCTGTTGTTCAGATGTTAGGAATAGACAATATCCCAGATTATAAAGTTGACAGCTTTGACGGACGTATATTCCATGAAAATCAATTAACTCTGAACTTAACGACAATTTCAACATAGATGAACTCAACTCGACTAACTCATCTTTCGAAAATGAAAGTTTCAGTGAAGACTCTAATGTAGAAGTAATAAATCATGAAGGAAGAAGACTATACAATATTCGACCTGAATATTATAATGCAGTATATTATGTTATGGTACTGCGTGGCACGTCCGATAAGTAGTGCATACAGACAACAAAAAAAGTAAAGTGAAGTTTCTAAAATTGAATGTATTTCATAGTTTAGATTGCCTGAAAAAGATGAAATTCATGATCTCATCCATATGATTTAGATATTTAGATCATAAAAATTTAAATAATATGAAAGAAAAAACTTTTGAAGGAATAGGGAATACCTTTGTACCTACTGCAATAACTTGCAATAGTTCACAATAACCACAATGATTTGCAATACCTAGAAACATTCGGCAATAGGTTGCAATAATCTACAATAGTCTCACAATACTCTGCAATACCTGAATATTACACAATAATCACAATTATTTGCAATACCTAGAAACATTCGGCAATAGGTTGCAATAGTCCACAATACTCTCACAATACTCTGCAATACCTGAGTATTGCACAATATATGTACAAAAAAAATCTTCAGTTTAATACCCCTCGATAAATACCAGTGTTTTTCTCTACAGTCTCGAGTTCATTTTATTTTATAATAATTGATACTATATACCGGGTGTTTCAGAAATGGTGTTACAAACTTCAAGGGCAGATAGTATTCATGAAAATAATTAAAAAAGTCCCTATGGATATAGGTCCGGAACCGCTTCGTTTGCAAGATACAGGGTGATACGTTTTTCAAAAAAAAATAGTTTTTTATTAATAGCCCAAAAGAGCTTTAGCCGATTTCAATGGAATTTTCATCCAGAATTCCCAGGGGCTTACGTTGTTGTCCATTAAAAATGTGACTTTAATATTAGCATCGAAGGAATGGATGTACGCCTGTGTACCAGATCATAGATTTACCGACTGGGAATCTTTTGGTGCTCTCAACATACATTTTGAAATTTTGGCGCTTACGTCACTTTGCCAGATCAGCGACGATATGGAGATTGGTGGTTTGCTTTTCCCGAAACTGAATTCTACTCCTGAATGTTGTTTGAGAATATCATGTCCAATTATAATATCAGCACATAGAATGTAAAGTCTGGTATTTTTATAGATATTGTCAAATATCTTTATATCAATTTTGAAAAATCCACGTACCAAAGAGTTAAAATTTGGAGATGCCATTGTAACATTCAGTGTTGTAGGAAAAATTTTCATGTTTTTCTTTTACAACTGTACCGGAAATATAACTATCCGAACTTCCTGTGTCGACCAGTACCTTAACCATTTGCATTTCGATTTCAAGGGATTTTGATAAAGTGACAGGAGAAGTAATTCCAGATATCCCCATTAAAAGACCAGCAGTTGTTATCTTAGTAGAATGGGGCTTTTGATTTTTAGATTGACAGACCTGGGTGAAATGACCTCTCTTTCCGCAGTTGTAACAAGTAGCATTTTTCGCTAGACATTTATCTCTAGCATGTCTAAATCTACCATAAAAATAGCATTTAGAAACAACAGCTGCTATAGCTTGGTCATTTTCAATCTATATATTCAAAGAAGAATTGTCAGGAGTTTGATGATGAGAGATCGTAGCATTCATATTTGAACAAAAAGGTGTAATATAAGATTCGGAATGTTGCTGAGCCATTTCAAGTGCTCTAGCAGTATCAAATGCTTGTGTTAAGCTCAAAGTACAATATTCCAAAAGCCTCTCCATTCACTAATAACGCAAGTCCAATAACGTCGAATCCAGTCATGGGAGGAACGCTTCGTCCTCTACCACACCGCTTTTGGAGATGATTATAGCCCGGAAAATACTTTTTTACTAGAATGGACACAATCACCTGTCAAGAGATGAATATGGCAGTCGATCAAAAATCATCAGATTTTTTTTTCTATCATATTGTCATCTTATAAGGTTCTCCATCCAGTAAGACAGAATTTTTTTTACCAGTGACTACCCCCTTTTGGTCTTATTCTTACCCCTCTAAGCGGATAATTTGATCCATGATTGGCATGCTGACCATCTGTAGGCGCACCATTATCCGAAATAAATACAATTATGGAATTTTCAAGCATATCCCTATTTCTCAAAGCTTTTACCACTTCTCCCACGCTTTTATCCAGCAGAGACACTATAGCTAAATTGAAAAAAATAAAATCAATTGCCTTAAATTATTGACAGTTAGTTACCGGCATAGATTCTTCGCTCAGGATCTCGTATGTGTGCGAATTTCGCAATTTCCTCGTCGGGTGCTTCTAGGGGGTTCCAGTCATTGCCTGCGTGCGGAGCCAAATGGGACAAGTACAAAAACATGGGGTTTTCCGTGTTGTGCTGCTCAATAAGTTTCACAGCTTCTTCTGTTAATAAAGTTGTGGTGTATTTGCCTTTGGCATCCCAATCCACTGTTAAATTCCGGTGGAAATCGTAACCGTACTCGCCAGTTTGCTGAAAATGAGTTTTAGTATTTAAAAATCTGATTAGAAGTTCAATTTTATACAGTTGAGAGCCAGACTATCTGGAAAGTTCCTTGAAAAAGCAAGATAATATGAAGTTGAGTAAAATTTCATCTATGCAAACTTGAAATCGCTATGATGGCAAGAGGTGTCTCATATTATAGGAATTTCAAGTCCTCAAAAGGAAAAGGCCAATTTTCTAGAAGAGGAGAATCACCCCTTTTACCAGGATGGCTAACAAATCTGAGGACTAGGAATCGTCTCTCGCAGGAACTTTTAGTTACTTATTAGAAGCAAAAATCCACTCCAGATACCATTCTTTGGAGGATGAAATCACTATGAGGGTTAGAAGCAAGGGGCAAACCTTCTAGGAATTCTTTGTTAAAAATGTGGGGAATTTAGAGGAATTTGTGGGGAATTTGTAAGAACTCATCCGAATTTATGAGAATTTGGGGAATTCATAGGGGATTTGAAGGAATTTATGGGGAATTTGGGTGAATTAGTGAAGAATTTATGAGGAATTTAAAGGAAATTGTCAAATTTTAAAAATTCAAAAGAATAATCAATACAGTTTTTGTAGGTTGATTTCCAAGATTTTGCATGTTACTGTTTTTCACTGGAAAAATTTGAAATTTTGGGAAAACGAGCTTCTTACCTTCCTCCTTACATGCAAAAAGTTTCAAAATTTTCCCTTCTCTAATTTTCCAGGAAAAATTTGAAATGTGTGAGACTGAATTTTCAATTAATTCAGTTATTGTAGGTTGATTTCCAAGATTTTTCATGTTGCTGTTTTCTACTGGAAAAATTTGAAATTTTGGGAAAATGAGCATCTCACCTTCCTCTTCACATGCAAAAAGTTTCAAAATTTTCCCTTCACTACTTTTCCAGGAAAACTCTGAAATATGTGAGACTGTATTTTCAATGAATTCAGTTATTGTAGGTTGATTTCCAATATTCCTCATGTTGCTATTTTCCACCAGAAAAATTTGAAATTTTTGGGAAAATGAGTTTCTCACTTTCCTCTTCACATGCAAAAAGTTTCAAAATTTTCCCTTCTCTAGTTTTCTAGGGAAACTTTGAAATGTATGAGACTGTATTTTCAACTAATTCAGTTTTTGTAGGTTGACTTCCAAGACTTTTCATGTTGCTGTTTTCTACTGGAAAAACTTGAAAATTTGGGAAGATGAGCTTCTCACCTTCTTTTTCACATGCAAAAAGTTTCAAAATTTTCTCTCCACTAGTTTTCCAGGAAAACTTTGAAATGTGTGAGACTGAATTTTCAATTAATTCAGTTATTGTAGGTTGATTTCCAAGATTTTTCATGTTGCTGTTTTCTACTGGAAAAATTTGAAATTTTGGGAAAATGAGCGTCTCACCTTCCTCTTCACATGCAAAAAGTTTCAAAATTTTCCCTTCACTACTTTTCCAGGAAAACTCTGAAATATGTGAGACTGTATTTTCAATGAATTCAGTTATTGTAGATTGATTTCCAATATTCCTCATGTTGCTATTTTCCACCAGAAAAATTTGAAATTTTTGGGAAAATGAGTTTCTCACTTTCCTCTTCACATGCAAAAAGTTTCAAAATTTTCCCTTCACTAGTTTTCTAGGGAAACTTTGAAATGTGTGAGACTGTATTTTCAACTAATTCAGTTTTTGTAGGTTGACTTCCAAGACTTTTCATGTTGCTGTTTTCTACTGGAAAAACTTGAAAATTTGGGAAGATGAGCTTCTCACCTTCCTCTTAACATGAAAAATGTTTGAAAATTTTCCCTTTACTAGTTTTTTAGAAAAACTTTGATATGTGTGAGACTGTATTTTCAACTAATTCAGTTTTTGTAGGTTGATTTCCAAGATTTTTCATGTTGCTGATTTCCACTGGAAAATTTTTAAATTTTGGGAAAATAAGCTTCTCACCTTCTTCTTTACATGTAAAAAGTTTCAAAATTTTCCCTTCACTAGTTTTCCAGGAAAACTTTATAATGTGTGAGACTGTATTTTCAAGTAATTCAGTTTTTGTAGGTTGCTTTCCAAGATTTTTCATGTTGCCGTTTTCTACTGGAAAAATTTGAAATTTTAGGAAAATGAGTTTTCTCAGCTTCCTCTTTACATGCAAAAAGTTTCAAAATTTTCCCTTCTCTAGTTTTCCAGGAAAACTTTAAAATATGTGAGACTGTATTTTCAAGTAATTTAGTCTTGTGGGTTGCTTTCCAAGATTTTTCATGTTGCCGTTTTCTACTGGAAAAATTTGAAATTTTGGGAAAATGAGCGTTTCACCTTCCTCTTTACATACAAAAAGTTTTAAAATTTTCCCTTCACTACTTTTCCAGGAAATGCGAGAGACTGTATTTTCAACTAATTCAGTTTGTGTAGGTTGATTTCCAAGATTTTTCATGTTGCTGTTTTCCACTGGAAAACTTTCAAATTTTGGAAAAATGATCTTCTCACCTTCCTCTTTACATGCAGAAAGTTTCAAAATTTTCCCTTTTTTTAGAGGAATTTGTGGGGTATTTGGAGAAGTTCGTGGTGGGGTATTTCGAAGAATTTGTGATGGGGTATCTGGAGAAATTTGGAGGAATTTGCAGGAATTTTGACGAATTTTGCGAAAAAAATTCCCCTTTGAGGAATTGTTTGCACCAGTTTTGGGATGGTGGTGGAGACAGGAATTTTCCAATACAAAATGAAAAAGAAATTATAGAGAAGTTCGTACTGGGCCCGATCAGGTAAAGAGGGCCTTATATCATCAATTATTTGAAAGATGTTGCGCAACCATAGCTATTAAGGGAACATTAAAAACCCTTGTTTGATCATCTGCGCATGTCAATAAGGCCTTATTCCATTTTTCCATTTATTTCGCGTTCTATTAGTCCGATTCAATGCATCCTTTTTCCAAAAAGTTTTAATTAATTATTTTTTTTTTTTGCAGATCCACCATGCGAGTAGCTACAGCTGTTTGGGGTAAGTTTTTACATATTTCCAATACACTTACCGATGCTTTATTTATATGATCGTAATAGTCGATAAACCCTTGATAGTACCCGTAATGGCTGTCGAATCCTCGATAAACAGGCGTATATTCGTTTTTGAAAAAGCCCAAATGCCACTTGCCTACAGCCCTAGTGACGTAGCCTTGTTTTTTCAAATATTGCGGCAGCAAAGTTTCGTTTAGCGGCAATCCTGACGGTTCCGGTTCCAAAATCACTAAGTGTTGCATGCCTATAGGAAAATTTTTCGAGAAAATGCGGGTTATTTCTAGATTGAAGTTTTACCTAAGCGTATGGGGTATTTTCCTGTTAAAAGGGCGGCCCTTGAAGGGGTGCACATCGCTTGGGTGTAGTGGTTGTTCAAAATGACACCGTTGTAAGCCAGGGCGTCAATGTTTGGTGTTGCGATTTCATCGCTTCCATGAAAACTAACATCGTTGAAACCCTATAGAGTTTGTTACTTAATTATTTTTATCTCAAGTTTGAGAAGCTCAATTGATGTATAAATTGTCTTTGAAAATTTGGATTCCTGAATGAACCACACCCAAAGAAAATCAGCCTTAAACGAGTACAAAACCCGGTCAATGAACAAACAATTAATATTACACATGCATAAATATTAATATTTGATTTTTCAATTAAAATACAAAGCGGAAAAGTGCGTGTATTGCGTTTATGTAATTTGACATTGAAAAAGGCTGTTTCTTACTATACTTTTGACATTTTTCAGCCTAGATTTTTATACAATTTTCACAATTTTCTTAATACAAAGTTTTGAGCCATCAGTAGGTACTTCAATGGTTATACAGGATGATTTACGTAGGCTGTGCATTAGATTGTAGGTGGATCAGATGCTATTTCTACTAATCCACCTGATGCAATCTGGAAAACTTCTAATGCATAGGCTACGTAAATCACGGTATATAGTGAGAATAATGTAGGTACATAAAATTCAATTTATAATAATTACCAAATCATCAGCCAAAATCATAATAATGTTTGGCTTCTTCCGATTCCCATTGATTCCATTAATTCCATTAGAGAAAATCAATAATAAAGCCAATAAATAAATAATCGTCATCCTGTCACACACACACACGCACTGCACTATAGTTAGGACCTTTTTAATCGGGAAGAAATTGTCAAAGTCAACTCGAAAGGAAATGGTTATCTCAAAGAAGGGGTTTATCACACAGGTTAGCCTTCGATTAGCCATTTAATTTACGAGTTCGTAACGCATTTTTATAGAAAATTGCGTCATTTTGAAATAAATGTGATATAAAAAGAACTATTTGTGAATTAATTGTCCGGTTGATAAAGGTTATGCAAGTGAAGATAAAATCCATGCGACAATAAGTATTACCTTATGATTTAGATTTTAAAAAATTTTGAATGGTCATAATTCTTTTTATATTATAGATAGAAAGCTGAAATTTTCAGCAATTCTTATCCCAGCAAATTGAGCAATTGAGCCTCAAAGTTGATTTTTAGTCCCAATTTTGTCAAAAAATTCAAAGTCAATTCGTTCAAAAACTAGAAATCTGGAAATATTGTAAATTACAGGCCATTTAGAACTTGATAAAAGCTACAAATTCTGGAAATTTTGATGCAATTTGCTCAACGGTTACCGAGCAATTGAGGTTTAAATATTTTGAAAGCAGAATTCAAAGGGGTTACCATTATGGAAAATTCGATTTTTTTATTTTTCAGTTTTGCTCAATTTTGACTTTATGAATCGATAGAGCATGTCAAAATTAGTGGAAAACAACCCTGATATCAATTCCAAATGGTCATTTTACGCAGACACAAAAATAAATAGAAAATCCTATTTTTGGCTCTGGCAAATTTTCAAAATCCTGACATGGTCATGAACAATTGCCCATATCTTTGGCAAATTTTGAGCAGATTCAAATAAATTATACATCATTGGAAAGAGCCTGAAATTCTCTATAAATCTGTACAAAATTGAGGTCGATAGCTCAGATAGTTTTTGAGCAATTGAGCCTCAAATTTGCCTTCCAGTCCAAATTTTGTCAAAAACTTCAAATTCAATTTGCTCAAAAACTATAAATCTGAGAATATTGTAAATCACAAGCCACTTAGAGCTTGATAAGAGCTATAAATGCTGAAAATTTGAATGCAATTTGCTCAACGGTTACTGAGCAATTGAGGTTTGAATATTTTGAAATCACAATTCAAAGGGGGTAGGTACCCTTGTGAAAAATTTGATTTTTTCATTTTTCAATTTTGCTCAATTTTGACTTTATGAATCGATAGAGCGGGTCAAAATTAGTGGAAAACAACCCTGACATCAATTCCAAATAGTCATTTTACGCAGACACAAAAATAAAAATAAAATTCTATTTTTGGCTCTGAAAAATTTTCAAAATCCTGACATGGTCATGAACAATTGCCCATATCTTTGGCAAATTTTGAGCAGATTCAAATAAGTTATACATCATTGGAAAGAGCCTGAAATTCTCTATAAATCTGTACAAAATTGAGGTCGATAGCTCGGATAGTTCTTGAGCAATTGAGCCTCAAAGTTGCCTTCCAGTCCAAATTTTGTCAAGAACTTCAAATTCAATTTGCTCAAAAACTATAAATCTGGGAATATTGTAAATCACAACCCACTTAGAGCTTATTAAGAGCTATAAATGCTGAAAGTTTTAATGCAATTTGCTCAACGGTTACTGAGCAATTGAGGTTTGACAAAAAAATAAAAAGAAAATCCTATTTTTGGCTCTGGAAAATTATCAAAATCGTGACATGGTTATGAACAATTGCCCATATCTTTGGTAAATTTTGAGCAAATTGAAATAAATTATACATCATTGGAAAGAGCCTTAAATTCTTTATAAATCTGTGCAAAACTGAGTTCTATACCTTGGACACTTTTTGAGCAATTGAGCCTCAAAGTTGACTTTTAGTCCCAATTTTGTCAAAAACTTCAAACTCAATTTGTTCAAATACTAGAAATCTAGAAATATTGTAAATTACAGGCTATTTAGAACTTGATAAAAGCTACAAATTCTGGAAATTTCAATGCAATTTGCTCAACGATTACCGAGCAATTGAGGTTTGAATATTTTGAAATCACAATTCAAAGGGGGTAGGTACCCTTGTGAAAAATTCGATTTTTTCATTTTTCAATTTTGCTCAATTTTGACTTTATGAATCGATAGAGCGGGTCAAAATTAGTGGAAAACAACCCTGATATCAATTATAAATGGTCATTTTACGCAGACACAAAAATAAAAATAAAATTCTATTTTTGGCTCTGAAAAATTTTCAAAATCCTGACATGGTCATGAACAATTGCCCATATCTTTGGTAAGTTTTGAGCAAATTGAAATAAATTATACATCATTGGAAAGAGCCTTAAATTCTCTATAAATCTGTGCAAAATTGAGTTCAAGGCCATTTCAAGCAGACACAAAATTACAAAGAAAATCCTATTTTTGGCTCTGGAATATTTTCAAAATCCTGACATGGTCATGAACAATTGCCCATATCTTTGGTAAATTTTGAGCAAATTGAAATAAATTATACATCGTTGGAAAGAGCCTTAAATTCTCTATAAATCTGTACAAAATTGAGTTCGATACCTCAGATAGTTTTTGAGCAATTGAGCCTCAAACTTAACTTTTAGTCCAAATTTTGTCAAAAACTTCAAACTCAATTTGCCCAAAAACTAGAAATCTGGAAATATTGTAAACTACAGGCCATTTAGAACTTGATAAAAACTACAAATTCTGGAAATTTTAATGCAATTTGCTCAACGGTTACCGAGCAATTGAGGTTTGAATATTTTGAAATCAGAATTCAAAAGTATAGAATACGTAAAAGGGTTTATTGTATTGCTCAATTGGCGAGAGAGAAAGGGAGCTACGGAGCTAGGAATAATCAAAATAAAACATCATCTAATGCTCATTATCTATTTAAATTGTCTACTTAATTAATTACATTTTTAGTCAAAATTATTCTTCGGTTGTCACTTTTAGGACAGAAAGGCACGTGTAGGCAAGCTTGGCTCTCTGAAAAATCATATTCAAAATCAAAATCTAAACCAAAATTCTACATAAATATACCGAAATTGCCGCATTCAAATTCATAATCCCTAAAGGCCCAATTCGCATTACCAGCGGCCTCGAACATCGCATCATCATGAAATAAATCAGAAAGCTGACTTTCTTGCCCCGATTGTACCAGTTGCTTTGGTACAAAGCCCTCAATAATCCAACAGAACTCTGGAAATTCTAAAAATAAATCCAGATTTTGGAATTAAAGGATTCTTCTTACCTCTATAAGAATTTCATTTGCGTTCCATGCTAAACCAAATAGTTGTAAAAGACAGTGCATGAAAAATGTGCCATTAAATGCTATGTTTAGGCCTTCAATTATTTGTATTAAGGTTGTGGCAAGTTGTAGGGAAGTGACACAATATTCTAGTAGTAAAATGTTTTTGAAGGAACCATCCAAGTTGTGAACCCATCTATAAGATGTTTTGAATTTGTAGTATGCAATTTTTTGGAATTATAGTCTAAAGGGTCATTTACATCCACCTAACTTAAGTTAACATACGGACACCTTCTCAGTTTTGTACGTTAAGTTCAGTTAAGTGGATATAAATGATCCTTAAGCTTACTCAATCAGTTCTTGGTGCCTTATGATCAATTTTTTCAAATTCTTTTCTGGTTCCGTTTTGTCAAAATTCCTAATGTGATATTGCAATATCTTCAAGTTTGCTCTTAGAAATACCATTACGGCGTTGATAAGGGCCTGCACCGCTCCGTTGATGGCCAAAGTTTGGAAAATGTGCCAGATTTCGTAGGCCATTGCCGGAATGTAGTGGGCGTCTTTGTCGAACGGGAACCAGAATGGTACTATGTGGGGTTTGGGTGTTGTTGGGTTTTTTGTTAGGTGCCATTTGTATAATTCTAGGAATCCTAGAAAAAAGTTTCAGTTTTTGTCTATTCCTGGCTCTTGAATAATTAAACTGTTTCATGTATCGATATGCAATTTGGAGAGGAGGGAAAAGGAGGTTTGAAGCATGTTATAGTGAATTTTCAAGTTGCTTGAGTGAAAACTTAGAAAATACACCTTGAAATAGTTTGATTATTGGGGGAATTTTTCGAAAATTTAGACACACGGATGTAAATGATTTTTTTACTCATGAACTGTTTAAAGTATTAATAGATTGTCAACAAGCAAAGCTACTTAGGAAAATATGACACTGTATATGATTGACCGACCTATTGATTGACGAGTCAGCGATAAACGAGTATGAATAGTGGTCGGCAACACACAGCTAGGCAGACTTGAACCAGCGCAATTACCTCTTTTGGGAAAGCTTCTCTGGCCTCAAGTCTCCACCTAGCGCAATTACCTCTAGGTGTTTTCGTCCAATGCAATTACCTCTTTTGAGAAAGCCCCTCTGGACGGCCCTTTACTTGAGCGAATCGCTCCTAACGTAGCCTTATGTTTTTTAGGTAGGTCCCCTATGCCCCTATAGAAGAGGCACTATGTACCATAGGGCCATCCTTTGGTAATTACTATTATAACCTTTACTCTACAATAAACCTTTTTTTTCATGTCTTGTTACTTTTCTCCTGCGTCCAAGGTTGAGGTATTCCTTTATGAAATTTGCATACTGCTCGTATAAGTTGGAGTCTACCTTTCGATGTTTGCAAGTCGTGCTGCGGCTCTTGGCTTTGAGTGTCCCAATATTTCTGGAGATGTTTTAAATGGAATACGAACTCTGAATCTTCCATTCCTGTCTCGGGTCGTCATTTGATCGTAAAATTCTTCACAAGCTTGTTCTTCCGTAAATCGATGAGTTGGAGTAAACTTCTTCAATCTCCCAAAATTTCGTCAACTATTGATCGATCATGCTGACAACTTCAATGCTCTGGGACGTTGAAAATACTGGACCAGATATAATCCATCCTGGCTCGGTATTTTGTTTCAAGAGACCCTCTTGAGTTTTCTGGAGATTGTTCAAAATTTTTGTGGCGTATTCTTTTGCTCCGGAAATCCCATAAACATAAACGTGGGTGAAGTTCTAACAGATAGAACTTCATATTTTCATGTCTTGATGCTTATTATGTGTCGAGGTTGCCTTGGCATGGGCTGAGTTAACTTTGGAAGAACTATCATGCTGACTTTCATGTAGAACGTACTTTTGCATCGTGGTGTAATATAAGTATCTATTGACCATTTTGAGATCTTCGGCTCTGCATCTCCCACGTCAGATATCTCAGCTATAATATGGCGTCGTGGAAGCCCTGCTTCTTCGGTGATAAAGGATAATTGTGATCCTCTTGGCCAATCAAGATTCTCAAAAGCTGTGGCGAACTTTGAGTTTGGACTTGTACGAGAGCGGTTGCTAGTCAAACATTTTCTTCCTCTTGGCTTGCATGATTTGTCGTAGTGTTTCGTTGCTGTTGGAATTGCTCGCCTGATCTTCTCTGGTAGGTATTCTGTTTTGACCATTGCCATTCGAAGCGAGATTTCTTCGTTGGTAATCGGTTGTTCTTTGCTGATTTTGTTGATTTCTGTCATTATGCAAAAGTATGTGATGTTAACAGCTGCAAATATTACATTTAGTTTCGCTGTAGCATTTCTTCTGAGCATTGTGGCTCAAACAAATTTGGCAGATGTGCTTCTCCTGCACTCACTGACTGGATTTGTTTTCCGTGGTTGACACTGTTTCTAATGATTGAAACCTCCTTTCTAAGAAATTCATAATATTTTCAAAATCTGGTACGTCCTGGACGATTTGCATTCCCAGATTGTGTTGCTCATTGGCTAGTTCGTTGAGTATTTCTTCAGCTGACATGACTGACGTGATTGGTAGTTCTGAAATGTGGACGGACATTTTTACTGGGCAGACGGAGGAATGTAGTTGTCTCTTGGGTTCTTATGAACAGGCGGACGTAAAAGTTAATGCCATAACAAAGAAATTATCATACCCTCTACCACAAATCGACAATATTCTGTCATATTTCGGAAATGCATCCCATTTCAGCACTCTTAATATGTTTTCTGGATACTGACAGCTCCAAACAGTACACCGCATTCGTAGCACAAGGTCACGGAACCTACGAGTTTAATGTTCTCAGTTTTGGACTATGTAACGCTCCCGCAACCTTCCAAGAATTAACTGACCACGTTTTTCCGGGACATGAAATGGAAGGAAGTATCTACTTATCTGAACGACATAATAATATTCTCCCAAACGTTCGAAAAGCACTTGGTAAAAGTAAGAACAGTTTTGGAAAGATTGCGACAAGCAAACCTTACTCTAAAACCAAGTAAATGCGAGTACCTCCTACGAGAAGAAATAAAAGTCCTGAGTTTAAATATAATGGAAAAGGGCATACTACCAGACGAAGATAAACTAGTATGCATTAGGAACTCCAAAGAAAGTTAATGATGTGTAAAGCTTTCTAGGATTATGTAATTTCTATAGAAAGTTTATATGCAACTATTTAAGAACATTACATGACGTAACAAAGAAAAACATAGGGTTCCAATGGGGCACAAACCAGGAGGAAGCTTTCAATACTCTTAAGGAAAAACTTGTATCAGCATCAGTACTAGAGCACTATTCTACACACAGATGCAGCAACATGTGGAATTGAAGCGGTGCTATTGCAAGAGGACGATGAAGGAGATGCGCATACAATAGCCTATATTAGATAAGTCGAAGTCCATCAAATAGCGAGACAAATTATTCAATAAGCGAGTTAGAGCTATTAGGTGTAGCATGGACCCTAAGTTATTCAAGACATTTATTTTACGGTAGAGCACGTCATCGTACACCGTGTTCTGCACCAGTGTACGATCATCCCGAGACATTGTACGTTTTCGCAATGGATATATGCAGCACAAGTCTACCCACGTCATGTTGCGCGTTGCATGTTTGATGTTTCCTTGGTGTACGACCGCACTTAGACCGTGGGACCGTACACCCCATGACGTAGCTGACCAATCCGCCAGGAGAAAGGATTTGGAGACACGCAACCGGAGCGGAATCTAATCCAACCCACATGGTGAAGAAGGATACACAGAACTGGGCTCATTTCAAGAAAAACCTCAAGGCTGAAGTTACGAACTTATATTGTTTTCTGAATTCATCGTTTCATTGACTGAATAATAATGCACCCCCTAATTTTCATATATGTGGTATATAAATTGCTGGACAAGTGAAGCGGAACAAGCTAATTTTTAGTTCATTCAAGTTGGAAAGTTAATTTTCACAAACTGCTCATTGGTATCTTTCTTAGTTCGCGTAATATTGGAATTTGAAGTTAACCAAAAAATTCGCTTGTTCCGCTTTATTTGTCCAGCAGTTTATTTTTACGTTTAGGTATTTTTTTTATTATTTAATTTGTGATGATGGCTCTTCTATAGCATTGGGGTCCAATACTTTTCAGGGAGAGCATATGTCAATAAGCAAAGCTACTTAGGAAACTATGACACTGTATATGATTGATCGACTTATTGATTGACGAGTCAGCGATAAACGAATATAAATAGTAGTCGGCAACACACGGATAGGCAGACTTGAACCAGCGCAATTACCTCTTTTGGGAAAGCCCCTCTGATGGACAGGCCTTTACTTTAGCGAATCGCTCCTAACGTAGGTTTGTGTTTTTTAGGTAGCTCCCCTGTGCCTCTATAGAGAAGAGGCACTATGTACCATAGGGCCATCCTTTGGTAATTACTATTATAACCTTTACTCTACAATAAACTTTAAACTAAATACCAAGCGAGTCTCTATCCTCCTGACCCTACGCTACGTATCCCGTCACGACAGGTTAAAGTTGTGATAATATGCAATTTCGGAAGGAGTGTAAGAAGCAAAAGGCTGGCTGGGAAAATCTTCACAATGAACAGAATAAAATCGTCGATTGATAGCTCCAGACCCTACAAATCTCCAGGCAATGACGGGATCTTTCCCGCACAACTGCAAAAAGGCTACAAGTACTTTAAGGTACACCTACAAAAGCTTTTTAAGGCAAGCCTGCTCCTAGGGCACATACCGCTATGTTGGAGGGAAGCTAATTTGATATTCATACCAAAAACAGGTTGTCGACCTGAGGACGAACCAAAATCATATCGTCCCATTAGCCTAACTTATCCCTAAACGCAAACAAAACAGTCCTTGTCCCGTTCACAAGAAAAAGGAAGCTAAATTTGAAAGCCTCCATCCTTAACGGTACACAACCAACATTTTCCAACGAAGTGAAGTACTTAGGGGTCACCCTGGACCGAACACTCACTTGGAACAAACAGTTAGAGAAAACATGCTCTCGAGCTACATCAGCCATCTAGTCATGCCGAAAACTTGTTGGCCAAACATGGGTGTTAAAGTCAAAGATGGTATTCTGAATTTACCAAAGCATAATAAAGCCCGTAGTCACATATGCCTCATTGGTGTGGTGGCCCAAAACCCAGCAAGTTAACGCTCACATCAAGCTAAGAAAGGTACAAAGGCTGATATGTCTAGAAATAACGAGAACAACGTCAACTTGCCCCACCGCAGCCCTAGAGACGCTACTCAACATGCCTCCACTTCACCTATTTGTGAAAAAGGAGGCAATAACCAACGTTCACAGGCTATTCCAAATAGACAAGTTCAAGCCTGGTGATCTGAGGGGACATCTGCGCATTCTTGATTTAATAAAACTGGAGAATGCCAGCAAACCAAGCGACCACATGATGGTCAGATTGGACTTAGAGATCCCATTCACAATGGTGATAAACGACCGCAAATCTTGGGAGAATAAAGAATTACCACAAGTAGACAATGCATCTCTGTGGTACACAGATGGATCCAAGCTAATGGAAGGAGCTGGACTGGGCATTTTTGGCCCTCACTTCTAACTCTCTAGGGTAAACATCTTACAATATTTCAAGTCGAACTGCTTGTCATAGATATATGTGCATAATAGTGTCTCAACCAAAGCCTCAAAAGAAAATATATCTTCATACTATCGGACAGCCAAGCTACCTTAAAAGCCTTAAGGGCTTTCAAATACACGTCAAAACTAGCCTGGAAGTATACACAGACCCTAAAAACACTAACGACACAAAACCAGAGCTAGGTTCGGCTATTCAGCGCGAAGTTGGAGTGGAGTGAATAGGGCTAATGGAGTCACCCCTAATACGGTAAAAAGCAATACCCGAACGGCTGGAGTGCGAATGGAGTCACTCGGAGTGCACGGAGTGAGCAAGCCGAACCCACCTCAGGTAACGCTGATGTAGCTGCCTGGTCATCGAGGCATAGAAGGAAACAATGAAGCAGATGGCCTCGCAAAGGAAGGGGCCTCAACACCATACCATGGACCAGAGCCCTACTGTGGCTTAATGAAAAGCCACATCATAGAAGAACTCAACAAATGGGAGAAAGACCAACTGTCATCATATTGGAGGCACACTCCGGGACTCAGACTGTCAAAAAGGTTTATTACCCTTTCAGCAAAAAGTGCTGAACAGCTCTTAAACATGAGCAGACCAGGTGGTAGGACTGCTCACAGGACACTGCCTGGTAAAATACCATTAAAGGTTAATGGGCAGATCAGAAGACAATGTCTGCAGATTCTGCTCAGACGCAATAGAAACCACAGAGCAACTGCTCTGCGAATGTTTAGCCCAATTCAAATTCCTCGAGGGGGCAACTGTCACCAGAAGAAGTGGGCCAACTGACACCCCGGAAAATAGCTTTCTTCGGCAGAAGTCTACGCTTCCTGGAGACAACTTAAGATGTAGAGTAGAGTCACCTACAAAATAGCTGCAAAGGTAGTTTGCTGAGCGGCTGAAAAGCCGAAACGACTCCCCCACAATCTACACAATGATTTTATTTTTACTCATGAACTGTTTTAAGTATTAATTTGCAATTTGGAGAGAAATGAAAGGAAGGCTTGAAGCATGTTTTAGTGAATTTTCGAGTTGATTGAGTGAAAACTTTGAAAAATACACCCTGAATAGTTTGATGAGGAAGGGAATTTTTGAAAAATTCAGGAACCTGGAAAAGCAAAAATATGAATGTCCTGACCATTTAAAACATTGATATTTGTTATATGCACGTTCATCAAAGGCGTATTGATATATTGTATCGATTCGATGATTTACCTGTATGAAACATAACAGAATCTTACATTTACTATTAGAGAGTTTCTACATTTTGATGCAGAAATTCTTACCATTGAAAATATTAATCAACCCAGCAGCATACAAAAATATAACAATAACAAAGACCATTTTTATACAATAACCAACGTGAAATTGATAAATTTTCCTCACAACTTCGTCCTTTGCCCTCATCAGATTGATTTCCTCCAACGAAACCAGCTCAATTATAGCCTTAATATTTTTAGATCTGATTATATTTAGTTTCATTATAATGAGAATTACAAAGGTCATGCGGGAAAATTCTTCTAGGGCTAGAAAAAATTGCTTAATATGAATTAACATAAAAAGAATAATGTACCTTGAGCAATGTTGTTGCCAAAATCCAAAATCAGGGCAACACCAAAAGCCATAGGATAAGTAAAATAAACCACATGGTTGATTTGGTAGTAGATTTTGTAAAAAACTCGCCAAATTTTCGATTCATTTGGCAGTTCCATGGGCCATAACCCACTTATTATCAGTAAAAACCTGACCAGTCGAAATAGGTACTTTTCTTTGGCCATTTCAAGTTGTTACTGAGCCAATTTAATAAATGTCTCCGCCACTGGATTTTGCATAATGAGCCCTCTTTTCGATGATTATATACCAATACACGATTATAGGGAAAAAATTGCCAGTAATAGGGTTTCCGTGCAAAGAAAAAGATTTTCAGGGGCGGATTTGATAATGAGGGGTTGATATTGCGCAGCGAATTGAGATTGAATGTTGCGACTTGAATTTTTTATATGATAAATATTGGCGCAATTTATACAGAAATATTACATATATGAAATTTATTACATTAAAAAATCTCAGTTGAATTGTGTCACACATGTCATGTACAATTTGTATCCAGACGATTTTCCTTCTTCAAACCCTCCTAAGCTCCGGGATTTCTAATTATTTATCCAGTTACACGAGTCCTTTAAGCAGATATGTGTTCGCGACTTAAACAAGAGGATTTGAAACAGACATAAAATTACCAAAGCAGCTTTTCGTTTAAGCCACAAGGGATTTAATATATGTGGGTTCAACATTTATAATCCTATATAATATTACAAAAAAAAAAGTTTATAGGGCAATATTTTCCTCATTAACAACAACAAATCATCTCTTTTGTTCTAAGTCCTCTTTTGTTGACTGAAACAGGCGTGTCTGCGTTTTGGATTTTCGTGTCAGCGGGACAACGACGACTCGATAAATAATTGCCTGAGACTGAGAATTAATTTCAAACTGACTGTCATATCCTGGAAAGTTGTGGCAAATGACAAGTAAATGTTGAATGATTGAAATACAAATTAGGATGTTTGTGTTTTGCTATATACATTTTATTTATAAAACATTTACAATAAACATTCCAATGGGCGAAGTGATGGTTGTGATAAGATTCATCATTAAACCGAACAGTGTGTAAGCTGTGTCTGCATCTTTTTTGTCCACTTTTCTGAAACAAGTAAATTCTCCAAAATCTTGGAATATAAAAGTAACAGTTACTTACTGAGGTATATATAATGAACAGTAATTCATAATGTAACCGTTTGTGACGCTAAGTATGAAAAAAATCAAACCGTATTGGTAATCGTGCCCGAAAATCACCGGCAAATTCTTTCTAGGTTGCGCGTTGCACAACCAAATTAGGGGCACCAGAACCACTGTCCTGATTATTGTCAGGCCCAAAAAGACTTTTTCTGATATTTTCTGGAAAAATTGATAAAATATAAAACAATTATTGAAGAATTACAGAGTACTTACAATGGGGATAAAAGACGATATTAAACGGCCTAATAATAAGGAGAAGTCGCTTAGGAAGAACGTCATTACCGGACTGAAGTAACTATCTGAAATTTAAAGGGATGTTAGTGGTGATGGTGAGGAATCCTACTGATTGAGCAGATAAAACTGGAACTTTTTCAGACACAATGTGGACTTGACTTATTATACAGATAGTTTCAATGAACCAGTTACCTGATACCCATTTCACTAGTATGTCTAGTAGATCTGTATAATCCTAAGATTCTTATAGAATCAATCACAATAGTGTAATATTCACGATACCTACTTGCCCAAACAGTATTCGATTGCTCCGAAACCACCAGTGCAGTAATGGCTGTATGGGTCACCGACATTCCAATGGCAAAACAGCTCATTATAATGATAACATTACGTATTTTACCAAACACGTCTAGTAGTTCCTTTTTGCTAGGCATTTTCTTTGTTTCTTGAGGTATCGAGTGCAAACAATGTCTTAAAAATAAAAAGATTTAAAAAAGGAAACTTGCATTAGTATGAGAATACGTACTGGAAAAACTCAGTTCTGCTAGCGAAAACAGACAACAAAAATGTCGTCAATAGTAAGGCAGAACCAAACATAAAATACACAAATGTTGAATTAATAATAGCACCATCAAAAGCTGCAATACATAAAATTATTATCAGATCGCCGGCAATAGCAGAGACGCCTTCTCCAATCAGACAACAAATTGTGTATTCAAATGGGAAACGTGAATAGAGGCTCATTGAGCCTACCAGGTTTACGCACATTGTACCTGAAACATAATGGTGATTGAGGTTTGTTTGATTTTTATTTTGGGTTGCCTCACTTGATAGGAAAACGTAACCGAGCATCACTGTACCGAAAAATAATCCTTGAACTGCAAAAAGATGGTAATTGATTGATATTAGAAACCCTTTGCCATGATTATACAGGGTGACTTAGAGTAAATGTCCACCCTAGTCTTGGGCACAAATGGTACTGGAAGTTATAAACAGTACCAATAAACACTGTTAAGAGTCCTTGAAAAAATTTTCAAATCACTTTGAGGGTCTTGTGGAATGCTGAGTCTCAATTTCACAGAATCTTTATTTTCTCAAAATGTTTCAGATCTTTTGCTCTTAGATTCTTTGAGTCACCCTGTATAACTCAAGGATTTCTAAAATAATTATCCCCATACAATACTCACAATCATCTGTATCAATTTGACAAGAAACAGTAAATAGTAGAAAAGTCAAAGTTTGTATTCCCAAAGTGATGCTTATTCTGCTAGTTATGGCGTACTTGTAAGCCACTACTATGTTGAAAATTCCAAAAATTAGAGTCGGAGCAGTGTTGGCTATTTGACTGGACGAGGCGAAGTACTTTTGCAAAGAAGTACGATTTGTGGGGTCACTAACTTCAAATTGGGGGTTTCTGAATTTGTACATCCAAAACTGGAAAAACAAATCTGCCAGAATTCTCCATTTTTGATTAAATAAAACTTCGATTTTGTAAATTCTGAAAAGATAATTGATAGTTCTTACATTATTGGCTGTAGCGAAAAAGATCATCGGCATAAAATGGCAAACTCCCATGAAAAAGAAAAATACGTATCCGATTTTGAATTTGTCTTCCGGTATTGGTATCAGCGAAGGTTTTCTTGGAAATTTTTTCTCGTCATGGATGAGGATTTCTAAAAAGGAAAAGGTGAAATCAGTTATTAGTTCCAAGAAGGTACTTACAATGTAGGTACCGATTCATTTGAATATAACAATCAATGTCTTCTTTTGGAACATTTTTAAGTTTTTGAAATATTTATTTGAAACCTTAGGAAGCATTTGGAACTGCCCTGGAACACTTTAGAAGCAATTTGAACTTTCATAGGCATTTTAAGATATTTTAGAATCTTCATATGGTTTTTAGTTTGCTTGTTTTGGTCTACAACGTGGAAGTTGAAATTTCAAATTGCCCCAGAAGTACCATCATAAACTCAGGAGTTTATTATTGAATTGACTTTCTCTAAATTCACTGATCTATTTTTCTTTGGTTTCATTAACTTTCTAAGTTTCAAATCATTGTAAGCTTTAAAGTCACTTCAGGATGATTTTTCCTCTTGAAGAAGCAGTCCACTGTTCTCTGGTCCTTTCCCCGAAAACTGTAGCAGCAAGCTAAGATCTCGATGCCGCTAAACCTGAAGATGACTTCCAGCATACTTCGTACAATACTCCAATCTAATTGGTCGAGTCCACAGGCTATTTTTAGAAGATCTTGCGATAACATCATATCTTTAAGCCGGCCAAGAGTAAGCCAAACATCACATTGATCGAAATGTTCCTTTGTCACCAAATAAAACTGTGAGTTTTTATGGAAGTCCACACTCGTTTTTTGATTATTTAATGTGAAAATGAAATAGAAATTCAGACCGTACGTTGACAACTTTTAATAACAATGACAATTATACAATGACGGAACTAGACAACAATAGTACCACCAAAAATTACAATTTGTCAAGTACCTACCTATTCTTTAAGTTCTAATTACACTAACCATGATGAGATGGTTCACACAGTATTAAACTACTAGCTACCTAAACTATAACTATAGAAATATTACTGGATTAAAATAGAAACATATTTATATAATAATTCTAACAAAAACAGACGCAGTTTCTTATCGGTACTTTGGAACACCTCTCCAACTTCTGGTTCTCGTCTTCCCAGTTCTTCCAATCACCCAAATTTCTTTCTGAAAGCAGCAGGAAGTTCCTTTGCCATACTAAGATCGCCGGATACACAGTTAGCTAGTGAGTATCTGGCAGGCGTTTTAGACAAGTCACACTGTTCTCGTACACTATACATTGACATAAAAACTTCAAAAGTTTCCTCCTCGCCTGGTGGACTGACAAAGCAAATCGCAGCGTCCTGGTCGGCGTGGTTCCCAGCGTCAAGCACCAAGCGATTAAAATCTACTACCTCAGGCTTCCTGCGGTCTGACTTACTGATTCTGTAGATAATATCATTTATTTCTAATCTTATACGGTTCTTGTTTTGGGAATAAACCCCGTCGTCGTTGAGGGTTGTATATTCAGACGGAATCGTTAGGTGTAAATCTTCCTTCATCGGTATATCGTACGACTTTTTCATTCTGTCACTGGCGTTTTGAATATTCACTCGCACCCTCTGATGTATATCATCCATTCTTCTACGCAATTTGCTGATATAATCTTCGCCTGCGATTTCTTCACCAGGTGGAAAGCCGAACAACCCATGATTATGCTGACTGGTGTCTGGTCGGTCGATTCATGTACAGAAGAACGATATGCCATGAGAAAAAGAAATTGATCCCAGTCTGTTTGATGGTCAGAAACTACCTTGGCAAAATTTCAATTGATGGTCCTGTTTATCTGTTCAACCATACCATCGGACTGCGCGTGTAATGCAGTGGTTCTGGTTTTTCGAATTTTCAGGCTGGCACATACTTTTTGGAATAATGCCGACTCGAAATTCCTGGTCCAATATGAGTGTAGCTCTAATGGTAGGCCAAAACAGCATATCCATTCTTTTACCAAAGCGTCAACAATATTCGTTGCTTCTCGGTTGGGTAAGGCGTACGCTTCGGCCCACTTGCTAAAGTAGTCCATTACTACAATTACATTACATACACTGAAGCAACCATCAGAGCACTACCTGATGTGGAAGCAGAATAAATCCGTATTGAGACGGCTGATATTTTACGAAAGGCTCGAACACCAACCAGTAACTTCTCTAAGGAAGAACTAATGGCAATTAAGAACCTGAATTCAGCGGATAAGGGCAACGCAACTGTCCTGAAGACTACAACCGGAAAACTCAGGAACTCCTTGATCCATCTACCTACCGAAAGCTGAAAAAGGATCCCACCCAAGCCATACTCCGGAACATCAACAAACTGATAAGGTCATCTATTCTAACAGACATAGTTAAGAAAGACGTCTTAAAAACGGAAGTGGTTCCACTACGACTCTACGGCCTACCCAAAATTTCCAAACCTGAAGTCTCGGTAAGATCCATAGAGGGACCACCTGGAGCACCAACGTACAACCTAGCAAAACATCTTGCATCGACTGCAAGGACTCCTTTCACTTCGTCCAGAAAATTAGGGATATTATTCTCCAATCCAAGGATTCAGCTCTGATGTCGTGTCTCTATTCACAAAAGTGCCATTGACGGAATCTCTTGACTTGATATCAAATACCGAAGTTCCTTCCCCAATGACATAATTGAGCTTTTCCTGTCTCACTGGGAGTTACTGTCTGTGGAACGGCGATTTCTACGAGCAAACGGATGGTGTAGCCATGGAAAGACCGCTCAGTCCGGTCATAGCCAACTTCTTCATGGAAAATTTCGAGAGGGAAACTATCGAATCTTTTGACCACAAACCAACGATATGGCTTCGATATGTAGATGATACCTTTGTGGTTTGGAGTCATGGGGCAGAGAAGCTTAACCATTTCCTAGGCCACCTGAACACGCAACATCCCAGCATAGAATTTACCATGGAAAAGGAGAAAAACCAAGAAATCGCGTTTTTAGATATACTCGAAATTTGGAGGAAAACTAAACTACACAGTGTACCGAAAACCCACACACACAGACAGGTACCTGCATGCACTTTCAAATCACCATCCAAGGCAAAAACGTGGAATTATAACAAAGTTTACAGAACGTGCTCGAAACATCTGCGAGTCACAACATCTCGAACAAGAACTGGATCACCTCAAGTGGGCCTTTCTATCAAATGGATACAATGTATCTGAAATCGATAGGGCCATGTGACCCAAAACGGCCACACGACAAAACGTGGATGAACAATTAGTGGTGGCTAATGTATATTTGCCTTTCATTTTTCGGATGACAGACAGGATAGGGAAAGTATTGTAAAGAGAAGAGTGAGAGCTAAGCCAGGCAAAAACTATTTCGGAATCTATTCAAGCGTTGATTGAATATATTGGTATTCTGTTTTCGAGAATCGCTACTATTCTTAGGTAAGTTTAGCACTGAGCAGAGCGCTTATGAGCTCAAGTCTGGGTATAGAAAGTTCTTTTTTCCAGTGGGGCAACTCTACTTTTGGAAACTATTAAGAAGCTGCTACCAGAATCGGTTATGGAAGCACCTCTGAAGATGCTAGCCACGTGGGCGTGGAATTATCAATGTATGACTATGATTATGTAATCAGAAGCAAGCATTTACGAAAAACACCTATGTTCTGCTTTAGCGAACATTCATTAATACAAAATTGCCCTTGAAGTTAGCATTTTATTAAAAACTCTAAGAACTTGAACCTCAAAGTACAAATGTAAAAAACTGGAATTATTTGAAAGCGGATATCCTAGAATGGGTGTTCTGGTTAACGCCTGTTTCATCTTTTGGAAAGTGAGCTTGGTAAGTGGCGCCGCAACATTGGCAAATCCTTGTACGTAACGCCTAACGCCGGTAGTAGGTACAGTCGTGAGCATAAAAAGTGTGACACCAGTTTTTTCCTATTGTAAAACGAGCTCATCAGCTATACCTACGGCAAGGACAGGCATTGTCATTTTTGACAAAAAATCCATTCTAGAGAAAAGACTGATTAACCCAAAATAGCGAAAAATTACAAGACCTGTCAGTTGGGTGTCCCACTTTTTATGCTCACGACCGTATCATCGTCACCAAAAGTAACTGGGACAGCGACATATTAGCTCTTGTACTATCATATGACTTTTATGTCAAATATTTGAATATGAATAAAATGAATGATGGTAGAAATAGTCACCGGTGTGAAGTTAGAAGCCAAAACTTGGCAGCTAATTTGACGGAAACGCCCGAACAACCATTGTTTTTAAATTCAAAATAAATTCAATAAACCATACTTAGACATCGAGTCTAGCTATGAAATTGATAGGGTACTGTTTTAATATCATCTCCAATCCCCATGCGAAATCCCATTAACTCAAACCCCGTCGAAATATAAAAAAAACTACCCTTAAAAAGTAAAAATGCATAAATATTGATATTTTTGTATTTTTTTCTAACTTGGACTTCGAGTCTTGTCATAAAATTAATAGGGTACTCTTTCAGTACCATTCCCAACCCCCATGCAAAATCCCATTTACTCAAACCCCGTCGAAATATGAAAAACTACCCTTAACAAGTGAAAATGCATAAATATTGATATTTTCGTATTTTTTTCTAACTAAGACTTCGAGTCTTGCCATAAAATTAATAGGGTACCATTTCAGCACCATCTCCCATCCCTCTGCAAAATCCCATTAACTCAAACCCTGTCGAAATATGAAAAACTACCCTTAACAAGTGAAAAGGCATAAATACGAAAATCTCAATATTAATGCATTTTCACTTGTTAAGGGTAGTTTTTCATATTCCGACGGGGTTTGAGTTGATGGGATTTTGCATGGGGGTTGGATATGGTGCTGAGAGAGTACCCTATTAATTTCATGGCACGACTCGAAGTCCGAGTTGGAAAAAATACGAAAATATCAATAATTATGCATTTTCACTTGTTAAGGGTAGTTTTTAATATTTTGACGGGGTTTGAGTAAATGGGATTTTGCATGGGGGTTGAGTATAGTACTGAAAGAGTACCCTATTAATTTCATGGCAAGACTCGAAGTCCAAGTTAGAAAAAAATACGAATATATCAATATTTATGCATTTT